TTATAATAAATAGCTAAGCTTTTAATAAATTAATTAACTAAACTATTAATTAAATAAAAATATAATAAAGCTTATAAAAATATAACTAGCTAGTAGGTAGTTAAAAAAATATATATTTACTAAAAAAGCTTAAAAAAGTATATAAAATAATAATATAGTATTAATTAGTTTTTTAATTTAATTATAAATATATTAAATAAATAAAACTTTTAAATTTAAAAAAATAATAAAAGTTTACTTAAATAATTAAAAAATATAGTTTAATATTTAGAAAATAAAAAATTAATAAAAGCTTATTAAAAAAATAAATTATAAATAAAAGTAAGCTAGTGTTTTTAATTTATAAATTAAAGTAATAGTAAAAGTTTATTTAATTTATAAATTAAAAAAAGTATAAAAATATATTTATTTTATAAATTTAAAAGCTTAAGTATATTTTTAAAATATAAAAATAACTATTAAAGCAGCTAGCTTTATTACTTAAGCTAAAAAATACTTATAAAAATAAATTTTTTCTAGCTAATAAAAAAATATAAAAAGTTATACCCCCCTAAGGTTATACCCTTGTAGTAAAAGTATTATACTTTTTTATTAATTACTTTATATATATTTATATAATTAAATAAAATTTAAAATAAACTTTTAATTATTATTAATAATTTTTTATATAATATTTATAATAAAGTTAATTTTAATTTTTATTAATAATTAATTAAAAAAAATTTTAATTTAAAAAAAAAGTAAATATATTATATTTTAGGTTTAATATAATTACTTTAATTTATTACTTATATAATTAATTATAAAAAATACTATTATAAAAATATATATTATATTTAAAATAAAAGTTTTAATATAATTTATAAATATTTTAAAAATTATAAAAAAGTAATAAAGTTAAAAATTTTTATAAATATATAATAAAAAAATTATTAAATATATTATAATTATTATATTTATAATATTAGCTAATATTTAAAATTAAATTACTAGCTAAAGTTAATTATTTATAAAATAATTATAATAATATAATTTAATAATTTTAATATATTTATTTTTAAAATTTATTTTTAGCTTTATAATTTATTATTATATTTTTTTAATATTATTAATATTAATATTAATATTTTAAAAATAAGCTTTATAGTTTTATTTTTTTTAATAATTAATTACTAAAACTTAAGCTTTATTATTATTTAATTTATTTAAAATATATATTTTAAAAAATAAATATTATAAATTAAATAAAAGTATTAATATTATAAAAAATAATAATTATAAGCTATTTTAATTTATAAATTAAAAAAATAAAAAAATATTTTTAATTTATAAATAAAAAAGTTTAATATATTTATATATTTTTTTAATTTATAAATTAAAATAACTATAAGGTATAAAATATTAATATTTAAAATATAAATAATAAAATTTTATTTAAGCTAATATTTTTTTTTAGTTAATAAAAAAGTATAAAGTATTATATATTTATAAAATTATATATTTATAGTAAAATAGTTATATATTTTTATTAATTATTTAAAAAATATAAACTTAAATTATATTTAAATTTATATTTTTTAATAAAAATCTATACTTTTTTAAAATAATTTTTATATAATAATATATTTATTTTATTAATATTAAAAATACTTTAGTTTTAGTTTAATTTTATAAAAAAATAAAATATATAAGTTTTTATTATTATTACTTTTATATAAAAAATATATAAAAAAACTAATATAAGTTTTATATAGCCTCTAATATATTTAAATAAATAAATATATATTAAAATATTATAAATATATTAAAATATTTATATTAAATTTAAATTTTTTTTTTAAATTTAAATATAATAATATATATTTTTTATATTTATTTTTATAAAATATTATATTTTATTATTTTATAAAAAATTTAATAATTTATATATAAATATATTTTTATTTTAAATTATTTTTTTAAATATTTATAAAAAAATTAAAAATTTTATTATAATAAAAAATAAATTATATTATATAAAAGTTATATTTTTAATTAAAAACTAATTTTATAATATATAATTTTATATAATTTAATTTAAATATTATTAATAATATTTTTATATTTTTAAAACTTATTTAAAATTTAATTTTTATTTATTATTTTATTTATATTTATTATTTTTTTATATTTATTATTTTTTTTATATTTATTATTTTTTTTATATTTATTATTTTTTTTATATTTATTATTTTTTTTATATTTATTATTTTTTTTATATTTATTATTTTTATTATATTTATTATTTTTGTTATATTTATTATTTATTTTATATTTATTATATTTTTATATTTATTATTTTTTTATATTTATTATTTTTTTTTATATTTAATATTTTTTAAACTTAATTATTTTTTTAAAAATAATTTTTAATTAATAATTATTTAATTTAATATTTTTTATATTTAAAATATTAAAATATTAATATTTTTTATATTTAAAATATTAAAATATTAATATTTTATTTAAAAAAAATATTTTTTATTATTTATAAATAAATTAATAAAATTATATATAATTTTTTTAGAAAATTTAAATTTTTATTAATACTATTATAAATATATATATAAATATAATTAATATTTTATATATTTATAAATTATAAAAATATATTTTATATTTTATAATTAAAAATATTTAAATAAATATTTTTTATTTAAATAATAATTTATAAATATTTAAAATTAATATAAATAAAATATTTTTTTTTTTAAATATATTTTTTATTTTTTTAAAATTAATATATATTTAAAATTATTTTATTTTTAATTTTAATATTTTATAAATATAAACTTAATATTATAAAAGTATTTATAAAATATAAATATATACTTTTTAATTTTTTTTTATAGTTTTATAATAATTTTAATAAAATTTAATAAAATTTTATAATTTTAATATTAATTTTATATAATAATTAAATATATATTATTTTTTTTATAATTTAAAAATAATTTTTAAAAAAATTTAAATATATATAAAACTTTTTTACTAAGTATTTTATTAATATATTTAATTTAATAATATAATATAAAATCTTTTTTAATAAATTATATTTTTAAAAAATTATTATTTTATTTTTTAATATAATTTTAATTATTTATAAATACTTAAATTTTTTTAATTTCTTTTTTTAAATATTATTTATATTTTATATAATATTTATTATATATATTATTTAATATAAATATAATTTAATAATATTATTTTTTAAACTTTTTAAACCTTTTATTAAAAACTTATTATAAATTATTTAAATTTTTATTTTTTATATAAAAGTTAATTAATAAATTTAATTATTAAATATTTTTAATTTTTTTATTTAATTAAAAATAAAAAAAACTAAAATAATAAATTATAAAACTTTTATTTATTTTATATAATAATTAATATAATTATTTTTATTTTTTTAAATTTTTTAATTATTTTAAATAAATTTATTTTATAATAATAAATACTTTAGTTTTTATTTTTTATAATTTTATATATTTTATTAAAAGTATATATTTTAATTTACTTAAATTATTTTTATTTATAATATTTTTAAAAATATAAAAATATAAAATAATAATTTAATAATTTAGTTTAAAAACTTATAATTATAATTATTTTATAAAAGTTTTAATATAAATTAATTTAAAACTATTTTTTATTTTAATTTTTTATTTATAAATAAAAAATATAATAAAAAGTTTAATATTATTAAAAAACTTAAAATTAAAGCTTTTTATTAATATAATTTATTTTTTTTAAATTTTATTTAATTAATAAATTATTAAATAATTTTTATATAAAGTTTTAAATATATTTTTATTATTAAACTAGCAAGTAGTTTTTTAAAGCTTTCTAAAGCTTTTTAAAAATTTTAATATTTATTTTTAAAACTATAAATAAATAAATTTATTAATTTTTATTATTTTTTTTAATTTTATAAAAATACTCTTTTATATTTTAAAAGTAAAGTAAATTAAATAACTTAATTAATTAAAATTATTTATATAAATAAAAATTTTAGGTTTTTAATTAATTAATTATATTAAAAAACCTTTTATTTAAATTTTTTAATTAATTTAAGTAATTAAAAAATACTTTATTAAGTACCCTGCAAGATAGGTTTTTTTAATAAAAAAAATACCTTATAGTATTTATTTTTATAGGCTTTTTTCAAAGGTTTTAAATTCTATTACTTATAATATTTTTAATTTTATTATTAAAAAATTATTATTATTTTAAAAAAATATTAAAGCTAGTTTTTAATTATTAAATTATAAAAAATATATTATACTAAAGTTATTATAAATTTTTTTTATTTAAATAACTTTAAAATAAAAATTAAAAAATTATATAAAAATTAATTAATATAAATATAAAAGTATATTAATTTTAATTTAAATTTTTTTTTTAAAAAAGTATTTAAAAAATTATATATATTAAAAAAAAATAAAAATATAATTTTATTATTTTATTTTATTATAGTATTTAATTTTATATTAAATAAATATTATTATAAATATTATTTTTTAAAAAATATAAATATTATTTAAATAAACTTTAACTTTATATTATTTATATTTTATATTTATTATATAAAGCTTTATAATATAATTAGTTTAATAATATTTAAAATATTACTTTAACTTAATATTATTTATAAAAAATTTTATTTAATAAATATAATATATAAGTTTTTATTATTTTTTTTATATAAAATTATATTAAAAACTAATATAAAGTATTATATATATATATAGCTTTTAGTATATTTAAATAAATAAATATATAAATTAATAATATTATTTTAAATTTAAAATTTTTATAATTATATATATAAATAAAGTAAAGCTAGAGAAATTATATATTAATAAAGTACTTAATGAAAATATATATATTAAATATAATTTTATTACAATAACTTCTTTAACCATAGCCAAGGGTGTACTAACTACTGTTGTTCTAACCAAGTTTACTATGCTAGACTTATATTTAGTTATATAAAGCAGAAATCAAGTCTCACGCCCTGTATACCTTACATCGCAGCGCCATGGCCGTTCCCAATACATTCAGGGCAGCTGTAGTGCCCAGCCCAGGTAAGCAGCATATTATCGTTGACCGATCACTGCAGCCTCTCCAGTCTGGCGAAGTGGCTATCAAGGTCACTTCGACCTCCATCAACCCCATAGACTGGAAAATGCGTGACCACGAGGTCTTCATTACAGACTACCCCGCGGTCCTGGGATCAGATGCCGCAGGCGAGATTGCGGCCATTGGACCAGACGTCTCTAACTTCAGTATTGGAGAAAGGGTTTTCTTCCAAGGGATAATTGGGAACTACGATGCGTCTACTTTCCAACAATATGCGAAGATCGATGCAGCGCTGGTGGCCAAGACCCCTGACAACATCAGCGATGACCAGGCTAGCGGAATTATGCTTGCCAGCCTAGCTGTACTCACCGCATACTACGACAAGACAGGCCATGGATTGCCTGCACCGTGGGACAAGGGCGGGGATAAAATCGGCAATGGTGCTGCAATGGTCATCATTGGCGGCAGCTCTTCCATGGGCCAGTATGCGATCCAACTGGCTCGACTGTCGGGATTCTCCAAGATCATTACCAACTCGAGTCCTGCACACAAAGAGTATCTTCAGAAGCTAGGTGCAACAGTCGTGCTCGATCGTGAGGCCACGGCGGATGATTTCGCTGCCACTATTGGAGACAATGTACCGCTTGATTTCATCCTTGACACCATCTCTGCCAAATCTACCAGGGAGCTATCTGTCGGCATCGTGAAAGCAGTCAAGTCAACGAAAGCGGCAGTAACTAAGATTGTTGTAGTTCTACCAGAAGTCTTGGATTTTGAGAAATTCGACGCCGAAGGCGAGTCAAAAGTAACTTTTCCTAGGATCATCGGCCTTGGAAGCACCCCGTCGCTTCGATACTTAAGTGAGCCGTTCGCGAAGCATCTTGGTGGCGATGACGGTTACATTGCCCGTGGCCTGTTTGAGCCTAATCGACCAGTGATTGTGCCAGGTGGTTTAGCTAGTGTAGAGGCCGCTTTGGCAAAGAACAAGAAGGGAGTGTCTGGCGAGAAGGTTGTTATTAGACCTTTCGAATAAAAAGTTACCAAAGTCTCGGTTAACTCCATAGGGGCTGTACTAATATAAAAATAGTAATAAAAAGGTAATAGTACTACCTAGTATAATAGTTAATATAAAGAAAATATTAACTATTATTAAATATAATTAATAATAATATAAAAATTCTATAATAAAATATTTATAGAATATAATATAAAATTAAATATAAAAAATTATAGAATATAATATAAAATTAAATATAAAAAATTATAAATTTAATATAGTATTATAAATATTATATAATATTAAAAAATATATTTAATTATGTATATTAAATATATTATTTGTAATATTACTATTACTTGTATTTAATATTTTAGCTATTAAAATATTCATGCTGTCGAAAATTGGCGGGTTGTGTTGTAAATTCTGGATTGCTTTAGTTGCATTTTGGCTGACCAATTGTGCTTGACGTAGATCTTCTGTAAAAAGATAGAAGCCTTCTGTGGACTCGACTAGATAAGACTGTAGGCCTTTGCTTTCAAGCAAGACGTTAACGTTAGTGAGAGGATAATTATTCTCGATAAATCGTGCCCATCCCCTAGCGGCCGCTTGGACATGGTCACTATCCTTGATCCTTTTCCAGCCTATTCCAAGGTGAAGTGTGAAGTGGTCGATGACTATCTCGTCATTAATATCGTTTTCTGAACTGTCTGCGTTTGGCAATGCGGTCGCCGATGCTGATTTACTAGATGACGCGTGGTCGCTCCCAACGAGAAGCCTTTGGGATTTATGACTTCTCAGAGGTCGACCATTCGCTAGTCCACTCCCTTCCTGTTCAGTGATCACATCGTCAAGCTGAGCGCCAGATTGGTTATCTGATTCACCAATAGAAACCGCACACGGTTTAACGAACACCATTCCCTCACCATTCATCCCACTATTTTGCGAATTGCAGTTTGATGTATCTGGCTCGAGATTATGTGAAGCCTCCTCGTGAGACCTTTTCTTGCCAATGGCATGAGAGGGTTGTTGAAGGAATGATGAACCCTGCGAAAACATTGTCGATTGCTGGTGTGGGAGAGCTGTCATCGGTAAATAGAGACAGAGAGAGAGAGGAATAGCGAATCTTGAGAGTCGGCGAGAATCGTGCGAGGAAATTTGGTGAGCCACCGGCAGGATTGCGGCAATGGTGATGATAATAAGTTTAAAGAGTAGTAGAGTAACGTGTAGGTATAGGTTGTCAGGCTGCTGAAAACAAGTTTGAGGCTGCAGCGCGCTGAGTATTATTAGATCTCTGACTGCAGATTGGGTTTAGTGGAGTCGGTAGTTAGTTCGTGGGGTATCAGATCAAACGCTACTTCGTACGCCCTAGTAAATTCTCTAAATAATAATTAGATAGTTAAAGTGTCTATAAGGTTATATTGACAGTTGTGATAATTCATTCATTTCATTCACTTACAGCTTTTTAAACAACGATTTCGGTTCATTAATCCTCAGCTACCCTTGGTTACAGCAAGCGTTCTGATGGCGTTGATGCTAGGCATTCTAGTAGCAGTAGTACGGCCCCTAGCAGTAGTGCCTTCACTATGCTCTATCCCCTACTGGGGCATTTGTGAGGCATGCTAGTAGGTAGTATCAGGTACCCTTCCGTGACCTTCCTACTTAATACCCAAAGCTCTTTGCTGCGAAAGGTGTATCTCGCTGTCGATATGCTATAGCTTTGGACTGATATGAATAGCGGGTATTTCAGACATTGACAAGCCTCTTCCGAAATACATGTCGAGCGAAATGCCGGCTTACAACCAGCGTGCCCAGGCGGCACTCCTGAAGGCTGTCAGTACTAGCAAACCCGATGATGTTTCGATTCAAATACACTTTGTATGTGCAAATAGTCATGGAATGCTAATCTAGTCTCTTCGCAGATTAACCGAGTCTTCGATCTAGATCGCGATGCCGAGTCTCTCGAAGGGTTGGCGAATGGGATAACCCTTGGCCATATCTTGCATGAGCTGGATCCCGAATTCGATCCTTCGCACCTCGAGTCAAATTCGGGCATACCGAAACCTTTGAGCAACAAACGAAATATACAAGCCATTTACAAAGGCCTCTTTCGATTCATCCGCCGTCAAATACCCGAACTCAGTTATCAAGCCAAGAAATTCGACTATCATGCCATTGCCGAGAACCCTGAGCCGCAGGGCATCAGCCAGGTATAGTTACATGTAACCTACGTCAACTGACTGACTTTAACTTACCACATATCCAAGCTTCTCGCTGTTATGGTCTCAGCTGCTGCGATGGGCCCCGGTAATCAAAAATACGTCCCTAGAATCCAGAACGGCCTGGATCGTGATACACAAGCCGAAATCATGCAGATAATTCGTGCTATGCAACAAGATATCGCGAATACCAAAGATGATGATGATCTGGATATAGCTATTGACGCTGCCATGGGGGCTCGCGACATGGATCTTCTCGTCGAGGAGCAAAACGCTGCATTGCGTCAGCAGCTTGATACCATGAAGAAGACTTTGTCAGATTATATCACTCGCCTGGAACATCTCCAACAGAGCCACGAGGAGCTTACTTATGACAAAGAAAAAAATGATCGGGAGCTCGAGGTTTTGCGGAAAGCAACCCAAGATGGGGCACATAGTGCGAAAACTATTAAACACCTAGAGGAACAAGTCCATGAACAAATGGAGATCATTGCTAGGAACGAGGAGGTTATCCGCAGTAGCCAGAAATCGGTGTCTCAGCTGGAGAGCGAAGTACAGCGCCTCGGGCAAAAAAATATACAGGCTGACGAGCTTCGCGACCAGATGGCAGAGTGGAGGCACAAGGCGGAAGAATTCGAGAAGAAGGCCAACATGGCAGAACGTTACAAGCAAAAGCTCGAATCACAACAGAGTCTAGTGAGAGAAGTGCAGAATTTACAGTACGAACGAGCCGAGCTTCAGGAGCAGCTTCGTTCACTCATGGAAGAGAGGGAGCGGAGTGATCGTACCAAGAAGGCCGAGGATGAATTAACGAAGATGATTACGCAGTCTGAGCAGCATCTGTGGGATGAGCGTAACCAAAAAGCGCAACTTTTGAAGGATGTCACGGCTCTCCAAGAGGAGCTCCTCCGCTTACAGGCCCAAAGAACGCACGACGAGCACTTCATTCAGGATTTACAGGAGCAGCTTCAGCATAATGGTGGCGCCAGTACGGTTGAAGAGGCTGATCTGAGCGAAACTTCTACGCCGTTTAACCTGGAAGACGAACTTCTAATCGCATCCGAGGGGGGTCCGCAGGCCAACCTACCCTTGGAGGTATCTAGATTGAGAGCAGAGAATGAGTTGATTAGGAAGACAGTTGGGTCTCCGGGAGACGTTTCCACGCTCCGACGAGAGCTGGAGGAAACGAAGCGCCAACGGGAACGCATTCAACAGAACTTTAATGGATTATTCGAAAAGTATACCATCATGAGCGACAACTTGCAAGCCCTGATGAGTGAGAGCACTGATGAAGGGTAGGTTTATTATGCCTATCTTGTTGTGCAGAGAAATTAATGCTCATGATTTACCCTCTAGGACCGAAGCATTTATTAAACTTCGACAGGAGTTGACAAGATTGGAACTCGAATATGAACAAGCTCGAAAACTAATAAACAGCCTTGAAATCCAGCTGGGTGATAAAAACCGAGAATTGCTTAGCGCACAAACAGATCTCTCCGCTGTCCAGAAGGATAGTATAGAAGCATTAAATGAGCTGAAGAATACGGATAAGTTGATATCAACTTCGTTGACAAGCGAGCTTGAGCGACAGCGGGAAGAAACTAGTTTTATAGCGAATGAACGAGACGCACTGAAATCGCAGCTTATCGACACTCTGCTAGCGAACGACAAACTTAGAAAAGAATCAGAAGAAAGCAAAGATTTGAATGAAGTCACTGTTTCGTCAACAGATGGCGACGGCTCGGAAGCTGCTAAGAAAGCTACCGAGAAGGTCGAAAAGCTACGAGCTCGTCTTATTCAGAGAAATCAGGTAATTTATACGCCGTATACAATACACACATACCTCCTACTTACACTTTGTATCAGCAACTTGAGAAATCAGAACAAGAAAGGCTTGAATTACAGACCAAACTGAAAGCAGCGCAACTTGGTGAAGGCTCAGCAGCACAAAAGGTATGTTTTACTCTCTGATGAAATTCAATTATGTTACTGGGAGGCAGTTAAGCTATTCTCTATACTCTTTTTTTGTTGCATTTAGATGAACGCCAGCTGATTGAAATGTTTAGGCTGCATCCGATCATATCATTAAGAACCTCCAAAGAGAGAATGCACTTATTGCGACGGCTTGGTATGACCTTACAAGTCGACTTCAGAGCAACCACGTCGTGCTTCAGCGCCGACATGATGCCCCCAAGAGCTGGCTTAACAAACAGAGGCAGTTGGTGAATGGTCAGTTGCGCCAACGGGACATGCTCTACCTCTACTGACCTGACTCTTCAGCAACTTCGAGGAGATAGGATTTTAAAGGGCTGAGCTCCGTCTGTATATCATGGTATCTCTTTGGGAGTATAACATTTACTGGTCGTATTGTGAGCAAAGAGTTGATTGTTTAGCGTTGCCGTATTCCCGTCCTATACGTTATTAAGTAGATGACTTTCACGGTTACAGTATTATTTCTGTTTAGAGATTACTCTTCCCTTCTAGAGCGGCCATTATCATTTATTATGCATTGCATGCAAACTATATAGAAATCATTTCTTATCACAATCCTGAAATTCAATTATCACTTTATGAGCCCGTCTTGCATGAGAAGAAGAAAAATCTCTGGAGCTATTTTCTTACATTACAAGCTCTCGAGAGAAATTAATAGATTGATAATGGTAAGCAGAATCAGCGTGGCAGGCTTAGATTCTCATATGCAGAGATATACAGGACATGATTCTCAGTGACCTAGCTGCTTCCAGCAATTTTGCTAAAGATAGAAGAGCCATGAGACTTCTTTCCTTCTAGAATATCCAACATATTCTTCCATACTTCGCCAGGTTGCTGGCTAGCATCAATGCCCTTCCAGATGCCATTCTTCTGGTAATATCCAACCACGGGAGTTGTTTGTTGGTGGTAAGTGACAAGACGCTTCTTGAGCGCCTCGGCATTGTCATCGCTTCTCTGGATAAGAGGTTCTCCAGTGACATCGTCCTTCATAGGCTGCTTCGGGGGGTTGAAAGTTGTATGGTAGGAGCGGCCAGATGCGGGGTGGATTAATCGACCGGTAATGCGAGCAACAAGCAGAGCATCGTCTATCTGTAATTCGACAGCATGCTGGAGAGTCTGGCCACGCTCCTTGAGCATTGCATCGAGGCCTTCGGCTTGAGGCACAGTACGTGGGAAGCCGTCGAGGATAAAGCTATACGTCCAAGTCAGAATGGTTCCCCCGTTTCAAGCAGCTTGATGTTGGTCAACATACCCTCCTTGGCACTCCTTGTTATTCTCAAGCTCTTCCTTAATCATGCCAATGACAATATCGTCACTGACAAGGCCACCCTGGTCCATAATTTTCTTGGCTTCTCTTCCGAGAGGTGTCTTCTTGGCGACTTGTGATCGCAGCATATCGCCAGTAGCCTACATAAAAGATAGGTGCTGTTAGGTCTATACGCGCTTTACATGGAGCCTCAATTGGCATTGACATACCAGATGACAGCAAGAAAAGCGCTCTTTAATCTTTGGTGCTTGGGTACCTTTACCTAATTACCGTATGAGCATTGTCTGTTGTATTCAACGCCGGGGTTCGTCTATAGCATAATTGAAACACTTACCAGCCCCAGGAGGTCCAATAAGGATCATACGGAGACTCTCTGCGTCAATTGAGGCAGATCCCGTAGCGCGCTGCTCAAGCTGCTTGATGCGCGAATCGAGGCCGCTGATAACATCGCGCAAGTGCTTGAGCTCGTCTTCTACAAACCCCATTGCGTCTGATTCGGTGCACGCCGGCAATTTTTTACTATAAAAAAATGAAGAAGTTGAGGGAGTACTTTAGCACCAGAGGAAAAAGGCTGTAGCGGGAACGGAAGCCGCGAGAGGAATTTAGGATACCTTGTTGAGCATAAACTGGGCAATGAAGCTGCGCAAGTAAGTTTTTGATATACTGCTTTAAAGTTTGGTCTATGGCGCTAGCAGAAATAATAAAATATTCTCCAAATCCATATCTATAATACTTTTAAAATATAATATAAAATAATAATAAAAAGGTTAATTTATTAATTTACTTTATAGTTTATAATAATATTATAAACTATATATAAATACTTATAATATAATATATATATATATATATATATTATTTTAATTTAATTAAGAAATATATTATATATTAGAAAATATATAAAATTTAAGTTTTCTATTCTTATTATCTTTATATAATATACATATACTATGTATATTTTTTTCTTTTAAAAATTAGTATATAGCATAAGAATTATTATAGGATTTTTATTTTAAAGCTCATGTACTCTGTACAGCACTTAAGTCGGACGAACGGACACATTGCTAGTAAGGTATAATTTTCCGCAGATACGGAGTAGATTTGCGGCTTATACAAAGAGTAGAGTACGGAATAGGCGCAATGGAATCTACCGAGGTAGCTTTAGCATCTATCCGTAAATCAATCTTACTTCGGAAGCGCTGGTAAACCTGGTCCGGTCGTCGGAAGTCCAAGTTTTTCTCGTAGTTTATGGTCCTTTTTTTTTTTTTTTTTTTTTTTTTTTTTTTTTTTTTCCCTCTTAGTGCCCCTCTCTTCCTTAACCCGATTCTTGACGACGTGTTTCTTATTCCGATGGAGTGTATTAATTTACCTATTAACTACTAGGTAATGTATTATTGATGTCGCAAAACGTCATATATCTATTGTTTCAGCCCCTTTACTTGACCTGAGGACTGGCAGTATCGTTCCATAAATCTTTTGTTTCTTCTTCTACCGCTCGCATGGCCACTGCTACTGATTCAAGTTTAGCAATGACGTCGATAACACCGTCGTTAACGCGCTCAAAATATTCATCGTTGGCCTCTCGTCTCTTTCTCGCGAGGAGAATGTCGGCCTCCGTTTCTTCTACTAACTTTGCTCCTAGACGGTCAGCTCTTTTTTCGTCACTCCCTTGCCATCCACTTGATGTGCCCATCATGCTCTTTGCTGCATCAGTCCCTTCTCCCCTCTCAGGCCTTGACGAGTCCAACAGCCCGTCTCGTAGATTATGTAGTTCATCACCCTTAACGTCATTCATATGGTCACGCAGAGCAGTCTCTATGGTATCGTCTGCCTCACTTCTGGCCCAGGCTTGTGCAAGTACAATTTGAGCAGTCCGCAAATCTCCTAGTTTGCGGTCATGCTCAGGTCCAAATACATGAGTGCCTTCGGAGGCAGATAATTCCACCTTTTCCAGCGTGGCTTGCATTTCTGCCCATAGTGCATCTGTCCTATCGGTGCCTCCATAGCTCCCCTTGGTCTGTAAGGCCCACTCAGGACGTCGCTGTTCCGGTGGCATATCTGACCCAGAACGCGAGGCGTCTACGGTGGTGGGATTCCATTTCAGATTGTGTCTCCCGAGAGCTTGAACGCTGGTTGTGAGAGAGCCGGGAAGCGAGACACGAGAGATGGAAGGTGATGGAGGCATAAACAGAAGAGGAGGGGGGTCTCGCTCCATTGCTTTTGGTTTGCCCGTGGACGACATGGCATTTTTAATGAGGACAGCCAATGCTAGACGAATTTGGCATGTGAGGATGAGGACGGAGGTGTGGGGCCCGTCAGTAGCTCGCCTGGGCGGTGGATAAAATACGGCCGGCTGGAACATCCGAGGTCACGTGAAGAAATTCTGCCGCTCAAATCTTTTGGTTCTAGGGCCGCAAACCCTATCGGAATTTTCGTGGTCTGCAACTGCAACCTTTGGCTCTCGGTGTTGTCACATTACTCAACCATAGGTGCCATATTAGCATAAATCGGTATGTTCAACACCAACTCAACCTTATCGTCACCCAAACCACGACTCCCTAACTAGCAATTCTTTGTACTAACATTACGAAGCAATCATGGCTGGTGGCAAACCCCGGGGTCTCAACGCTGCGCGCAAGCTGCGAACCAACCGAAAGGATCAGAAATGGGCTGATCTCGCCTACAAGAAGCGTGCTCTGGGCACTGCTTTCAAGTCTTCACCGTTCGGTGGCTCTTCTCACGCCAAGGGAATTGTTTTGGAGAAGGTTGGTGTTGAGGCCAAGCAGCCCAACTCCGCCATTCGAAAGTGTGTCCGTGTTCAGTTGATCAAGAACGGCAAGAAGGTCACTGCTTTCGGTACGTACAACAAGTAAATGATGTATTTGATCGGTGCATCAACTAACATGGGCTTACAGTCCCCAACGACGGTTGCCTCAACTTTGTTGACGAGAACGACGAAGTCCTCCTTGCTGGATTCGGTCGCAAGGGCAAGGCCAAGGGTGATATTCCCGGTGTCCGATTCAAGGTCGTCAAGGTGTCTGGTGTCGGTCTGCTGGCTCTGTGGAAGGAGAAGAAGGAGAAGCCCCGATCATAAAAAAGTAGTCTTTTGGGAGAAGAAGGTGTTGTCATAAGGATCGCGAGGAGTGAAACTGGCTCGGATATACTCGCACAACTAGTCGTGGCCCTATAATGGGAGGCTAAAATTTTGAAAGGGATTATACCATCTCTTTAGAAATATTTTTCAGCATGTTCAAATACCAGATGGCACCGAATTGGGCATCTTCTCACATTCACTTCGATCGACACACCAAGTGCAGGCAAAGAGTGGTTTATTGTCGCTATCTAATTAGGCGCCTAATTCTCTTACCTCTGACGTAGATTTCGATTCAGTCCCTTCGAGAGACCTGGCGATATAGTCAGCTGCCATACCGATGCTGACAACCCCACCTGTTATCCAGCAGCCGTTGACAAACCACCACCAGCAGTTCTTGACGCTCTTGAGATTCACCCGCCTGATCATGATTCCCAGAGTAACGAGAGCTCCACCACAGCTCCCAAGGAAGAAGATGGGACCTGCCCCGGCTGCCATTCCGGCTGCGCCTAACAAGGCCACTTGTGTAATGGCAAGCCCGGTTAAGACTTGCTTGGTCTGATGTTCATGTTTCAGGGCGATGCTTTTAATACCAGCATTTGCATCATCTTTGATATCCATATGGGCATAAATCATGTCATATAGGACAACCCACGCAATATTCGAAGCATAAAGGCATGCTGCAGCTGTGAGTGCGGAGGAATTTGAAAGCAAATCGATGCCAAGTGCAGGGAATCCCATTATTGCTCCCCAAGAAAAGGCCAAGCCAAGGACGGCCTGAGGATAATAGGTAACTCGTTTTGCCAACGGATATGTAAGGACGAGGGCGAGACTTGGTATGCCATAGGCGAGGCATGGCAAGGGGAATTGAACCAGAATGCCCAGCCCTGCAAGTAACTGAAAGCCAGTGAATACAATTCCTTTGAATGGGGTAATTGCACCACGTGCAATCGGCCGCAATCGAGTCCTCCTAACATGCGGATCAAGATTTCTATCCCAGAGATCATTGATGGTGCAGCCAGCACCACGCATAATCAAGGCCCCACTAAAGAACAGGGCTGCGGTGGTAGCTACTGAGGCAAATGAAGCAATAGGCTCTGCCATTGGCGCCGCCAGTAGCGTAGAAAAAAGGCATGGGAAAAACAGATAGTAGGTGCCAGCAGGTTTGTCAATACGGATGAGTTCGCCGTAGGGAACCCATGTTTTCGGGACAATTGACAGGATCCCAGTTTTGGCTGGGATGTATTCCGCTAGATGTTCATCGTTCGTTATCTTAGTGCTATTGGCCGCGTCGACGACTGGTTGCAGTTTGCTTGAGACTTGGTGGAAGGCGACGATTCTTTGGCCATAAACCAGCGGCCGATTTGGTAGGTTCTGTAGAGGGGACGACGTCGGACGAGGAAGTATCCGGAGTGGACTAATCGAGCAATTGCTCGATCGCCATCGCACTCGGTGGTGGATTGGCACTCTGACAGCTAGCCTAAGCGTCATAGGGTCCCAGAGAATGTCGATGCAGGCATGCAGGAAATGTGCCCTGCCAGGAACCTGGTATGAATGATTAGATTGGCTGATTGCACTAACAGGGTCCGTTTTTGCAGTCCATGCATAAAAAGCTTATTAATAATTATATTATGAGGGTAAACTAGTATAGGTATTAACTAAGACTTTAAATTAAATATTACAGCCAACTATTAAATGTTTACTTTTTTATTATTTAAATTTTATATACTTTTTATATATAGAAAATTTATAATATCAAGATTATTTTTTTTTAAATATATATAATATTACTAACTTTTTATATATTCAATATTTAAAATAATATATATATATATATATATGTTTATATTTTTAACTAAATTATTATTTATATTTCTTTTAGAATTATAGAGTACTATTTAATAAATTTACTTTTCTTTTTTTAGCGTTAGTCAGTTAGCTATACTTTAGTATCTGTAATGCAGCGCCACTACATGTGATTGCATCATATTTATATCCCAATGGGTACCTCGGCTAAGACTCTACCATATACATCCCACTCCCTACCGCGTGGCAGTAATTCTTCAACCTGTTCTACAATGAAAGACTCGGCTCTTAACCGCCATGAATCAGAAGATGCTGCATCTTCATGTCCACCGAATGAAGAGGATTTTCAAAATACATACGGGGATACTAAAGGCAAACAGAAAGAAAGATTGGCAGTAGCGGCTGCTCATCTTGAGGCATCTAGAAAATTGGTTATGAACGCCATAACTACATCACGGGAAATGCCCAATTTCGTGCCAGATTCCAAGCTTTCTGGTGGACCAAGTTACATGGGATCGTCTTCACATCTTTCTGGAGAATCCTCATCATATAAGGGACATGAGCAGGCATCGTTCGAACCGAATCGGAAGACTGCAAACGAGTGCCAAAACGATTCATTCGACGCATTCACCGAATACGTTACCGAGGCACTGGTGACCGATGACAAATATGGATCTTCATTTATGGACCAGGAAGCGTCAGACGGTTTAGCTGTGTTAGAACTTCTCTCTCAACAGGAAGATGAGTCGCATGGGCTAGCCTTTAGTCCAGAGTATGACGCCCGTGCGCCTGGGGAAGATATCTTATGGAATGCACCTCTAGATGAGATTCCTAGCGACCAAGAAAAAGAAGAGAAAGGGGAGCGGCTCGACTTTACTCCTGACTTCATTACTAGACCTGAAATTTCGCAGCAAGCAGAGCCCTACCTTGGAACTGGAGACATTCGAGAAACGAGCAGCACATGGTTTGGATATTGGCATGATGTGTTCACAGCATACAATGCCCGAGTGTGGGGCAATTCGCCATTAGTGACGACTTCGAGAACAGCAGAACAGCAAGGCGACGACAGCAGCGAGCCAGCAACTATCACTCGCGCGCTGAGTAGACTAAAACTAATATTCCATCATCTTAAAGGATAATTATTTTACTGTAGCCCAGCCTTATTGACATTCTCGAAAAGCTTGGCGCCACTTGCAAAAGATGAAGCACATGCATTGAATCAATAGGTTGTATCAAATTCAATACACTTGTATCTTTACCCCCAGTATCTACCTAGTACCTAGTAGCTACTAGCTACCTCTATACTACCTAGTAGTAACTACCTATACCTATACCACAGCTGCATATTAGTCTGGCTCTATTTTACTCTTCTTGTGCAACATCTCTCTGCAAGTTCTACCTTCCCAACAGGCTGGGGTAAGCTGCTGGGATACCCCTGTGTGTAAAGGCCTATTGGGCGCAGGACAGTGTTTAGCTCGCGCTAAGGCTAGATTGATTGTTTTCCATCTTTCACATTGCGCTTACTAGCATCGTCGAGTGCGTGATGAAGCTTGCGCCTCGACCCTGCCCAGAGCTCTACAAATCGCAGGTTCAGTTAGCAGGCTTTAGAATGGCCTAGTCAAGGCCACGATACGACGTCGACATTTGGCCGCTGGAAGGTAGCACTGATCCCGCCACGACTGACTACACCACCAATTACCTTCTGTCGACTACCCATGATTAATGCTGTTTGAACCTCGCCGCGCGAAACAAGATGCCTAGCGCACAACATCCACAGGCAAAATTTGATCCGATACCTCCAGATCTGGACCTTCACTCTCTGGTAGACCGCACACCGAATTTCCGATGGGTTCAGCGGGTGTCTCGATCCCAAATCAACAGTCTTGGCCAGCATGATTTCGAGAAGCTTGTAGCGATACATGTCATAGCTGGCGGGAAACCCCTTGTTATTGAGGGCTGGGATGATGCTCTGCCTTCCTCGCTATTTAGCGCAGGATGGCTTGAGAATGTCTATGATAAAAAACGTTCGTTATTTCCCCAAGCTACTATGAACCTATACTGATCTGCCTGTCTTATCAGAGGAGAATGTTCGCGATATTTCCAACGGCGTTGACATCCCGATGACCACTGGACACTATCTACGCTCCATGAAACAGCTCACCAATCAGTGGACTCCAAACACGTATCGCGACGAGCGCCGACAGCGATTATATCTCAAGGATATTGACTGTCCTCCGGAATGGCGCGATATGCTACGGAAAATTATTCATCCTAATCTCTTTTATCTCAACGAAAATCTTACAAGTAAAGGAGACATACGCATGCGCGATGGGGAAATTTTTGAGAGCGAAACTACCGCTGCCTCTGCTGGAGATCTTATGTCTAGCCTACCAGAAGAAATGCGAGCCCAAAATCTCATGTGCTACATAGGCCATGAAGGAACCTACACGCCCGCCCATCGGGAGATGTGCGCATCGCTGGGACAGAACATCATGGTTGAGGCATCACGAGATGAAAATGGAGAAAAGAAGGGGACTTCAATTTGGTTCATGACTGAAAGCAAAGATCGTGAAGTGGTCCGAGAGTATTTTTTGTCGATGCTTGGCCATGATATCGAGATTGAGAAGCATTTCGCGCAAATCAACGCGTGGAAGAAGGCCCCCTTTGATGTATACATTGTGGAGCAATGCGTCGGCGATTTTATACTTATTCCACCTCTCGCTGCGCATCAAGTTTGGAACAGAGGGACCAGAACGATGAAGGTTGCTTGGAATCGCACAACAGTGGAGACCTTAGACCTCGCACTACATGAAGCTCTTCCCAAGGCTCGCTTGGTGTGCCGAGATGAACAGTACAAGAATAAAGCTATCATTTACTATACCCTTCAAAAATACCACGCAGAGCTCCGAAAAATTGAAAAGAAGTCAGAGATTATGCAGATTGGCTTCGGGGGCTTCGGGCGAGATATCTTCAGAAGCTCTCCGCGCACGAAGCAGCTAGCGGCTGACTTCAGGAAACTGTTTCAGCTATTTACCGAAATCATTCTTGATGAAGTCTTTGCATTCAAGGAGAAAGATGTCGAATTCCTACCGTTTGACTCCTGCGTTACCTGCTCTTACTGCAGATCTAACATTTTCAATCGGTTTCTCACCTGTAAACACTGTATCAGATTCTTGCCTAATGGAGAAGAGGATGCATACGATGTTTGCATGGAGTGCTATGCAATGGGTCGGTCATGCGTCTGCCTCTCTGGCCTTCAATGGTGTGAGCAATGGTCATGGTCGGAGTTGGCTGATAACTACGAGACTTGGAAAGCAACTGTTATCGCAATTGATGGCCACGTGGATTTGGAAAACTCTCCACAGCCACTCGAGATAGCTAGACAGAGGGTAGGAAAGAAATCGCTCGCTCAGATCTGTCAGGAAGCATTACAGCGACGCCCTTGGAAGGACATTACAAAACCAGACCGCGAAAAGACACCCAGCGACTCTGAGCAAGGCGAGGGCGATGATAAGCCGAGTAAGAAACCAAAAAGAAAAAAGAAGAGGGGTGAAGTCCACCGTTGCCATGTTTGTTGCCACCCGGATTATAGCTATCGAATACATTTGTGCACGAATCCTGGCTGTGCTGAAGGATACTGCTACGGCGTCCTATATCGGGCTTTCGATCTCATGCCACAGACCGTTATGGAAGATGAGCATTGGCAATGCCCTAAATGCTTAGGGATATGCAATTGCGGCCATTGCCGCCGTGCAGGCATTACACGGCCATACATGCCAAAGAACACATCTCTCGGACATGACACTCGACGAATTGCAGACGATCGAAGTGTAGAAGCACTTGTTGATTTTCGAATTCACAACTTGTCTTGGTTGAAAGCTGCGGGAGAAGAAAGTCGTAGCAAGGACAGTAAGAGAATGCAGCGGCTGCGGGAGCAAGCGGACAACGCCAAAGCGCAAGATGCTCTGCAGCAATCTCATGCAGAGCCTAAGATGCAATCTAGTGCTGTTTTCACTGCCAACCTAGGAGAATCTTCCATGATAAACGGGTATGGAGATCAGAGTCAAGTGCTTGGTCACGATAGGGGAAGTGTATCCAACCTGACGTTTGACGTCTCCGACAGACACCCCAGTAAGGCCGACATCGCGCCACAAGATGTTGCAGTCCCAGCCTCAGTCGATGCTCGAGAGCAAAGAAGTGGCGATTCATCACATTATCCTGATCCATCAGTTTTCACACGCCAGCGAATAGGAATGGGGTACTACGAACAAGACGATACACCGGATAAAATACTTTTTGACCCATACCAGGCGCCTTCCACCGAGTCAATTAAGGCTGACGAATCTACTGTCCCAGAATTTGTTAAAAAAACCATTCGGGCAGCTAAGAGAAAAGCTAAACGGGAGAATGACGATCCCGATTTCATTATTCCTAAAAGCCACACGAAAAAACCAAGGCTTACAACGGAGCCATCAGATTTCCTTGATAACATGGACCCAGCTTTATTTACCGAAGAAACTTTGCCAGCAGTACATAATCAAACAACTGCGCTTGCTCCTATGGATAGGGAAGTTTCTGTAGGGACGTCTCGAGGAGAGCCCAGCCACAATGCATCGAAGATACTCGTTGCTCCGGCTGATACTAATGAGCCAAGTCTTCGACATGCCAAGCCACGGGCGTCGTATGTTGAGATCGATGACCTGGATATCGACGAAGTAGAAGAAGCTGAAGCAGCGCCTCGGGCTTCTCCAACCCTAACAGCGAGCTCGATGAAAGCTCAGGATTCAGCAGTCGATAAAGCCCATAAAGATATACCCGCGAACAGAGGAGGACAAGGACGGAGTAGTGCTGAAGAACAACGTCCGAGTAGAGTAACGCAAGAGGCGGTCTGGGATGTTGTTCCAAAACGTCGAGGTCGACCACCAAGAAAGTTGCCAAGAATAGCATCGCCGGTGACGACTGAGGACGTGTCGCCGCCGCAAATTGAAAGTGGAAATAATAAAAGGGGGAGAGGTCGCCCAAAGAAGTCACTGTCTATACCACTCATGGAGGCAGATAGTAACTCGCAGTTTGTGTCATGGAAACAGCAAGGCGGCATGGTCTTCGCTCACGATTCAGAAACTCGTCAATCGGAATCTCTGGATTCAAACGAGCCGGCCAATAGTAGAGACGGTGATTTCATTGAAGACTTACCACAACGACGCTGGAGCTCCAGATCTTCCGGTGTTGCCAAAATTGGCGTTGTCAGACCACAACAAGAGCACCAAATCAACACCTTCAAAGAAGTACAAATCGAAGGCGAAAGAGGAGATCCTCTTCCGAAAAGGAAGAGAGGTCGACCTCGGAAATCTGTGGCTTCTGAACGAAGCGGATCCACTTTGGATGTGATTTTGCCAGCAAATTCTCAGTTTATGTCTATGGCTGAACGGATGGCTCTCAAAGGCAAATCGTTCAAGATTAGCACGAGGAAAGCCCAAAGCAACGTGAAAGGCCCAAGCCCGGGACAGCAGACGATGGTACGAGTTGAAGAACGCCTCGTTGAGAAACAGATATCCAAGAGAACCCCTGAAACAGATGAGGTGTATGAAGAACACGAAGAGGGAGAGAGTGAAAGCCTTTATGGCAATGATCACACCCAGGGGCGCACTAGTAGAACTAGAGAGGCCAGCAAAGCAAGAATTTGGTCTCGGTCTAGCAGTTCCAGGGAGTCGACAGATGACGAAGACATACCATCCAATGGTCGCATTACTAGAAGCAATCGATATTGAAGCATGGGTCAACATAGTAGAGCGTTGCGCAGAGCGGAGACACTAGGGATGTAGACGTGATTTTGTGCTAAATGAATAGTAGGCAAATTGAAATGAAATCTCTCTTGGTACTGTAATAGTATTCTATATTTACTCCTCGTCATAAATTTCCAGGAACCATATGTATATAAATATATACTATCATTTTGCGTCGCGATTCCAATGAGACCCCCCCCCTCCTTTTCCTCTTGGAATAGGAAATCTCATAAGTGGCAATATCTTTTGTATTTTTTTTTTCTTCTCTGGTATCAACTAATAATAGTATGTCTTATTTCAAGGTTATACTATATTTATAATCCTCTGGCTTTTCTTGCCCAAATATAATTAGGACTTTGATTGACTCTTTCACTATTCCTTAGTATTGACTATCATATACAACCCTTGAGTTGCTATTTGGTTTAGGTGTGCTCTCCAGTGTTCCAAGATTTCTACCTTTAACTACAGTGCTGAAAATACAAAGAGCTGCAGCGAAATGTTAGCACTCAGTAGACTTCCAATCCTTTATCGGCTCGGAAGGGGACTCACATTATTGGTCGCGGCTATGGCAATACTATCCTCAAATGGATGCCAACTCATGTGTAGTATTTTCTTGTTGAAATCGATCTGGTCCGCGTCCGTCTCTTTCCGCATTCTTTGGCCTTGCGCACCACCAGCCGGGCTGCCTGCCCGTGAACCTCCCTTCTTGCCACCATTCGCAGCTGTTGGGCTTGTAGATGAGTTAATGGGTGTAGGAACGCCCACCTTCTTTGCTTTGAAAGCTGACTTGTCCGCCTGAAGAACCACCTCAACTTCCTTATCCGGATCGGAGGGATAAATCATGAAGTTGTTGTTGTAACTTCCAGTCATCACATTCTTGGCGTCGCCGGAAAATACAACCTCGAACTTATCAAAAATACTATCATTTTCATACGTGTCACATAACCGAGGTCGCAGATGTTCGTGAATAGGTATCGTCTTGACGGGTTGCCGCTCCATGTTGATGTCCCAGATTTTGACAGTAAGGTAGTCTCGTGACAAGACATATCTTCCGTCATAAGAGAATCTTACATCGGATATTGACGAAATGATCTCAGAAAAGAATGACCTTGATGAAGGATCTTCCTCTTGCTCGAATACTAGTTTTTTTTTAAACCATTGGTTAGTTCTTCAATCCCATTTGTCAAGAGTTTAATGTGGTGCAGTCTCAATACAAACATTTTGCATGCTGGTCGCACAAAGCACTTTCTCGCATATCAGCAAGTTTGATTGTGCCCTTTGAGCTGGCATACATGAACCAGTTGCAGCTGATTGGGTGAAACTCCGCAGCAGTAATAACCTCGGTGAGCTCCTCCATGTTGGCGGGTTTGATATCGACTATGTTGAAGCTCTGGTCCTGAATATTGAGATTCCAGAGGTTGATACGCAGATCGTCACTGCTGATGAAGGTTTCACCATCGCTGTTTACCGATATGCTGTTGATGTGATATGCGTGAGCGTTCGCATAAGTTCGTCTGGGGACGGCGGCAACAACGGTGTCATGGTGCGTAAGGCGAGGCAGCTTCAGATCCGCCGCGTTCCTGAATTGCTGGGTTGTAGGGAGAGCTCGAAGGCCGCCGCCGCCACCGCCTACCGCACCTCCGGGTGTTATATCATGGGAAAGGTTGTTCTCAGCCACCACTTTAAGAGACTTTTCGAAAACTTTCCACAGCTTGATCGTCTTATCATTGGTGGATAGGAGATAATGAGAAGCATTTTGTCGACGGCACCACTTGATCTTGTTTATCTTTTCCTCGATTTCGAGAGACTTCAAGTAGTCAAACTCGGGCTCATGGGACTGAAACTCGGTGTGGAATTTGTATTCGCAGGATTTTTTCTACAACGGGTTAGAGATTCTGCATCCACCGCTTGGAGGGGAATTGGAGCGAGGTGAGCAAGGCAGTACCGTCTCGTTCCGTTCAAATAGAACCACCCGCCCTCCTTTGTCACCAGTGGCAAGGTAATTTCCCGTGTGATCAAATTCTACCGTTGAGATTATATCGGCTAGGCCCCGCGGTCAGTATCAGGCAGCATACGTCAGAGGAGAGTGTCTGGCGGCGAACCTTCAGTGATATCCTCAACATCGCCCTTGTCGCCGAAGCATCTGCGAGCATCCCGGGTCAGTTGCAAGTAGAATCCATTGGAGCGGAGGCACATACTGGGTAAACTTCCAAGTTGGTGAGTTCGCTTCACTGTCGACCATTTTGGTTGGCAGCGATAGCAGGGATCAGAGGTGGCACAGGCAGCCGGGGTGACGAGATACAGCGCGAAACAAGAGGGCAGTGAGGGGTGATGTCTCGAGAGGGTTGGGAGGTCGGCTGCGGCTTGGTGAGGGCTTGGGCCTAGCAGAGTCGAGAGGGCCGGGTCTTGGGGCGAAGGGCAATCAGGCGTTGATGATGCGAATGATGTCGTTTGCTGTTGCACGGGCTGAAGAAGAGAGCACACAGCTAGATGTTACTAACAGGTGCCACACGCCGCGCGGGTGAACAAGAGCTCCTGGTGGGGCACGAGAGCAGCAGCAAGAGGACGCAAGAAGCCAGATACACTAGAGGGGCTGGGCTCGGATATGATGCGCGTGCGTTAAAAATCCCTGGCCCGGCAAAGCTTGCTGCTTGGAGGACTTCTAGTGTAGGTCGGTGCAAGGTAACTCTAAAAAGACTAGGTCAAGGTGGGATGCTCTTCATTCATGATATCACCCAATGTGACTACATATAGGTACCTATATAATATAGGTAGATATGTATATATATACCTAGGTGCCTACCTATATATATATATATATAATACAGAATTTTATAGCCATATAGTCGTCTATGGTTTTAATTCACCCCCCCCTCTTCTCCCCCTCTTTTCGCTTTAGGGGTCATGCCACTGCAATATTTAGCATCAGTAGTGCTTGTATACCTACCTACTACCTAGTACTACTACTGCTGCTACCAACTAACTTCCATCTAAGCATCCCATATTGTGCCCTCTTCTGCTTTGGTATACAAAGTAGACGTAGGCAATATCAGCTAGTTTTTTACAAGAAATATTCAATCGCCGCCCGCTCGTCAAAGTCTCTTTTAATGGGTACGTAATATCTTTTCAATATGCTCTCGGCTATTCTTCTGTGTGGTCTCGAGATACAGCAATCTTTGGTTCAGTTTATCAACATCACCATCAAGATCCTGCATCTGGCGCTGTAATTTCTCGTGCAGAGTATTGGGAGGGAGAGAAACGAACCTAGAGTCCACGAAACATCAGCATCAATTCCACTACTGCGCAACACCCATGCTCCGCGTGTGTGCATCTCTCACGTACATCTTCCCTACGCCTTCGTAAACGACTGAATTGCTTGCAAAGCTCTGCACCTCGCTCATTGTTAACCGGAGTAGACGTTGCTCTCGCTGCTTGGCTGCTAACTGGCTTCGAACCATGCCGATCTGTTGTTGCGCCGCAATGGCTTGGGACTCGATCTCGAGCGCCAGCTAGTAACATTAGTAGAGATTCTAGAATCCAGGAGAGTCTCTATCACCTTTTGCAGAGCTTCATTGGATATAGACATGGTGTATGACCAGATATACCTTGGAGTAGCTCAAGGTAAATCCGGAAAGGTAACGGAACGAGTGTCAGGCCTCTGCGACTGCCAGACAAGCACTTGGCACGACGACCTAAGAGGGCCTAGTGCTACTTTTAAGCTAGTCCAAGTTACCCCCTACTACTATAGAGGTACATAAGTAGGTAGTACAAAGGTACTAGGCATGTAGAACCTTTTATTGAAGAAAGCAGTATACCATAATTCTTTTCAATCTCATACGTGTGAATGCATGTATAGAATAGAATATCTAATAGATTTAACCATATACGTATTAAAAATCTCATGAATGGTAAGCGTTATCGTGATATATAATGTTAAGAAGGTATTGCGTAGCCAAGGTACCGCTGCTGCTACTAGCTTGGCGCCCTCAGTCCAAAAATAAAGTTTGCCTCGCATTTATCTGATATGGGTATATTTTCACCTGCAACACCTGCATCGCCAAGATTTCAGGCGCCGCTCAGCATAGTCTCTTGCCTGTATGCGAAATCTCTGCAGATTCGCAGTCGCAGAGCCACTCACGAGGCTATAGTACCTTGACATTTATTGCACAATTCAACCGTTTTCTTGGGTTATCGAGACATCGACCGCGCGCAATCGCGTCTCTCGCTCTTTCAGATAACTGATAACTGTTCATTACCATTACCATTGCCTAGCAACACGGACCGAATTTTTTTCTTCTATCAAGATACCAACGGCCCAACATGGGTATTCCCGCTGCCTTTCGATGGCTATCTAACAAATATCCGAAAATCATATCACCAGTGATTGAACAAACGCCGATTGTCACCGAAGATGGCATCACGATACCCGTCGACACCACGCAGCCCAATCCTAATGGGGAAGAGCTGGACAATCTGTATTTAGACATGAATGGAATTGTCCATCCGTGCTCCCACCCAGAGGATAGGCCGGCACCGGCTGACGAAGAGGAAATGATGCTCGAGGTTTTCAAATACACAGATCGCGTTGTGAACATGGTTCGCCCACGAAAGATCCTGATGATTGCTGTTGGTAAGTGTGGCGTCTCGTCTCATCATCCCTCTGAATGGCCTACAATCACCTTTGCTCAGTTTCAACTAACAAATATGAATCAGATGGAGTTGCGCCAAGAGCCAAGATGAATCAACAGCGATCCCGCCGATTTCGATCGGCCCAGGAAGCCAAGGAAAAGGAAGAGGACAAGCAAGCGTTGATCGAACTCCTAAAGCGTCAAAATGGTGGCACATTCGCTGCTGCAGACTCGGAGACGGTCGTTAAGAAAGCTTTCGACTCCAACTCTATTACTCCAGGCACTCCATTCATGGATATTCTCGCCTTGAGTTTGCGGTATTGGTGCCAATACAAGCTAAACACAGATCCAGCATGGGCTAAGCTCAAAATCATCATATCCGATGCTACTGTGCCCGGTGAAGGTGAACATAAGATCATGAACTTCATCCGATCTCAACGCACTTCTCCGAACTATGACCCCAACACCCGCCATGTTATTTATGGCTTGGATGCCGATCTCATCATGTTAGGACTTGCCACGCACGAGCCTCACTTCCGAGTTCTACGTGAAGATGTTTTCTTCCAGGAAGGCAAAAATAGGGCGTGTAAGCTATGTGGTCAAAAAGGACATGAGGCGCATAACTGTCGTGGAAACGCTAAACCAAGTGATGATGCTACCGACGAAAAAAGCAAAAGCCTCCAGAGCCCCGTTCAAAAGCCTTTCATTTGGCTGCATGTTTCTGTTCTAAGAGAGTATCTCGCCGCCGAGTTGGCTGTGCCTGATCTTCCTTTCAGATTTGACCTAGAGCGGGCAATTGACGATTGGATCTTCATGTGCTGCTTTGTAGGTAATGACTTTTTACCTCATTTGCCTGCTCTGGAAATTCGAGAGCATGGAATTGATACTCTAACCACAATCTGGAAGACGAACTTGCCATCCATGGGCGGTTATGTCACCAAAGATGGCCATATTGATTTGGCGAGAGCGCAAGTCATACTTGATGGCCTCGCCAGTCAAGAAAATGCAATTTTCAAAAGAAGAAAAGAGCAGGAAGATCGCCGAGAAGCCTCTGCGAAACGAAGAAAGCTTCAGAATGAGGGTTATGCCAGAAATGGACAGCATGGCTCTTCCAAAATTGACGGACACGTCGATCCTACCAAAGGGCTACAGCTTTTCCCCATTGCATCACAAACCGCAAACTCGTCTAATAATATGACGCATGATATGGTTGTCAGCCGCAATGCGACTCAAGATGTGACGTTAGCCAATAAAGGCGCGGCCAGCGTAATGCGAGATCGACTGCGGGCAGATACTAACAAAAATGAGGATACCTCTAGCGCAGCAGCAGGTATCACCCAACCTATCACCCAACCTATCACCCAACCTCTACATTCGTCCCTTGGAAAGAGGAAAGCCATGGACTCCGATGACACTGTCAATGCCTCTCCAGCTCCAGAGGTAGAGCCAATTGATAACGTGCGCCTATGGGAAGATGGCTATGAAGATCGCTACTACCAGCAAAAGTTTCACAAGGATCCACAAGACATTGAATTTCGCCACAAGGTGGCTCAGGCATACGTCGAGGGGTTGGCTTGGGTATTGCTCTATTACTTCCAAGGATGTCCGTCTTGGGAATGGTACTATCCTTACCATTATGCCCCGTTTGCTGCTGATTTCAAAGACCTCAGCAAGATGGAAATTGTTTTCGAAAAGGGACGGATTTCTAGGCCATTCGAACAGCTGATGAGCGTTTTGCCAGCCGCATCTCGCCATGCTCTCCCCACAGTCTTTCATGACCTGATGTTACAAAAAGATAGCGAGATTATCGACTTCTATCCGGAAGAATTTCAAGTCGATTTAAATGGAAAGAAGATGGCATGGCAGGGAGTCGCTTTACTTCCATTTATTGACATGCCGCGACTCCTCAAGGCTGTTCAAAGCAAGTATCATTTACTAAGTCCAGAAGATGTTGCACGAAACACAGTGGGAAAAGACGTCCTGTTATTATCTGATAGCCATGACGGGCTCTACGACGATATCCTAACCAATTTCTATTCGAAGAAGCAGGACCGTTTAAGGCTCAGTATAAACACAAAAAATAGCAACGGCTTAGCAGGAGAAATAGAAAAGCAAGAAGACAAGGTTCCTCATGGAGCTTTGAACTATCCCCTAGAGCGACGATCTATGCCAGATCTAGATTACGATCATTCAATCAGGTACTATCACCCCAATTCTTCTTCTGCTTCTTCTTCTTCTTCTTCTTTTTTTTTTTGTAATGTTTGGCTAATCAGGTGTAGCGTTTATTATGACATGCCTCAGGTATCCCAAACTCACAAATCAATGTTGCTACGTGGAGTGCGAATGCCGGTGCCTATTTTGACTAGGAGCGATATCGAAATACTGCGAGGAAAGGGAAATCGAGGAGGTCGCAACAACTACGGAGGATCATATAGGAATAACAATGGTCGGAATGGGCCTGGCTATGCTGGTGGGTACAGAGATTCGCGAGGATCTCATACCGGGCACTATAGGGATAACCAACGCTTCGAATCGCATAACCCCCATCATGGTATGCCTCAACATGGGAGGTGGCAGCCTCCAGCTGGGCCAGCCTTTGATCCGAGGGCCAGCTCATATGCAGCCCCAAATATGCAGCACCAGCCGCAGCAAGGCTGGTATGGGAATAGGCCCGAGTATGGCCACCAGGGGAGACACGGAGGAGACCCTGGAGCGCGGCCTCCTTATGGTAATCACTGGCACGGGCGTGGCCATCCATGATCGCCATTATTCGCTTTCAGGTGCGTATACAAGATAAGTTGCTTATTCTGAAACGCAATTTGTACGTTGTAGGGCTGTTACAACCGAAGAGCATTATCTTCCTAGCCAGTAAACATTGTTCATACGATAGAACCATCCCACGACATACTAGTTACCGCGCACATCTAGACTGTATCGTGTCCATGTGCATGGAGATTGAAAAATGAATAAATATACCAATTTCTGCTATTTGATTTCAACCAAGCCCGCCCCATATACCTCGAATCCTCCTCGCCAGCTGAATGTCTTTTTGCATAAGTGTCACTCTTTTCGCATGGACCGCGCATAGCTGTGCATCTTCAAATAGATGTACCATAAATGCTTCTGCAGCCTCTTGCAGTGCCTGGATTGCCTGGCTCTGCCATCTAAATTCTTTTCCTCTCGGGCGACAATTTAATCCAATTTCACGGACCTATACAGTATCAAAAAAAAGGCAAGTCCACGTCAGAAGGGTGATGATGACGGCACTAACGAGTCGCATAAACGGAAGTTTTAGAAGTAGAAGCTTTGTATTGGCTTGATATTGCCTGATTTCTCGTAGCGCAACGGTGCCTGGGCGATATCGACGTTTCTGTCTCGTAGGTAGTGGATCGCCCGCTGAATGATAGTTAGCAATGGTGGTTTAGGATATGGGGCTCAACGCGCACGCTGAATGTCGCTTGGTCTGGCACGATAGCGTTGTTGGGTTCCTGAAGTTGATTGGCGAGGAGCCATTGCGAAAGGGGTATCAATGAAGTGAAAGAAAGAACGAATTGAAGAACCATGCGTGGTAGCTAACGCATGGGCTACATCGGAGCGGATGCGAGATCGAGTGCGAAGGCTCAGGCTTGTTTGTTCCGGATTGTGGAACGCGTCTCTGGGTCAACCCGGCGACAGGTCGTCAAGGACATATGTATGGCTGATAAGATAACGAGACCAGCCCAGATCAAGTCTAGTCCGTATCTAATACAAGCGGCCTAGTGGCAGACACAGGCACTGTAGCTGCGATGAAGTGGAATATACTACCTCTCTTCTACCTTACCTACTACTAGTAGGTAGTAGTATAGGTACCTATGCATAATAGGTACCTACTTATCTAGGTAGTCGCCAAATTGTGTTTTTCTCCGTTGCAAAAAAGTGGTGTTTGGGAATTAATATCGTAATTCCGTATGCTTAAGAATTGATCGGCTTACAATATACATATGACAGAGGGAAAAGGCATTGGCGACTAGAATCATTGCCTATTACGCCTAGTATCTGCTACTATGCGCCTAAAGCTGTAGTGTGGTTACAGCTAGTCGTATATCCACCTACGTGTTATGTAGGGGCGTTTTCTAGAAGCTCGGTATATTAAATTGCTACAAGCTCAGCCTTTTGTCCTGCATGCTCAATCGATTGTGAAGCTCCATTCCCTCAATTGGTGACATGGGGGGAGCGACGACATGTTCTCCATCTCCAGCACTCCAGCGAAACAATCTGTTGGCGACACGATCACCGTTCTCAGCGGGCGACTCGGTTCTGCGACCCTTCTCGAAGATCGGCGGGCTGCGGTTCTAGGCCTGCGAAGCTTCGCAAAAGACTATCCAGCGACTGTAGCGTCCGGGGCGCTCAGGGGCTTAATTGGCAGCCTCACCAAAGATGCCGACGATGTCGATACGATCAAGGTGGTGCTGGAGACCCTGTTGATGCTGTTCAATCCAAACAAGGAGAGCCCTGAAGCATCAGACGAAATCGCATTATGGCTGGCAGATGAGTTTACCCAGCGTCAAGAAAACATCACGCTGGTCCTGGACTTTTTAGATTCTACCGATTTCTATTCACGTCTGTATTGTTTGCAACTTCTCAGCTCAATCCTCACCGCACGTACTCAACGAACCGAAGAATGTGTTCTTTCTGCGCCATTAGGGATCAGCCGCCTCGTGGCTGCTCTTGACGATCAACGGGAGGCGATTCGCAACGAAGGTATCAATCTATTGATACTGCTGACGTCGAGTTCCATTGAGATACAAAAGCTTGTTGCATTCCAGAGTGCCTTTGAGAAGATATTTGTTATCATCGCTGGCGACGGTTCTCTCTCTGAGGGCGGGAGGACTGTGGAGGACTGCTTGATTCTCTTAGCCAACCTGTTGAGGGGCAATGCGGCCAATCAGTCTCTCTTCAGGGAGTCCGACTGCATGGGAAAACTCACGGAGATGCTCAAGGGGCTACTCGAGGCTCAGAATCAGGAAGATAATCTTGCCAAATGGGCGCAAATCCAGGTTAATCGGAACATATACGCATTTCTCTCCATCATCCGCCTGTTTCTATCTACAAACTCCGCAGAGACACATCAGAATCAAGCCACATTCTGGAGGCATGGCCTTAGCTATCTTGTCCTTCAGCTTGCGTTCGACCCTGATGTTCAAACGCAAATCAAAGCCGAGGTGCGGAGGCCTACTCCCCTGCTTTTTAATATGTTGAGCCACAATTATAACAATTCGAACAGGCTTTGGTTACTTGCGGAGACTTGATCCGTAACAATATGACCCTCCAGGAAGGCTTCGCTTCACTCACAGTCTCTCCACCACTGGAATCCATGGTCGGCAACCCAAACGTATCCAATGGCCATCCTCCCAAAATCTATATCATTGACGGCCTGCTTGACTTGACATTAAATGTGCACGATATTGCTGCATTTGATTTGCGATTTGCCGCCTGCCAATGTCTAACAGCCTATTTCTCTAACCACGCTGAAGTAAAATCGCATTTCCTTGGCAGAGCCATAGAAGGGTATCAGTCTGGACGAGACGAATCTGCTAACATCTTGAGTGTTCTGCTGAAGCTACCTGGTGACGTGTTTTTGAACGATTCATACCGCGTGTGGTTTGCGTCTGTTATCGCATTCCACCTTGTGTACGACAACCCTACTGCTAAAGCAGTGGCCAAAGGCTTGACCGAAGGCGACGCCTCTAAAGGCGAGGAGGTTGTGACCAGCATACAAACAATCACAGCACACTTGCTGACAAGGATACGTCGAGATGATGACACCCGAATATTGGTGGGGTATCTAATGCTGCTTCTAGGCTGGCTGTTTGAGGATCTTGATGCCGTTAACGATTTCCTGACTGAAGGCAGCAATGTCCAAGGCCTTATTCAGGTAATCTCACAGCCAGTTCGCGTGGCAGGGGAGCTTGTACAAGGTTTGTGCGCCATGCTCCTAGGGTTCATCTACGAGTTTTCTACAAAGGATTCACCTATTCCGCGAGCAACATTACATTCGATTTTGGAATCGCGGCTAGATAGGGATGGCTTTCTAGACCGTCTGGTAAAACTACGAAACCACCCACTGCTCCGGGATTTCGAAGTCACACCACAAACACTAATTGCTTTACCCACTGGGGAAGAGGAAGTCAATGTGTTCTTTGATAGCATTTTTGTTGAATTTTTCAAAGATAACTATAGTCGGGCAGTTCGTGCTATTGATAAAGCACCCGACGTGGAAGTATCGGTTATCAGGAATGGCATGGAACAGGGCATATCAAGACAGCTCGTAGATTCTCTGCGTCATCAAATAGAGGAGAGAGATGGCGCGATTGTTGAGGCTAACGAAGCCAAGCAAGCATTGCAGAGAGCCCTTCATGAGGCGCAAGAGGCCCATCGCCGTGCCAAGGAAGATGCCGAGGCTACAAGTACAAATACGGCAACGGAACTGAGGTATGACTGAAACCCTTGCCGTAACGAGTGTTTAGAGCACAACTGAAGTGTATATCTAGCAAGCTTCAAAGCCAACAGGCTGCTAAAGTTGCGGAATATGAACAAAAAATCGTGCAATTGCAGCAGCAGCTTAATTCTAAAGACGAGAATCATCAATTACAGCTCGATGCTAAAGAGACGCGTCTGAAAAAAGAGTTGGAAGCCAAAGACGCACGCCTGAAAAGGGAGTTGGATGCTAAAGAAAAAGAGCTGGGTGCTAAAGAAGCTCATTTCCAAAAGCAACTGGATGCTAAGGAGCGACAGCTTCAAACTCAACTAAGTGCCAAAGACCAGCACCTACAAACGCAATTGAGTCAGGTTCAAAAAGCACACGAGGTAGAGGCAGAACGAGCAAGGCAGAAGGCTGAAGCGGAAATCGCAGATTTGCGGGCGACTGCTAGCAGACTTGAAGTCGACTTGATGAAGGTGAGTGCCACGAGACATGATTCAGTAAATAACCTTTACGGATTTGTTAATTGGGATTTTACAAAGGCCAATAAGTCCAAGACCGTTGAATTACAGGCCCTTCGTACAGAGCATGCAGACGAACTAGCAGAGCATGAGTCTCAGCTAAAGAAGGCCAACGAGAAGAACGAAGAGCTAGGGAAACAGCTGAAGACTGCCAACGAGCAAAACGAGAGGCTGGAAAAACAGCTGAAGACTGCCAACGAGAAAAATGACGAGCTGGAAAAACATCTGGAAGATGCATCGTCAGAAGCTGAGAAGCTGCGGCAGGAAGTTTCGGAGGTAAGAGATGACAGGCTCGACGCTCAACTTTACACCACTGACAGTATATCCCTTAGACAACGTCAGCCTTGAAGGATGCAGACAAGGCCAAGGATGCAGTCCAGTCCGAACTCGACGATCTCCTTATGGTATTTGGCGATCTAGAGGAGAAGTTGGCGAAGTACAAGGTGGGTGATCTAGCTTTTCATTAAAACTATCCTCGCGCGCGCGAAAAGAACGACCACATGCTGATATAAAGCTTTACCAGAGTCGTTTACGAGATCTTGGCCAGGATGTGTCCGATGGAGAGGACGACGATGGAGACGATGGTAGCGCCGACGAGGAGGAGAGCGAAGAAGACGAAAAATAGCAACGTCGTCGACCAATTTAGAGCAATGAAGTAAATTTTGTTGGAGGTTCTGCAGCTATGTAGGCACTATCTACGAATTCGTTTGGTGCTGTAATTAATTGCAGAGCTTGGTGTAAGGTGTTGGTTAACATTAATGTGAGGAGGTAGGTAGTATTAGGCACAGAGATCGTAGCGGGGGAACTCATGTGCAAGCAAGTTAGTGTTAATCCTTTATAAGGCACTATTGAACTGTAATAATTGGAGTGGGACCTCCCATCGAATTCACCTCTTGCCTTTTACCAGATGTGACCGTGGGATTGGCCCAGCAGACTCCATTTCAATAATCTTTGGCATTACCTCATCTGGAAGTTCCAGGTTCGAACACTAGTTGGAGATTTTTTCTCAAAAGTTTTTTTTTTATACATGTATAGTACATATTCTTTATCTTTGTATTTTTGTCAAACCTAATATGAAAATAGTGAGTATGAAGGAACATTTACCTTGTTCTCAAGCCCTAGATTGTTCAGTTCACATGCTCTCTTCTTTTAGTTCAAATCTATCATTCGCTCTCCATAGTGGAGGAAGATTTTTTTTTTTTTTCCCTACCTAGGAAGTACAAGAATCGATTCTAGCGCGCGCCTGGCGGGGCATCTCTGCGTGTAAAAACACTTGTAAAATACTTTACTTAGACTTGACAGGTGCCCTTCGTTTGGCAGATTTTTAGTGACATGAATAAGTACTGCTTAGGTATCCTTACTGCTTGCAGTGCTCAATTAGCTAGTACCTTGATGCCTCAGCAGGTACTTGACAAGTATCTTCTAAGTTACCCTATCTATTCAGCGTTGGAGAAAAAAAAAAGGCATTGTGAATCTCAAACCTCTCACTGAAGGAAGCGGATGCAAGTGAATAAAAATTTTACGCGCTTGTGAAGAAAATAATCCAAACACAAAAATGAGTGCGAGATCATCATCGTCTGGTACCACTGATGTATCAGATGATGGAGAATGGCTCGATGTCGAGCCCGAAGAAGAGTCCACCACTATCGTGTCTCTCCTCGACTCTCAGACATTCTCAAGTTGGGCTGAGATGCTCAACCACTGCAAGCAGCGCTACGACTTCGACCTGATTGCCACCATAAAAAAGCTCCAGCTTGATTTTCACGGTGCTGTGAAACTCGTCAATTATGTTCGCAACCAAGTCCAGAACCAACAAGCCCTACCAAGCAATTTAACGCTTGCAGACTTTGAAGATGATGGCTATTTTAAGCCCGTTCTCCAGAACGATGCTCTCATCATGTCTCTAGATGAGATTCTCGACAGCGACCTCGTCAAGGTCGACATCGCTCCTGGCCAGGTGGGCGGTTCTCACGATGAGCTGCTGGCGCAAAAGCGAGCGCTGGAGGCCGAGCTGGAGGCGGTCCGAACGCAGTTCTCAAACTATCGACTTGCCGTTGAAGAAACCCTGGATCGCCGCTGGGGAGACGACGTGGAGCAAACTCCATCCAAGGCCAAGTCTGGTGCGGGCGAGGATCGCGGAAACTATTATTTTGAGTCTTACGGTTACAATGGTCAGAGCTTGACGCTTTCCACCCTGCAGCATTCCTGGAAATACTAACTTTGTCCAGATATCCACGAAACCATGTTGAAGGATACGGTCAGGACAGATGCCTACCGTGATTTTATTTACAACAATAAGCACCTCATCAAGGGCAAAGTTGTTCTCGATATTGGCTGTGGCACAGGTAAGAGGGTCAAACGTATCAGTCAACTGCAACCATAGGCTCAAAAACCTAACGCCCGTTTATAGGCATCCTGAGCATGTTCTGCGCTAAAGCTGGTGCTGCTCAAGTTATCGCTGTCGATAATGCAGACATCATCAAAAAGGCAGCGGAAAACATCTTTAACAATGGCCTCTCTGATATCATCACCTGCGTAAAAGGTGCCATTGAGGAGGTCAAGCTGCCTGTGGACCAAGTCGACATTATCGTCAGCGAGTGGATGGGATACTGCCTGCTGTATGAGGCTATGCTTCCAAGCGTTCTCTACGCTAGAGATAAATACCTCAAGCCAGATGGTCTGCTGGTTCCCAGCTCCGCCACTATATGGGTGGCTCCCGTTCAAGATACAGAGTATATGTCAGAATTTGTGTCATTTTGGAGAGACGTCTATGGATTCGACATGAAAGCTATGCAAGAAGGTATCTATGATGACGTTAGGGTCGAAGCCATGCCCCAGACCGCTCTCTGCGGAGAGCCCTACCCCTTTAAGACACTCGACCTCCACACCGTTAAGCCAGAAGAGCTGTCCTTCACAGCTAAGTGGCAGTCACGGCTGCTGCGGCCACAGGATGGCTTGGACGGCTTCTTAATCTGGTTCGACAACTTCTTCGCCACTTCTCGCGATGAGCCTATGCCAGAGCCTGAGGTGACCCCTGAGGTGTTTATGAAGGCGAAATCAGGCAATGTTGCGTTTACAACGGGCCCGTCTGGCACTGTGACCCATTGGAAGCAAGGTCTGCTTATGGTGCCACCGGAGAACCCCCCTTCAGCATTGCCAGGCGCCATCTCTGGGCAAATTACCTTTGCAGCTCTCGAGGAGAACGCCAGAGCACTAAAGATCGATGTCACATGCAGCCCTGAAGGCCAGTCCATTGAGAGCCAAGAAGAGAAAAAATGGTCCTGGAAGTTGGCGTAGAGGGAGTTAACGAGTACTGAATGGACGGGAATTGTTTGTCATCGGCCAGCGATAGCAAGCTTCTAATAGTGAGGCACTTTTAGAGCCTGCAGCCATAAGTTCACAATGCTCAGGAATCCTTCTCCCAAAATAAAGCCCTACACGTAGAGTCAGCAAGCGTATAACTAGTGAAGCTTTGAAGCCTTACCGATGCAATGATGATGAGTGGCGTGGTCGACCGTTTTCGTACGCTCAGCCAGTACCAGCTAAAGATTCCTCCAATGGCTCGAGCCAAGGTAAATGAGGGCACGTTGTACATGCCTTGACATGCAAAAAATTAGAAGGAATTTTCTCGTAAATCAAAGTGAGCGGAAATACTCACCGACTGCCACGGCAATGCCACCTGGGATCAGCGAACGCCATCGCGTCCCAACGGACAAGGTTCGCGCCAGGGTAGTGAGAGCAAAGAGAACACCGGCTCCAGTTGCCCATTCTTTGGCCATGTACGGCAAGCCTTGTCCAGTTACAAGTCTGGCAGTGAATATCCAAACGTAGGCCGTTGGAACTTGGAAAAGCTTGCCGGGGATCTCGTATACTCTGTCGCCAGAAAACCACAATGATTTAGTCGCCTCTGTGGAAAATTTGACTCATTAGGGGCACTTACGCCGTGTAGATACGATACGCAAAAGCACTGAACAGCGCGCCACAGGTAGCACCTATGATTTGTCCCCAAAATTGCGCCTTGGGGGCAGCTCCAAGCAGGTGGCCGGTCTTGAGATCTTGCATCAAGTCTCCAGCCTGCAATGCACCCTATCGAGATGTTAGAAGAAGACACTCGAGGATATACATATACGCATATATATATATAGGGAGGAAGTCTAGAGAATAGCTTACAGCTTCAGACTAAATGCGATTATAATTGTTAGCTGGCTAGATGATTTTCAAAGAGGGACATGGAAGAAGGCGTTAGACGTACAATAGCACCTGCGACCAAATTGATGAGAACGCTGGACTTGTGGGACTGCGGGATGATCAGAGCAAAGAACAGCTGCGCAAGTTTGCTTATGCCAGAAACGGGGTTGAGGTCAGTCTCTCCAAGGGCTCTGACGCCCATGATACTCAGGACCAGAGCCATGAGAACAGCAGTGACAACCGCGTAAAGGGGTACCAAGTCGCCAAACACGATGCGCGTTGTAAGAATACAGAGCAAAACAGATGCGAGAAGACCCCATGTGACAATCCGAGTGCTAACTTGCTGCTCAGCTGGACCGTCATCCAGACCAGCATCCTCGTTCGAGGCGATGGAAGCCTGGTCATCATCGAGAATTGCTGGCTCGTCCTGATCCTCCTCTCCATGAGGGATTGGAGAGTACTGATGACTTCTCCCGAACAAAGCGGCGATCCTAGATTGTTGGAACCGTTCTCGCAACACAGTTAAAGCCCTCGGAGCGTGGGTTGCGAGAATGGGGCGAAGAGCAACGTAAGCCAGACTTACAACGGCATCAACGAGCATAATAGCCAGCGACACCCAAACAATCCAGCCTTTGCTGCCATTTTCCCAATCATCCACCGGTCCAGGGGCCCAACCCTTCTTTTTGGCCAGAGGACTCAAAATACCCCAGCCGACAACTGCGCCGAGGGTCATGTGAAGTGTTGTCTCAGTCCCCATAATGATGCCCTGTCCGACATATGCGAGACTTGGGTTCAGGGTCCAAAGCCAAGTAGAGGCCGCAACAGTGCCAAATATGGGAAGATCTCTCAAAATAGGCAGGAAATAGTTGCAAATGGTGAAGATGCCGGAAACTAGAAAACTGAGCAGTAGGAGCTTCATGTTGTATGCCCAGTCCACGTCCTTTGATAGCTCTGGCTCCTCGTCTGCTACGTTGGAACTGGTCTCATTAACTAACAGAGGATCGTCGTCATCTCTATCTGCAAGGCTGGCAAATCCCCCCTTGGCGGCGGCATCGAGTTCCTGGGCAGAAGAGCCTTGGCCTCGGCCGTGGAGAACGCGAATGAGCACGGCAGTGCTGAAGCCGCTGGGAAACCTAAGGCGTTCTCTAATGATAACCTGGTGGCGCCTAGTATCATACAGACACAGCTCGTCTCAGCCAATGTGCGACGTCACTTTCATTTGAAGCACTACTAGACTTACAAGGGAACGGCAAAGACAACTCCAAAATAACAGAGGCCGATGGACCAGATGATGAGCTGCCACATGCTCAATGACAAGGGCCCTTGTTCATCGGTGCCCAGCAAGTAGTTCATTGCCGGAATCTATACAGCAATTAGGACGGAGAATCTAAGCGGCAGGAGAGTGGTGATGGCCTACGACACCGACAAAGCCGCAACCAAGAGGCATGATGGCCATGCCGCCCGCAACGCTCTGCACCAACACATTCTCAACCGGGGTGAAGGGGAATTGCAGGTGAGGCTTCAGCAGCTTGAAGACGGCAAAGCCCATCAAGCTTGCCGGCATAGACATGATGGACACCCAGCCCGTCTGGAGGCCGAAGTACATGTTGGCAGAGCATATCACGGTGCCAACGCCAAGGCCGGCCGCGACACCGCGCACGGTGAAGCTGCGGCCCTGGGGGGATGGAGAAGCCATTATCGCGAGTCCTGTTCCTGCGATGCGTGAGGCATCTGGGGCTGTGCAATGATCAATTGAGTCAAACGGCGGAGATCCTTCTTCGAACGCTGGCGAGGGCTTGTTATGTTCAGGGTTCTCTTTTCTTTTCTCTCTGCGTGAGATGAGATGAAAGGGAGCTTATAAGGCCCAGCCAGGTCCTCGATAGAAGGAGAAGCTGCCGGCGCCCTCAGTGGCTGCAGGGCGATATTAGTAATACGGGTGGGTGCGCTAGCGCCATTTTAGTGGCGACCCAGCCCCGGATTGGTGGGATTCCCCGAAATCTATTGCTACTCAAGGCCTAAGCTCTCCAGCTATTTATTGCACCATACCTACATTACTGTACATACAGGTAGAGCATTGCGACGCGGGACGCAGCATTTAACCCGCGCCCCGAGCACGAAACCCTCGGGCTCTCTGGCGGCTCTAAGTCTATTGGGATTTCTTTGCTTGGTCCTGATCCTCCTCTATCATCTTCAGATATGGAACAGACGTCAGCAGCCTTGGCCAGACGAGGTTGTATTTGTCGCCTCGTCCCGCAAGACAATGCCGCAGCCAAGTGCCCCAAGTGATGTAATAATAGGCTAAAAAGAAAAGAAGAACAAATCTTCGTCAGTCACAAGCTCATTCATGTTTGACATGGAATATACTCAAAGGCGTAAAATAATAAATCGCTCGACATGGGTTGCGAGGTTATGAATGTGAACAAGGGGGAAAATAGAAGACATCGAGGCCATCAAGGTGAGGATTCTTACCTCCTAATGAACGAAGTCAGGTCAGTTTCGCACTCAATCAAGGTGATTAGGAATGGGAGGAAGCTGCTCAACTCACCCAACCCGGTCATGAGGTGCCACCAGGCGTGGCCCTCGAGCAGAATGGCCCAGGGAAGGCCAACTGCATGTCTCCACCGTCGCACTTGGGAACAGAAAAAGTTATCGAGGTTCCAGATTAAGAACCCACCAAGGAAAACCGCCAGGCCTGTCACTGGTGGTTAGCCGCGTGCTTAGACCCTGTAACTTCGCCTTGCTCATCGGTGTGACGCACCAGTAGCTACCATGGCCCACATCGTATTAAGCAGCTTCGAGGCCCTTTTTGGATCTTGGGCGTGCAAGACTGGCCGTACCTGCGTCTCCATCACCCAGATACTCCGAAAGACGACTGTAGCGGTCAAAGCAGCGTATGCTACCTGATGGAAGATGGGATCCTTGGTGAGGTAGTAATAGAGCTAATGTCCTCTTAGCGCGTGGCCCAAAGCGAATGAAATTCTCATTGCCTCGCAGGGCGGATACGTGTGTAAGTAAAAAGGGTACATATGCTTACCGTGATTGACCCGGCAAGCGAAAGGAGCCCGATCCCTAAGACGACTGAGAATACCTGTGAGCGTGAGTAAGAAAAGCTAGCATGCATCATCAGGCAAGTCGTATATATCATGGATAATTCGTCGACCAATTGCATAGGATCTCGACGTTCTGTTGTCAGCTCGCTTCATCGCGAACGGTGGCATAGGCGCTTACACTTCAATGTCGCATGGAAGAGGATAGAGCCTAGTCCCACGACCATGTACCCGATGTAAGAAATCAGGAATATTGATGGATGGTCCTCCTTCATGCAGCTTCTAATCCCTCTAATCCCAAGCCACATGAAAAGACCATTTGTGATTGTCTGCCATCGTGTTAATAGAGCGAGACAATCCAACCGAGGTTTATAAGCAGTACGCACATTGCAGAGCTCGGCACAATACCACGATAGCGCATAGTCCTTTTAAAAAAGGGGGGGAATTAGTGTATGAAAGTGAAGTGAATCTTTCTAATTGCGAAGATGAATTGATAAATCAGAATTCACAGCCAAGCTTGCCCACCTCTTCGCAGAAGTTCAGTGTTGACGTTTGTTCGCCCCAGAATCCATGGCCGGGGTGGGCGACTGGATAAGGAACCCAGATCGCCGAACGCAGAGCAGATAAGGCCATTGAGATTTGATGTTGGCAATGATTGACAGAGTATCCAATAAGCTAATCTGCTCAAGCAAAACTGAATTGTCGAGTGTAGAGAATATGTTTGGAAGAGAAAGGAACTCATGTGGAGTGAGCTTGTGTGTACGTCTTCCGCGCTACCCGTACCCGTGCTCTCTGCGATCACAGGCGGGGCAGACTAGCAGCAACTGCAGCGATCTCTTGAAGCTGAGCTGTTTAAGCGCACATGTGGCCGGCAGTTGGCCTCTACTACAGGAAACTCTAAATGCGATACGAGGCCATGAAACAAAACAGAATATACCGCTTTTGCAAGGGAAATCGCCATCTTCTCTCAAATTTCTTACAGTAACCTGCCATCAAGCTTCATATTTTGGCCGTTATCAGGACAAGTGACGTGGAGGAATAGACAAGGAAATAAGCGACAAATTCCTGCGCGCCAAGTTTTTACGGCGTCGGGCGCCTGGGCATCAAACGGCAGATGCTCCAGACCCATTGTTTTGGCGCCCGTACTTCGACCTAGAGCCTCGTCGACCCAGCACATTTGTCGCGCCCGCTACCTACCAGTGACATAGTTCTCCATGTGCGTCGCGATGCTTTAGCTATGCGCAAATGTCACATATAGTATCCCGCCTCGAGTAAGTCGCTGTCCTTGCCTGAGAAACAATCCATACAAATCAAGAGGGCTCACCTGGATCTTTTTGCAGTGGCATCTGTGCAGTCTCAATATGGCGACGGCGCTGGGCCGGATAGCGTTCGCGCATCTCCCAGTCGCGCTCTTCCAGCCAAGGAGCCGTATTACTCCAATCGAGGTAGAGCACTCTAGCATCCTCCCGTCCGCACCCCCGAGTTAACAGGTTAGACATTGCAATATTACACGCTGTCATTACGGCAGCCCAAGAACAGCTCGATCATGCCTCGGGCCCGAAGCCACTGCCTGCCGCTGCATTGTTCAAAGCTTATGACGAAGTTCTCCCGGAGCATGGCGTTGATCCAGATTCAGACCAACATCTCTCCGCCCTCGTGTTCAGAGTTGGCGGCGAGCAAGGGAACGGCACCTTATTAGAAAAGTTCCAGTCAATACTTGGCCATATTGGCATCGTCCTCGAATTCAGCGACGACTCCATCACTACTCCGCAAGATTATCCCCAACATCCTCTATCCCCGGAACCAGTAGACACTGGCCACTGGGACCCCGATGATCTCCCTACCAAAGAGGAAGATGCGCCCGTCCGAACGAGGCGTCGGACATACAGCGCTGGCTCTCTAGAATACGACCCCGAATTCCAAAAGTTTCGCACTGAAGCACCAAGCTATAAAAAAAGAAACCAGACGAAAGATGATCTCGCCCTCATGGATGCAGATACATACCCCTCCGCTCCAATATCTACAACCGCAACACGGCATCTCGATCAATATCATCAATATCCAAGTCCGCTCTTCGACCACGTGCCTGTCGACTTTCGTGCCGTAGATGATGGCATTCCTTACGATGACGTGAAAGCACAGGCCGTACCTCCACAAACCGATATTTCTCGCAGTTCTTCGAGATATAAATCAGAGCGAATGGCTCTACCTTTAAGGAGAGAAGCATCTCCTAGGCCGTTCAACGGCCATGGCCAAAAACCAGCCAGCCATGCCAGGGATAATGGCAAGATTAATCAGACGCCTGGATCGCAAGACAAGCACAATTTGCCCATTGGAGCTGACCGAGATGCCGGTAAAACTGATGCCAGAGACTCACCGGCGCCCCCCAGCTCCACACCTAAAGACAGCGGACTGACGTCGCATCCAATACAGGCCGAGGTGCCGCTGCCATTTCGATCCCAGAACAAAAACACGCTATCGAAACAGCAGCAAGCGCAGCTACTTACAAGAGCAACCCGAGCTCGCGAGATATATCTAGCGAGTAAAGTGTTCAACCATTGGGCAGACCGGACTGCAGCGCGGCTTGAGCGGGAAGGCGTAGCTAGAAGACATATGATTCGCTTTCGCTGTTTTCAGGGCTGGAGCCGTGCGCCAAGTTTACAGCTTCCAATCATCGACCAATTAAAGGCTCTTACAGCGGTTCAGAAATTACAAAGAGCTGTATCATACCAAGAAGAGCAGCTGCGTCTCGCTGCAGCGGCTATATCCCAAAAGTATCGAGCAAGGACGGCATCTCGCGTTTTTGACCAGTGGTGCTCTCACCTGATATCTCTCGTCTACCGTCGGAAGTTAGACAGGAGATCGAAGCAAGGCGCGTTAGTGGCGTGGAGATCAAGCACCTCCAGCAACACTATCAAGAGTCAAGCCATTCGTAAGTTTAACAAACATGAGGGCGTTGTTACCACATTGTCAAAATTACAAGACCAAGCGCTCTTGTATAGCCGTCAATTTCAAACAGCACGTCAAATCGGGTCACTTAGACTGCTATTTGGTTCTCTCGACAAATGTGAGGACCAGATCCAGATTAAAGCGCGATCATCAGCCTATAAGGCCAAGTTATCTACTGCGGCTGTCATTCATGCATTCCACAATTGGAACTTATCAGTACGAGTGCAAGCGTTTCGGTGGAGGGCGGATTATATATCTGTAACACGAGCCCTCGACAGCTGGCGAAGACATTTCGTACAGGAAGAATGGAGGCAAAATATGTGTGCGGATCACCTGAAATCATACCGCGCGTCAAATCTTCTGTATACTTTACAACGATCAAGTAACGCCAACGCACAGCTATCGGTTATGAGCAATCGCGCCAGGTTATTCATTGTCACAACACAGACGTTACCCATCATGGACGCTGCTGTAGAAGCCCGAAGAATCCAGATGAAGGATATGGTTCGACAATATTTGATGATGAGATACACGGAAGTCTCTTCCTCTAGAAAAAAGCGAAAGTTCTATGAGGCTTTCGATCACTGGCGAACAATGGCCACTGAAGCCGCTTTTGAAAGCGAGTTTGCTGCTCTTTATAATACAAAATACTATTATGGTCAGCTTGATATCGCTTTAGAGAAATGGAAAAAGCGGGCGGAAGAAGACGTGCAGCTTCAGCTGGCCACCTACCAACATTATACGCAGGCGTTAATAGCGGCTTGGGGTGATATTGCTAAAGAGCATGATCAGGTGGATATACAGTCGCTGGAACTGTGGGCTACTCGCAGGCAACGGCAGTACCTCAAAGCGTGGTCTATATCGTCATTACAACGAAGCGGACAGGCCCATACCGCGACTAAAGTACAACAAAAGAGTTACAGCGAAAAACGAAACCGCACATTTCAACACTGGAGACAGGCCTGCATGGGCCCGGACTTTGATCGCGTAGAGCAAGGCCTGCGATTTACGCCGAACCGTGAACCTCAACCTGCCAGTGGCCGCCGTAGCGCTTGGCGGGCACTTTCTGTTCGCCGACATCTGTTAGCGGAAAGGCACAACAAACAGGACTCTGCGGCCAGGTCGATTGAAACACCGACGCGGTCGACTGGCGTGCCACTGAATATGTCCTTCCCCTTGTCAGCGAAGCCAATCGTTGCATGGCGGGGGACGGACGACGAATCGACTGCATCCAGCGACACCGAGGATATTGGAATGTTAAAATCCCCAAGTAAAACTCCTGCGACCATGCGGCGCGGAATTTTGTCATCTACCACTCCTCGAGGGCCTGTGCCCATGCATCTGAATATGAAAGCTACGCGGCCAGAGGGTTTTACTTCTCCTCATCGCTGGAGCACTGGTGACGCTGTATCAAAATCAAAGCCGGGTCTATCACAGGACGTCTCGAACGGACCACAGCCAACTCCAAGGCCTAACTTGAATAGGTCTGTCGCTTCTTTTGGGCGTTCTGTCCATACACCGGCCAAACCTACTGGGCGGTTAGTAGCAAGCGCCAAACCCTTCAAGAAGGCTGGATCACTAATTGCAGCCGAAGTTGAATAACTTGAAGTGACTACAGGGCGGGCTGGCTCTACAGGTTTACAATAGCGGACAAGCAAAACCAAGCTATATAAGTACGAATCGGATATATCGAGGCTTTAAATTTCACAATGATGAATTACATTGAGGGTGTTAGGCCTTATCATTGCGTTTTAAATGTTGTGAAACTAGAAGGCTTGATTAAGTGCCTAGAAGGGTGGCATTTATGGGATCTATACATTATGGGGAGCATTATTAGCGATCTAATGATATCCATGAGCAATAAATTTATACTCGTTCAACTCCTAAATCTAGCAACGCCAGTATTAGAATTTGTCTTGTTCATTTGTCAGTAAACAGGTACTTGCAAAGAGAGCTTGGTAAATATACATGTTTAGGGTGCCACAGACGGGTACTTGTGCTAAGTATACAATAAAATAGTCCGTCAATATAGCAAGCTAAACAACAGTGTATCCTTTTCTCTAAAAGAGTTTTATTTTTATCATGACTAAACCAAATCTGTTAAATAAATGAGTCGATTTTTTTTTTTTCTTTTTTTTCTTTCTTTTTTTTTTTTTTTTCTCTCTTCTTAAACTCTTCTCATTTTGGTTTTAAAAAATCAGATTATCTAAGTGGGCTAAAAAAATTCCAGTACTAATGTACTACCTACTAGGTAGCTTAAAAATTATCCCTGCTGCACGTACTAGGTATTAATTACTAACGCGTCCTATCACAACGACGCGATTTGCTCTTCGCTACACATGCTAAGGAGAAAGCCTTCTTGCTATCTCACGCCTGTATCCTCTATTCGTTTGCTCCGTTGACCTTTGGCTTAAGGTCGACGTTTTAGAGTATGCAGCTTGAAAAGACTGCTGAATAGAAACAAGAAAAGTCGCCCCAAGTAACTATTACCTGGAGAGCTACGCTACGTCATGGAGCTGCTTCAACGGATTCGTAACATGTGGCAATTCGCCAACTTGTGTCAATGGATATACATTTTTGGTGAAGCTGTCGCAATTAACGTATCAATTGACATCGAAGTAAGTGAAGCGTTCTTTTATTGTATCTTCTTCGTAGCTGTATGCTGATACAGCGGTAGTATATCGAGGCAGAATGTCTCAAACCAAATTCACCAGGTCTCGACGATATTGCTTTAGCACTCTTGAAAACGGTCACCTCACATCGTGGTCTTACGTATGCATATTCCTTATTGCATTCTCTCTCTCCGGAGCCAATGTCCAACGGTTAACATCTAAACAAAGCCACGAAGCATTTGACAACCAAGCTCGAATGCAGTACGTTCTGAGGTCGCCAGAATCAAATCCGTTTGGTGACGAAAATGCCCCCAAAGCCTTTTCTGATCTCGACGTATTCACAAAGGTAAGCGCTACAGTTGAGCCGGCTCTCCCAATAATTCGCTAACGTCGACCGTCATATGACAGATCAAAGTAATGCAACAGTTTACCCAGTGGATCATGACCCGGCCGGAGCTACTTCGAGAGAAAATGAAAGAACAAAAAGATACAGAGCAAACATCATGGGTGCGCCCCACTTCCTCTCTATTCTCTACGCTGTCTAACTTAGTTTGTAGCGAATCGAGCCATATGGGTGGGATAGAGAAGATCGAATCTATTACGTCCTGGATGACAATCGAGTATATCGACTATCAGAAGCACCTCCAAGCCGTAAACCATCAAAGCCCAAGCCAAACCGTGGGTCCCGACGTCCAGGCAAAAGGCGACGCGTATCCGAATCGATCGACGACACAGCTTCCTCCTTCGAAGACTCGATAAAAGATGACCCTGAAGCTGATTTGGAAGATAATTATCTTGGAGGCATGGCTTGGGAATGTGTTGCTGTGACGCTTGCAGAAGTCCAGGGCCTCGTCAACAGTATGGCTTCATCCCGGGACGAAAACGAAAAAGTACTTCGACGACAGCTTCGAGACCATCTTCTGCCTATTCTGGAGAAACAAGAAGAAGATAGAATTCGTCGAGAGCTAAGACGCGAGAAGGAGTTGCAGGTACTTGCCAAGATGGCCAATGCCAAACGGTCAAGCAGAATTGCTATGAAGGCAGAGCAGCGACAGAAAGAAGAGCAGGAGAGATTAGAGACTGAACATCTCCGGGAAGCAGAAGCAATTCAGCGCCGCGAGGAGCGGAAACAGGAGAAAATCCAAAGAGAGCTCGAAATGAGGCTTGCGTCTAGAGAGGAACGTTTGAAAAAGAGAGAAGAACGTCGCACCACTCATGACGAGAATGACGCTCAGGTGTCTGTGGGCGATGGCGATGATACTGTAGTAGCAGCTGGAGTGTTTCTACAGCATCAAATTCAGGTCGGAGAAGGCTCAGGGGGTGTCAAAAACATGCAGGACGAAGAGGAGGGTTGGGTATTTGACTGCTCATGCGGCTTGTATGGGCAAGTGGATGATGGCAACCACAGCGTGGCATGCGAGAGCTGCAATGTATGGCAGCACAGCAAATGCTTGGGCATCAGCGAAGCCGCTGCTGATCATCCCGATTTTCATTTTGTCTGCGCCTCATGTCGTCAAAAAAGGGATCCTATTGCAGCGCTGAAAAGTCACATGGCACCTGAATCTACACTTAAACCTGAACCAGAACTTCGACCTGAACCTACACTGAGATCTGAACCTGCACCTGCACCTGCACTTGCACCTGAGGCTGAACCTGAAGGTAATGTTGGTCAAAATACTGCTTCTACCACTACTCTTATTACTCCTGCTTCTGCGGCTACTGCTGCTGCTATTGCTGCTGCTATTGCTTCCGCAACTGCCACCACTGCCGTCATTCCTACCACTACTTCCATTATCTAAATGGGGAGCTACGCAAGGCCAATACAGACTAGCACGTTTGAGGCATCGCTGAGGAAGCTTCATATCTCTAATTCCAGCAGCTTAACTTGTCAACGCTTTGTTTGGCATTCTATAAACGACCACGGAGATCTTATTGAGACGGCACAACGCTGTTTCCCTCGTCACGCACATGCGTACATCAGCTGCTAATGTCTCTCACTAGCCCCGATAATTGGAGTCCCTCCACTTGAGGATTGCTTCCATTCAAAATGGATTCTTGTTGATCTCACAAAGCATATAATCACCTGACGAACCTTCACCCAAAGAACCAGCTGACGAGTCTCAAAGCTACAAGACACTCAATCTCAAACCTTTGTTGATGCCGTTGTTCAAGTAATTACAAGTAAAATACTCTTGAAGATATTTTTAGAGGCACCTGTCCGTTTGCAATGGTTGAAAACAAATTAGCCGCTCAAAGGAAGCAGCTGGTTCCGATGAGGCTGCCTCGCCGACTTTTGGCAATTCCGTTGGACATCTACACAATACAAAGACATAGGTTGAACTGGAGCCTTCCAGCTACGGACCCATCTCGCTGGAGAGCGGCTAGCAGATGCCAATGTTTAGGAAGATACCAAGTACTTGCATGTCATAAATCCAAAAAAAATCATTGCTAGCAGCCGCATCTGCCGGTTTACCATAGCATGTATCCGCGCCGCCCCGTCTGGGGAAGGTGATGCTGAATCTTTCGCAACTCACGGTATAAATCGCATTCATCCAACAGCCCTTTAAGTCAAAGGTAGTTATAATCAATAGCAAAATATATACATTTATTTATCAAAACTCAGCTCTGAAAAAAACAGAAGCCTACAATGGATGGGGTCGTTCCTTTCAGCAAGAGATCCCCAAGCCGATGAGACGTGTCCGAGCAACCACATGAGGTGCACGACCAACAGTCATTAGCAGCGCACATTTTGAGCTGTTTCGGCGCTTCGGGATGGCTCTGCACATACCGTATGGCCATCATATTTACTGTTCTTATCCCCTCCATGATTCTTACTCAGTAGTTGCGCGTCCTTGCGTTCGCAGGCTATCTCTTTTCGGCGTCCGCGACAGAGTTCAGGCCCTGTGGTCCATTGCGCTGCGGTGCACGGAGTGGCCCATGATGAAGGAAATTAATGCCACTGGGTTCACAGTACCGCATGCGGCAGAAGCTTTGATAATTAATTATTTATTTGTTTGTGACCTTGTAAGTCATGCGTTTGGACGACGTCGTGGGAGATGGAATGAATATGTATAAGGGCAGCCCATCAAAGGATGCTGCTCTGGGACAAAGACAACAGTCCACCCTTTCTTGTTCATAAAGAACTGTGATCTCATTGCATATTTTCCTTCTGTTTTTCATTACAACAGAAGATTGAAGATAATTCATACATTTCGCTGGCCCTTATTCCTCAAAGCTTCGTCAGCGTTCTCTTGTGTCAAAGATTCAATAAATTTGGACCTAGGATACCCCAGAGTCTCTACTTCCATCAACTTTCAACATCAACATTATCTCAACGGAGTCCCTCATGGAGCGTAAAGGTCCCGCGATTCAGGGGACTACAGATTTCGGCTTGTCTGGCCATTCTACCACCATAACGTTGCATGGCCATCCCTACTCAAACCAAGTTCTCCTGCCGGTAAGCTCAGCCAATACATGTATCGAATCTACTTATCCAAAAATGCTAACAATCTCCAAGTCATCTTACACACAGCGACGTACAGTGTCTGATGCTCATTATAATATGATGGTAAGAAGCCAATGCAATGCTACTGACCTAGAACATTACTCGTTATACATGGAAGAAGCACTCGCTGATGGTAATTTTTAGGCCAACTCGCAGTATATGACTGAATCAGCGTACAACTTTTCTAGCATGGAAGATGCTCTCCATGCTCAACCGGCTGCTAGGAGTTTGAAAATCGCCGATTCTGAGCAAGAAGCGTATCGTCCAACCAAGGCACGAAAAACAGTAAGAAAGACGAAAATCTCAAAGCGCGGAGAGCATACCAAGTTTCTTAGCAGAGCACTCTCTGTGATATCGTCTGTGCCTCAAACTGTTGTGCTGAAGAACGCCGAATTGTTTGCTACCCGCGCGACCGAGGTACGGCTAGACGAAGCTGACAAGGCCGGGAAGATCAAGCGGCCTCTCAATGCATTCATGCTTTATCGCAAATTTTATCAAGACGTTGCCAAAACGTGCTGCACTAAGAACAACCATCAACAGGTTTCGACCGTTTGTGGGGATTCTTGGAAGAACCTCGAGTCCTCACAACTTGTTCGTGAGTTTACTCGTCTGGCGGCAGAGGAGAGAAAAAGGCACGTAGAGGCCTTTCCCTCATACAAGTATGATCCTCTGCATTCAAAGAAGAGGGACGATAAAGACTCGATGCTGTCCTTGCCACTGGACAAGGGCGATTTTGAGCACAGCGGTGATCGAGCTCTGCCCGAGGACAATAAAGTGAAGCGGAAAAAAAAGGATTTATCTGAACACCATGGGTCCTTACAGCTGGGCAATGAGATGTACCCACCCACTTTCGACGACCAGCAGGTCTTCATGGCTCGGCCCTATCCCCCCCAAGCTTACTGGACTCCTGCTCTACAAGTCCAGCCTGCTCCATACTATACGGGGAACTATGTAGATCATGATCAATTCCAAGGATTGCATGTTTGGTCCAGCGAAGATTCTTTGCACGGTGGAAATGCACAGCCTCTCATCACTGGTCTGCAGGGAGTCCCAATGGAGCGTGGTTTGAGTGTTCAGAAGATTTGCGTCGACCCCAAGCTTTTTTACTGTCCGCCCAGTTCGAAGTATGATTTGCCCAACAGCAGCTCGAGTGCAGCACAGGAGCAGTGGAATCAGGGAGGACCTTCTGAGGCATCACACACAGATCCAGTGATCCCTGGTGTGGATGTAAGGGGTTCTTATGATGCATATCTCAAAGGAACTGACAGTGACTGGAAAGTGGAACATCTAGAAGAGCCTAGTCAGTTTGACGACTGGATGTCTCAGGTTGAAGGGGGAATTTGAAGGAGGGGAGAAAGACGGCGTTTTTGTAAATGTTTGTATAACTAGGCAATTGGCGTTGGAACATACACTGGCTATTTTATGTTTATTTTGGCTCTTAGACTACTTGTTGCAAATAGAAATGAATACACCATACCGCAGTTCAAACTTCCAAAGCTCGTCAGCAGCAGTACCAAGTCACATAATATACTAGCCCTAGAGGTGAATATATGATAAGGAGAAAAGAAAAAAAAGAAACAAAGGGAAAAAAAAAAAAAAGATAAAGAAAAGGAGAGAACACTAGTGCTGGCAGCTATACCAAGCCGCTATGATTTGTGTTGAGGTGTAGGTTATGCTATCCAGACATCGACGGTTCCCAAGTGAGTGTTCACATCTGTCTGTTGGTAGAGGCATTAGGCCTTACTAGATGGCCTATTACCACCCAAGGTAGACGCTAGCGCTAGTGTCAATAGTACTTTGATTCCATAGCAGATCAGGCTAATACTACTAGTATGTAATATCTGCTACAGAAGTATAGCTCCTCTTAGCAGTATTGCCCTAGTACTCCATGGATGCTTGGCGAATTGAAGGGGGGGAAAAGAGAGATTTAGGATTGGCGCAAGTTAAACCTGCGCGGAAACCATACAGCAATCTATTTGCATTCCTGGGAAATGTTATATACGGTTCTCCTTAAATGGGTACATACTACATATTTAAAGTGACTAAGCGAGCCGAAATGCCTAATAGCGCCCGAAGCTCGGGCGGTTGTCACTGGATCAGGCCTAGAAACTCAGCAGAGTGGACCCCTAATATACGTGCAGAGCTGGAACCTGTCTACGGGGGGCTTCTCCGTATTCTTGAACTCGCTATCGCTGCCGCAGCCACAGAGCATGGAGTACACTCGCTAGCACGGCTTAGTAGGGACTGGCTCGGTTTTCGTCACTCACTGCAGCCCTCCTCTCTAGACTCTCCAGCCCGAAACCTTGACTCCACGCAACGAGGTGCATTCCACCGCGTCGGATTAATACCCGCATTTCGAGCGTCGAGCTGTGTTTAACGGAACAACAAAGGCGAAATGGGCTTCTTGGGGATATACCGGGCCATCTACGACTACACTCCCAAGGAGGATGCCGAGCTCGCCATCACGACCGGCGACTTGCTGTACATCCTCGAGCAGAACGACGACGATGGCTGGTGGAAAGCCAAGAAGAAGGCCGGCACAGACGACGAAGATGAGCCCACCGGCTTGGTCCCAAACAACTACGTTGAGAAGGTAAAGTCCATCCTCATCGCAAGGCGCTCCCCGTCCCCCGAGCTCCCGGCCTCATGCCGACCCTTTACGTCAGCCCCCCAACAAGACCATATGTGAAGCTGCCCGGCCGACTTCTGCGGATGTGCGACATCAAATTGGGTTGCGTACGGCAGGCTAACGTTCGTGTCCATCAATCAGGCAGCGACAGTAGGCCACGCGCGTGCCATCTACGAATATACCCGCCAAACCGATGAGGAGCTCTCCTTCCCCGAAGATGCCGTGTTAGAAGTCTTCGACACCAACGACGAGGACTGGATCCTCGCCGGTCTGGATGGCGAGTATGGCTTTGTTCCGGCCAATTACATCGAGCTGCAAGCTGCCGCTCCTGCAAGCGCGCCAGCGCCGCCAGCAGCTCCGGTGCTGCCAAGACGGCCGCCCTCCCAAAGCATCGCTGCTGCTCCTGAAGATGATTCAACGCCGTCTGACGAGGCGCCAGTTGCCAATCCGGCAGCCGCTCTCGCCAGCGTCATCCAGAACCGGCAATCTGTCAGGGAACCTCCGACTTTGCGTTTTAAAGAGCCAGAAGCATCAGATGAAGAGTCTATCAAGTCTCCTGCCTTACCCACGCGACCGCGACCGCAGTCTCAAGCATATTCACCACCCGCAGAATATACGCCCAGACCTGAGCGAGAGCAAACGACTGAATCTCAGCCCAAGGGGCACCTTATCCCTGGTGGATTTCACTTATACAATATCAACGAGATGGTCTCAGTCATGGGCAAGAAGAAGAAGATGCCAACAACTCTGGGCATAAATCTTTTGACTGGCACCATCTTGATCGCACCCGAGAGAGCTCAGGACGACCCTCCCCAAGAATGGACCGCCGAGAAGATGACCCATTACTCCCGTGAGGGAAAGCACGTCTTCATGGAGCTTGTTCGCCCCAGCAAAAGCATTGATTTCCACGCCGGAGCTAAAGACACCGCAGAAGAAATTGTGGCTTCTCTTGGAGAGCTTGCAGGTGCTGCACGAGCAGAGGGGCTGAGAGAAGTAATCGCGGCTGGGTCTCAAAAGCGACAGAGAAAAGGAACGGTTCTCTATGATTTCATGGCGCAGGGCGAGGACGAAGTCACCGTTGCTGCGGGCGATGAGGTGGCTATTATTGACGATACAAGGAGCGAGGACTGGTGGCAAGTTCGCCGCCTCAGGAACGGCAAGGAAGGCGTTGTGCCCAGCAGCTATGTCGAATTCTCAGGTACTATTACGCCGCCACCCGAGGGTCAAGCAACATCAAGGGCCAGATCAACTGTGGAACAGAATCGCATGGAGGAGATGAGACTCACCAAAGAAGCAATCAAGGCTAGCAAGGAGCCTCAGCAGGTAGGCCTGGAGATGCATTTGCCTAAACGAGGCAGCAGCCTCATAACTCCGGATAATGGTAACATTTTGGGACAACAGCGGAATCGACGCGAGAATGGACGTTCGGATAGTGGTAGCAATTCGGCGGGTAAGACAAGTGAGTTCTCTCTTCTCCCAATTATGCTAGTTACACTTTATAGCCAAAAGACCTCGTGCAGCTGACCTTTGGATTGCAGAACCCGACGTAACCAAAGTGCGGACATGGACGGATCGATCAAAGTCATTCAGCGTCGAGGCGCAGTTCCTTGGACTCAAAGATGGCAAGCTACACCTCCACAAGATGAATGGTGTGAAAATTGCTGTACCCATAGCAAAAATGTCACACGGGGATCTCGAATATGTTGAGAATCTCACTGGTATCTCTTTGGATGACGAGAGACCACTGGCCGATGTCAAGCGATCGAAGCCCCCGGAGCAAAAGAAGGCTTCCGCTGTTGGAGCGTCCATTGACAAGAAGCCAGAGTACGACTGGTTCCAGTTTTTCTTGTCTTGCGACGTGGCTGTGGGCCTTTGTGAACGCTATGCTCAGGCATTCACGAGAGACTCGATGGATGAGAGCGTGCTGCCGGATGTCGATGCCAGTGTTCTACGGAACCTAGGACTACGAGAAGGAGATATCATTAAAGTCATGCGTACTCTAGACGCCAAGTTCGGCCGCAGTAAAGCCAACGGCGATGGCGATGGCGGTCTCTTCTCAGGCCCAGGGGGCGCTCTGCGGAATAACACAAGGAAGGGTCGGCCTGCCCCTGCTGTGCAAACTGGCGATGTGGTTGATGCGGCAGTTTTCTCGACTAATAAGGAAGCGTCAAGCTCTGGCGAGACTGCGGCCAAACCGGCATCTCCTGCAAGCCCGGCAAAATCACCCAAGCGTCCGACGGCAGGATTTGACGACGACGCCTGGGATGTGAAGCCAACGAAGCAGGAGCAGCAGCAGCAAACACAGCCGCAGCCCTCGCCGCCGGCAGACACTCCCGCTGCCAACCCAACGCCAGCGGCAGCTCCAGCTCCAGCGCCTGCTCCTGTGCCTACACCTGCAGCGCTCACTGGATCTCTGAAGGAGCTCTCTCTATTGTCAGCGCCACTAGAACCTAGCAAGATTGAGCCTTCAGCCCAGCCTCCTGCTGCCAATTTTGGTGGCGAGGAACAGCAAGCGGCAGCAGCAGCACCACCCGCGCAACAACAGCAACAGCTGCTGGGAGCAAGCCCATCCTTCTTCCAAACAGTCCCACAACCAAACCAAGTTGTTTCGGCTCAACTCCCTCAGCTCACTGGAGTTCACATCTCTCCAAAGTCTCTAGGAAGACAGCGACCCATCCCGCCATCAATCTCGCCGCCAGTTCAGGGCTCACTCGTCGTGCCGCCGCCACCGCAACGACCTCTCTCCGCTCCGCAGTCTACCCTCCCTCAAGGCATGTTTGCCGCTCCCACACTCCTCCCCCAAGTCACTGGTCTCGTCCAGGGCCAGGTCGCGCCACCAGGACAAAGCCTGAACGACCTTACTCAAGCTCGGTTCCAACAGCAGTATAATGCGCAGATCCAAAGCTTGCAGCCGCAGTTTACGGGATATCCTGGGCCTCAGCCTCAGGGCCTGCAGCAATTTCCCCAGGGTGCTCCTGGACAGTTTATACAGCCCCAGTTTACTGGCGCGCCTGGATATGTTGACCCAAGCCGAATAAGCCAGTACGGGGCCCTTCAGCCCCAGCCTACCGGCTTCCAACCTGGCTTAGCACAGTCTCCCTTTGGCTCCGGCAGCATTAACAACTATCTGCCACCAGCTCTACAGCCTCAACCGACCGGATTCCAGAGCATGCAGCCGCTGCAGCCAACAGGAGGAGCGGATGGATTGAAACCATTGCAGCCGCTTGTACCGCAGAAGACGGGGCCTCCTCCGCCAGTTCGTTTCGGTGTGACTCCCGAGACGAAGAAGCTGGCGCCGCAGGCAACCGGCCGACGGGCCAACCTGGCCCAAGCAAGTAAGTTGTTTTCTCCCCAAGCTCTACTACTGCCTTTACTGACAATATCGCTCGGTAGCTCCTGAAAACCCGTTCGGTTTCTAGACGGAAGACGGAGGTTTCTATACTGCGACTTGTTATATATAGCTAATTACATAGTCTGATTTAACACAAGAAGACTACCTGCTTAAATCTAGCCCTTATAATGAGTAGAAAGCTAGAAATTTTTACTTTAAAATCTTATGTAATTATAATATGAATATATATTGATAGAAGTTTTGTCAACTTGGCTACCTACATACATTAGTAGTAATTTGCCAGCTTTCCGGTGCACTGGGTTCCTAATACTACCTAATGGAAGCACCAGCCCACCTGAGGGAATGCGCTAATCTGTCTGCTGGAGGGGCCGCTGCCCACGCTCCAGGTACTGCCCCCTGCTGGCTGCTCTGCTCCAATTACCCGACCTGACCATGTGCTTTATGCACTACGTGGTTGCTGCTCCATGCGTTGGATCTCCTGCCCAGGCAAGCCAAATACTTGGATATACACCGTCCGATCTGTGCCTCTCTCTCTCTATCCGAGCTTTCCATCTCATCAGTCAATGCGCGTTTAATCTCAATTGGCCTCCCTCATTTCCGCCATGGCAGAAGCTTTGCAAGATTTGCTGGGCAACGGGCAGAATGTCGATGCTGCAACCTCGGATTATATCTCGTACCTGGCGGGACAGCCCGTCGATGCCCTGCGGTCTTCAGAGCGCCAGCTTCTCTCACAGGCCTCCAACTCGACTCTGCTCTCAATACAAGGCTTGTCCAAGAAGTCCTACAAGGCGGTCGTCAGCTCGGCCGAGAGCCATGCGTCTCTACGGGATTCGGTGCCGGCTCTGTCGACCAACGTGCTGCAGCTGAGTCGGCTCATCTCCAGCCTGGATTCGCAGGTCGAGCAGTTTTCCACCAGCGTTAGCAAGGCTGGTGATAGCAAGCTTATTGCGCGCCGGAAGCAGGTGCTGAAGCTGCTGGAGAACGCCGACCGCTTGACGGATCTCATGCAGGTCCCTACTCTGTTGTCGTCCACGGCCAATATCTCACCCCTTGGCTTCTCATCTACGCTCGACCTGTATGGCCACATCCAGCGCCTCGGAGCCCTGTATCCGGACTCACAGCTGGTCCAACATGTGCTGAGCGAGTCTGAGGTTTCCATCCTGCGACTTGCCACGGATCTCATCAACACGCTGAAGGCGCCAAACTTGAAGCTGGCGGCTACACTGAGAACGGTAGGGTGGCTGAAGCGAGCCATTCCAGACCTCATATCTTCGGCGCCGGCAGAAGATATGATTCCCGCTGTCTTTTTAATCTGCCGGTTCATCACGTTGACTGCTACTCTCGACGCATTGGAGCCTCTCCGTCGACTGGCCGAGGACGAGCGGTTGAACCAGGAGAAGACGCCGCAGTCGCGATCCAGTGGCCAGCACACAGAACGGTTTCTGAAACGCTTCATTGAGGTGTTTCGAGAGCACAGCTTTGGCATTGTCTCCATGTCGAAGAGCGTAGACACCAACCTGGGCAACGCATCCCCCGATGACCTCGATCTGCTTCATCCTCTGCCGTCTGCGCTGTCTACATTCCCAATCCACCTGGTCAACATCCTCCTCGAGCCAATCCGCGTCTATCTCCCCGCTGTCAAGGACAAGGTTGCCCGCGAAAGCATTCTTACACAGGTGCTCTACTGCGCCGGCAGCCTGGGCAGACTAGGGGCCGACTTTGGCATGCTGTTAGCCATGGCTGGAGTTAGCGAGTGGGTGGATTTGGTCAAGCGCCACAGACTTCTCGCCGGGCGGCTGGAGTCAGTCATCGGAGATTATCGGTAAAACACCACACACAAAGGCGTCCAGGCACTTTTTAGCCACTGTGCGCAGATGCGTCATCGCAAACCTTGGGCTGCATGCATTGAGCTACCAAACCTTAACCAACCTCTCCTCCATCTACCTACCTGAACCCGTATATAATAGCACTAATATCTTACCGTCGCGCTATCGATTCGTACAACCACGCACACTGAAGGACTTTTTTTTTTTTTTTTTGTTTGTTTATATATCCATATGAGGGCTTTCTTTGTGATTGGTGTTATCGCAGTGCAGCAAAGCTCAGCTACATCATATCTGCTCCGTTGCAGGAGTCAGACTCAGATATACTACTAATTATCATGGGCACAACGACAACAACATCATCATCAGCAAATGCAAAATCAGCTATGGCAGGTGCGCGTCTCACAATGGCACGTTCTATGGAAAATTCTCATCCCAGCTCCTAGTGCAACACTTTCTCTCTGGCCTTGGGTCTGGAGTAGCTTCGGCCGTGCTGCTACAGCCGCTGGATCTCTTGAAGACGCGGACTCAGCAATCCGGTCGTCTCTCACTGCTGGGCTCTTGGAAGGAAGTGACACAGTCGCCACACCCGATCCGGGCGCTATGGAGGGGAACTGTGCCGTCGTCTCTACGCACGGGCATAGGATCCGCCATCTACTTCTCATCGCTGCATAGCATCCGCGAGTTCATCCAGAGGTCAAATGCACTCAACCAACGGATCCATACCCACAGCACCTCGTCGTCGTCGCTGCCGAAGCTGACCAATACGGCCAACGTGGTGGCTGGCGCTGTGGCACGGACATGGGCAGGCTTTGTCCTGATGCCCTTGACCGTCATCAAGGTCCGGTTTGAGTCAAGTCTTTATTCCTACCCATCCATGTGGGCCGCCGTGAAAGATATCCATCACCAGGCAGGCATCCGGGGCTTCTTCTCGGGCTTTGGCGCAACCGCAATCCGGGATGCCCCCTATGCGGGCATGTACGTATCCATTTACGAGATGCTGAAAAGAAGACTGGGGTCCTTCGTTTCTCAAGATGCCATGACACCCTCCATGGCCAGCTCTGTCAACTTTGCTTCAGCCATCTCGGCGGGCGCAATCTGCTCAGCCATATCAAACCCAATTGATGTCTGCAAGACTCGGATTCAGCTACAACCGGACCAGTACCGGAATTTGCTTCACGCTGGCTACAGGATGGTAACTGAAGAAGGCCTCCATTCGTTGTGGCGTGGGCTAGTCCTCCGGATGAGCCGTAAGGCATTGAGCTCTGCGCTTTCATGGACGATATATGAGGAACTTATCCGTAGATATGCTGGCAGCTACGGTGCAAGGAGTAGTCTCAAGTCAATGTAATTTTTTTTTTTAGTTTATTTTGCGAAAGAAAGCTCATATTCGGAGTACAGAGAAAGAAGGAAAGAATAGGAGATGTTGCATAAGGGCCATAAGATTAACAAAATTTTCCACTCTACCATTTAGGAAACACAAGCCTCAAAACCAATCAATAGCAGTAATACTAACTACATACATAGATACTCGGCCTGAAAAAAAAAAAAAACATTTTTGCAATAAACATGGTCTCATAATAAATCATTCATTAGTCTAGGACGGGCGAGCTCCTGCCAAATACATAAGCAGCGGTCCCGGAGACTTGCTCCTCTTGCGGTCGTGCTTGGACTTCTTGCGGACAATCTCAAGCTCCGTGCTTCGGCTTCTGTGGTGGGAATGAGAGGAGTGCCTGTCTTCAACCATCAAGGTGGTCTTGGTCCGCCTCTCTCGAACTTGCTTGGTATGTTCCCAGAACTGGTCCTGCTCCCATTCGGGGACCCAACGCTTGACTAGGACATACTCGGGATCCTATTTAAATTAGAAACATGTTAGTTAGCCGGGGTTCGATATCAAACAATTCCGGGAGAAGGCGGAGGAAGGCTACTAGAGCCAACTTACAGCGTCAAACTCAAAATCAATGTTAAAAGTCCGCAGTGTCTCAATCGACAGGTACCTGCGTGCCATTCGCGTGTACGTATGGCGCTCCATATGAAGCTCTGGAGCTGGGAGAGCAGGCACCATCGGGAGGTGGGCTGGAGGGTGGGCTGGAGGGAGAGCCGGAGCCGGAGCCGGAGCCGGAGCCTTTTGCACCTTCTTTTGGCTGAGGATAGCCTCGATGGCGTGTTCATCAAGGCCCGACTTGACGAGATCGTCGTGCAGGCGGCGTTTATACTCCTTGTCGTTTTGCTCCCTCATCTTTTGCTCATGAGCAATGCGGTCGGCCTCGGCCTTCTTATATTTCTCAACAGCGTCGTGGGCCAAGGCGTCACGCCGCCGCTTCTCCTCAGCCGCTTCCTCCTCCTCCTTGAGGCGCTTCAGTTCAAGCTCCTTCTTTATACGCTTCTCCAGCTCTGCCTCTGCGTCGCGCTTCTTGATGCCTTCGAGCGTAAGCTGGGCATGGCGAAGCTCAGCCTCGTCACGATATTCTTTATCCCGCTTTCGCTTCTCCTCGGCGGCCGCTTCTGCTTCTTTATGTCGCTTAAACTCAAGCTCCTTCTGCTTAAACTCAAACTCCATCTTTAGGCGCTTTTGTTGCTCTTCCTCTGCCTCGCGATCTTTATGTCGCTTAAACTCGAGTTCTTTCTGCTTAAACTCAATCTCCATCTTGATACGCTTCTCTGCCTCTTCCTCTGCCTCACGCTTCTTAATTACTTCAAGCTGGCGCTGTGTCAGGCGGAGCTCTGCCTCCTCACGATATTCCTTCTCGCGACGTCGGTCCTCCTTTTCACGATCCTGATTGAGGCGCATAAGCTCAAGGTCGCGGCGTGCTTGCTCCGCTTCCCACTCATCTCGAGTCATGCGTCCAGTACGAGGCCCGTGTGATGAGCGAGAGGATGACCGGGACCGAGATCGAGATCGGGACCTGGAGGAGCGGCGATAGACCACTGGAACTGCAGCGGGCCTGCGACTGCGACGGTAAATGTCATCGCCGTCCTCGTCTGAGTCGTGCTCGTTGTAGATGCGGTTGTTGATGATGATGGGAGCTGGGGCTGGCGCAGGAGGAGGAGGAGGCACCGGCGCTCCTACGACTACGCGGCTGTTGCGAGGGCTCTCGCGAAAATCACGAGGAGGCGATCGGGTGCGCGAGTGCGATCTGGCGGCGACGACGGTGGTGCGGTGTTCGGGGCCAAGATAGGTGGGCGTAGAGCCGTACTCGTACTGCGCTCCCCGCACCGGCGGGCTATGGACGTAGCGCACAGCGGGCGGGGAGCGGTCGTGACGAGCGACGCGGACGCTGATGTCGTCCTCGGAGTCGTAGAGGCTGCTCATGGCTGCGAACGAGGACAGCGGCAGCTCTGAAGGAGAGAAAACAAAAAATTCGCTTGTTTGCTCGCTCGCTCGCCCGCTCAAGCAACGAAAAGCACAAGCAGACGCAAACGCAGAGCGAAAGGTGGGGGGTCAAAGGACAGGCTGAAATGGCGAGGTTACATACCGTAGCCAAGCGAGTCCAGCTGCCAGCCGGTATTTATACCCCATGCGGCTCAGCTCTGCTCCACAGGGTGCCAAACAGCAGCTCCAAGCAGGTGCAGGTACCGCTCGGCGCATGTTGCATGTGTCTTGAGATTAGTCGTAGCACGCAGTAGTGGTGGCTCTCTTTGTTCGTGCTGCAGCAGCCGGAATAGCTAGCGCTTAGCGGTTGGCAGTGATAGCTGGGAGCGGGGGGAAGCTAAACCGGGCACGGGATGATGTGACGAATGACGATGCAACACACCCATTTCTCGTTTGGGACGCAATCGATCTTGGGATCCTCATGGCCCCGAAAACTGAGAGCAGTGGCGTGGGCAGTTGGGGGAGTGAGGGTGAGCTGTTTGGTGTCGTTCGGGAGAGAAGGAAACAGACGAAAGAGAGCCTTTCCAGCTGCCATAGTCTGTCTAACTAACCTACTTGGCCGATTAGTATCTACTAGACCTAGTAGGTAGATGCCCCAGGCACTCGCTTGTTGGCCAGTACGTACCTAGTCTTATACGCTCTAAAGCCATCGTTCGAAGAAGCGCTGTTCATGCACAGCGCTAGGCCATCTCCGGGCTAGGCCTTGCTTTTAATGCATGGCAATCCCCCTCCCCTAGCGCAGCAGTAGAAAAAAAAAAGTCCCCTGTGGCAGATGACCCGGCCCGCCCATAAGGCTACCCAAACTCTCTCTCGACTCATACAGTCTCAACCTTCCTGCGCAGTGTCTAGACCGAAGCGCCCCAGTCCCAAGAACCATCATCCTCGACAAGGGAAAGAAACCCAAAATAGAAGAAGAAGAAAGAGAACACCATTATAAACAAGCGCCCATGACTGCTCAGTTTGCTTCCCATGGCCGCGGCGGCGCGGGCAACATGGCCGACGCAGCGCATTCGCCCTCCATCAAGGCCTCCGATCTCGAGACGCCGGTGCTGAAAACAGCCGTTGTGACCACAGGCCGAGGCGGCACTGGCAACATGACCAAGAACAACGACCCTCACGAAACCCGTCTTCGCCAAGATGTCAAGGCGTAAGTTGATGATTTTCTAGCATAGCGCAAAGACGGATATTTTTTTTTTTTTTTTTTGGTTTTTCTCGTCTTTCGCATCATCCCTTCCCCTCAGGTCATCACCCTTCTCTAATTTACCCATCCCCAAAACCCGCCCTCGTCTCTCTTGTTAAAGCCCCTATCGCTGGCATATGCGAAAATGTCCAGGATCGATATACAATTTCTAACAAAATGCGCGTTTGTACAGTGTGCCCCGACGACTTAGCGCGGGAGCCCAGTACGCTGGGCGTGGCGGCGCTGGCAACGTATTCAAAGGCGAGGATGAACTCGAACAACTGGCGCGTAACCGAAGCGTCGAACAAGCCATCGACGAAACCCCAGAGGATGCTGCCAAGGATGCTGTCAAGGAAGCTTCCGAGAAAACTTCAGAGAAGACTTCAGAGAGGACAGACAAAATTGAAAAGGTCGAGCCAGCCGCAACAATAAAGAAATGGCTATTCGGCAAGAGGCCATGACAGCGCCCATCTCCTCTGGTTTTAACTGTTACTCCATTTCTTTCATCTTCTTCTGTCTTTTCTCTTCTCCACTGCTTTACATCTCCGCCCTTTTATAGAAAGTATTTGGTTCATGGTGTTGGGAATTCTTGGGGCGCATTTGTTGACTGTTAATATTCTGGCACGGAGTCTTCTCGATGGTATAACGGTATTCAAAATGCGTTGTGCTTGTGGGCATTAATTGGGAAACATCATCTGGAGCCACAAGGGCGTTCGATCAACGGAGCGATTCTGGTTTTTTTATATCCTGGCTTGCAATATAACGTGGCTTATCATTACAATATACTACTTGGTTCTGTCGCTGAGTGGAGAGCCTGTTACATGTGTTCTATGATGTTTTATTGTATTTCCTTGGTCGACTTTTCAAGGTTTTGTCAGTCGGTGAATTTCCTCAAAGAAGAACTTCAGGTTATCCGGGTTTACACCTGGCGTAATACCTATAGACACAATTTATTCAGTAAACGGAAAACATGTATCATATGGTGGGTACATCTCTTACCATGTCCCAAGTTTGCAATCCAGCCTTTCTTTTCGCCAGACCAGAAACCCTTGACCATCGTCTCAACAGCCTCGGTGATGGCCGCCTTTGTGCCATACAGGACTCCGGGGTCGGCGTTGCCTTGGAAAACAATATTTCGGTCTCCTCGAATCCGCACGGCTTCGGTAGGATCCTGCAGCCAGTCCATGCCGACAACGTTGTAGCCCAGATTGCACGCTGAGTCGAGAGCGAACCAAGCGCCCTTGGGGAACACCGTCATGGGTACTTTTTCAAGTCCTAGCTCTTGCAGCTTCAGGGGAAGCTTCTGAGCAATGTGAGCGAGGTAGGGCTCAGAGAACTGCTTGAACGAAGCAGGACCCAACTCTCCAGCCCATGAGTCGAACACCATAACCAACTGGATGAGATAAATCATTAGCTACCCAAGACATAGCATGAGATGGCGAAGTGGCGCAGAACATCATGAAAGAGAGAAAGCGGATTGGACAATGTGAAAGCCATACCTGAGCTCCAGCCTTTACCTGGTGTGCCAGATGGTCCACACAGACGTCGGCGATCTTAGCCAATAGTTTCTTCGATTCCTCTGGGTACTTGTAAATCCAAGTCTTGACCTGAGCGAACAGCTTCGTGCCGCCTCCCTCAACCATGTAGCAGAAAAGCGTCCAAGGAGCACCACAGAATCCAATCAGCGGCACTCTGCCGGCCAGCTTCTTCCTCGTAAGGGTAATCGCCTTGTAGACGTAGTCGAGCTCGGCGGCCACATCGACCTTGCCGTTGAGAACCTTCTCGTACTGCCCGTCCAACGGGTTCTGGAGCGGGTTAGGGAAGTGAGGCCCCTTCTTGTCCAGCATCTCGACCTGCATGCCCATGGCCTGGGGAATGACGAGGATGTCGGAGAAGATGATGGCGGCGTCCAGAAGGCCCTCGAATCGCTCAACCGGCTGCAGCGTCAAGGTGGAGGCGACCTCGGCGTCTCGGCAGCATTCGAAAAAGTCGCGGGAGCCTTTGGCTTCATGATACTCCGGCAGGTAGCGGCCAGCTAAAAGACTTTTGTCAGACAGGTTGTTCCTTGTTATAATGCTTCCTTCTGCAATTTCCTCCTTTGTGAAAGAAGCACTCGTCAGCCAAAACTCACCTTGGCGCATCACCCACATGGGAGGTCGTTCCACGACCTGGCCTATCCATGGGCGCACATATACGCATAAGCACAACTCAATTCGCGGACAGCGCTAGACGAATGGCAATAAACCCACCCCGTGCCGCTCGCAGCAGCAGGTCGTTCTTCAATGGCTCGAAAGAGTGCTCGGACATCTTTGCGGGAGAAAAGGGAATGAAATGTGCAAAATTATTGTAGGAGCCCAGGCTGTCAGCGAGCCGAGCAGCCATATAAAAGCAAAGCACAAGCTCGAAACCCCACCATCCAATTGACCGTCATGCCGAGTTCCTGCCCCTCCTCGTATGTACAAAGTACGTACCTCTGTTGGAATTTGGAATACGCTTTCCGCACTTTATTTTCGGATGCGATCGGCCCGCGTTCCCTGCTCTTGCGCGCTACTTCACCCCAAGCTGTCACCAAGCTGTCACCAAGCTGTCTTATCAGTGCTGTATCATACACGCATGAGTGCGCCGAATCCATCGTCGTAACAATGTCGTCGGAACAAGAGCTTCAGATCAATCCTGTTGTTCAGGACTCAGTCGTCCATAACAGCAAGGTGCGCCAAACTAACTCCCTCTCGCGCCACGAGTGAGGGTTTCCGCCATCCAACCATGTTCTAACCTGACCTCCGCGATGCAGGTCCTCACCAATCTCCACAGCCTGACAGCGTCTCTCTTTGGCGTTAGCGCTGGAATTCTTGGCCTCGAGTCCTATTACGGCTTCTTATTCTACATCGTCTTCTCATTAATAACAACCATCCTGTTTTACACCTTCCAGCTGGCGCCGGGCTCTCTGGCAGAGGGGCGCAGCGTCGTCGACACCAGTCGATATTACAAAGGCGCCCTTGATCTCTGGACAGGCGGCATAACTAATGGGTTGCCCGGATTCATTCTTACATGGACTTTGTTCTACGGATTAGTGAGAGCTTGAGAAAGGGAAAGGAAAGGGAAAAGATAGCCAGCGAACTTTTAATTAAGTGCAGACGTGCGATTGCGATATCTGTTCGAACAATAATTTATTTCAATGCATATATTAACGACCCAATGATTTCTTAACGCTCTCCAAAACGCCTTCTCACAACACAAACGCCTACTTATATACAGCTATAGACACGCCTTTTCAGGTCAACACATGACGGCTGTAATCTTTCCAACAAACCCCTGCAAACCTGATCCATCATGGCTACCATTTCCCATGATTATCACTGATGACCCTAACTCAGCCCACTTTCGGCTGTGCACTAACTCTACAGTCACTTTTGTTACTGTATCTCCCAAAGAGGCTTCTGCAGTTTCTGCTTTGTGTTCTGCGTCAAGTGGCCCAAGTGTCTCGCCTGCTTCGCCTCGATGTTGAATAGAAACGTCAAGAATCCGAGCAGCAGTTCTGACACAGGCAAAAAGGACATTGACCAATGTCCCCGAAGGCGGGAATTGAGCAATGTCTTCGTCAAACACCGCAGTGAACCCACGGGAAGCGTGGAGTGACGCTTCACTATCCAGCATGTCCATAGACGACGTGGTGATAACCATGCCCCTTCGAATCTGAGGAGTGTCTGGTAGGACGGTGAGATCACTGTGACTTGTCTCGAAGACAAGCCCAATCGATCCAACCTGGCCGGCTTCTAATGTGCCCACAGGCAACCGAAGGTTGCGAATACTCACAATGCGTGCTTTCTGCCACTCATCTGTATTCGTTGAGGGGGATGCTGAGCCATCGATCTTGTTCCCATTGGCATGTGCAGCTGGAATTGCGCGCAGTGCTGGTGATCCACGACCCTCAGGCGATGATTGATATTCAGATCCAGAACCACGATCAAGCGCAAGGCCTGACGAAAATGGTCCTACAGCAATGGTTTGCCCTATAGAGAAGCTGCCAAGACGGACATGGCCGGACACAATAACTCCGTCTAGATTCGCTAGTGAATCATCAAACGATCTTGGTAAACTGAAAGTGTCATCAATATGGAAAAGATTTCTCGGCTGCTCTAGCTGAGGGCTTGCTTCTTTGGAACCTTGTGGCGTGGGTGCTGGAGGTAGAGGCAGGCTTGCGAGTAGGGCATGGACAAGGCCAATACCCACCCCTTTCAAAACGCTCGTAAACACAATAGGAACGTGCTTCAGCAGATCTCCGTGCTCGGATATGGTTCCAACAAAGCTCTGCACCTTGTCCCAGTCGGTCTGTGGAATTTCTGACAGCTGGTCTCGTGGCTGTTGGTCAGGCTGCAGAAGTTTCGGTATGCGGTCCGCATCCCTTATAGCACCAAGGATCTTGGTCATGGTCTTCTGCAGGCTCACTTTGGATGCGAGATCCAACTTGGTAATGACAATTGCCAATGGAACGTCAAGCTTGAGCGAGAGGTCCAAATGCGCCTTAACCAAGTCAGTATCCCCTGAGTCTGGCGCCAGTGCCGTCACGTCATGCGCTCGAGACGTCATTTCAGCATCGTCAGCAGCAATGCAAAGGACCATCCAATGGGGTGCCCAGTTCATGAGTCCGCGAAACACTGTATGTCGATACCTCGGGTGACCACCAGAGTCAGACATAAACACAAGGCGGCCATTGTTGGAATAGTCGTGAATGTCAAGCCATGATTCGATATTGCGATGGGAAAAGCTGAAAATGAGTCTTTCCTTGTATCCAATGAGCTCCTGTGCAATGGAGCTGGTCATTCCGGATGCCATTTCGTGACGGTGTTTCAGTAGGCTCAGGCGACTCTTGCCTCGGCCATTGTCCAGAGTGCCCGTAGATAGCGTTCCTAAGAGGCTGGATTTGCCCGATGCTATGGGCCCGGTCAGGGTAACCCGTAGCTGTGGTGTCGTAGATTTGCCATGGCCAGGCACTGTGGTTGACGCAGAAGATTCCAAGGGAGTTCCATCAGTGGACTCGTTGTAACGCTGGGCATCTTTTGACTGTAGTAGCTCAGTGCTGGGCGTTATCAGTGCCTCGGCTACCCAGAGCTTGTCCTGTTTGGTGACCTGAGTTGGTCCCTGAGAAGCATTCTCACCGAGATCGGCTATTTCGATCCATTCACAATCACCCACAATCACCATCCGCAGGACAGTAACGCCGCATCCGAGGCTAGCTGCCATGACTCTCAAAGTCGCAATGCTCTCGTCCAGCTCATCCTTGGCCAAGCCGACAAGATGTCCGTCATCAGAAACGCCTATCTCGTATAGAGCTCCTTGCGATTCCTCAAGACCAGGAATCTGGGTGCCGTAAAGATCCGGCGAATTTGCATCTGCGCTGCCATTAGGCAGCTTCGGGATCTTCACTTCTCTTGAGCTCGACGCATGATATGGCGACGACTGCTGCAGGCGCCACAGCAGCTGCGTCGTAAGGCGCTGAAGCCGTTCCTGGCGTGGCTGGTTCGACGTTGCAGGAGTGGGAGAGGCCGAGTAGGAAGCAGGAGAGGCCGAATACAGCGCCGACCCGTCTCCAGGCTGGGCATGAAGCCTATCTCGCTTCTGGTCGACCGTGCTCATGTACACATAGCTGCGTCTTGATCGAAGCAGTAGATGGAGCTTATACTCGATCGGGCCAGTCTGCGGCTCTGCATCCAGCCTCGTGACGCCATACTCGGACAGCAAACCGGTCTGAGTCACGGCTGCACTTGATGCCAGAGAATTTTCTGCGTCGTCCGCCAGAATCCAGGGCGAGGAAACCCGAGGAGGGTCCGGGTCGTAGGTAAAGACTGAGGCCATTGAAAACAATTATAACGATTTGATCTGGATGTTCCCCTGCGCTACTAAGACAACCCGAATCATACTATGAAGGTCCGATGTACTTCCGCAATGCAATGCCGGTCATGGAATATCATTATGGTAAGCAGCTGCGATACTAACTGCAGGGGGTGCAAACAGCCTCCTGATGACCAAGGATCACGGATGGGAATAGCAGCATATGCTGAGCAGTGGTGAGGAATGCAAATTGAAACAAGAATGAGGTCAGGGCACGAGGTTTATGCGAGTATTTAAACAGAAAATCAGCCCGTCAATGAAATGAGCATGGAGTAGCCAAGCCACTGACAGCGAACGCGCTCAGCGCGAATGTGTGAGTCAACACAGTTTGACGGTGTCTCCTGACGCATGGCCGAGGGGAGGTACATTAATAGGACATCTCGATGCCACCCGCTAGCGGTATAGACGCAAGGTAGAGTTTAGGAACTACCGAATACAGATCAAGCTATGACTAAAATGCTTGTAGTGGCAATAATGCCTGGGGAGGAATTAGCTAAGCCTTGCGCAAAAGTCTAAACGCCCCTGACAAATTTATAGGGTTTACGGTGCTGCGTACAGGCGAGGCTCAGACAGCATGATGTGAACGACGCTTCATGGAGAGCAATATTAAACGTTTCATGTAATATATATACCTATATATAATATGAAATACCCCATATTATGAAAACACACACGCAAAACCCAGCATTCTAGACCAAAATTCTATTCATCGCTTTACCTAATACGAGCCAACCGTTCTCTATTCATTCTTGTAGCATCATCAACTGCGTCACTCTGTTGGAAAAAAAAAAAAAAGAGATATTAGCCATCTAGAACAAAGTAAAGAAAAACAACATGTGTAGAAAGGGAGGTCCAGGACTTAAATACCTTGTTCATAATTCGATCGATTTGTTTGTTTTGGGCGTCCACCTCTGCGCCAATGGCTCGGCCGACCATGTTCATCATCTTGACCTGTCCCTCTAATTCGGTGAGACCATCGTCGATTTGGTCCTCCAGCTCGTCGGCGCCCTCTTCGTCATCCAGGTTGAATTTTCCATAATCCTTCTTGCGAGCTGTTCGGTTTGCCCCGGTGTTGCCAATCTGGCGCATGTTCTGCTCCATGCGCTGGGTCGCAGCGTAGCCGTCTCGCCGGGTCGTTTCCCGCTGCTCTCGCTCAGCCCGATGGCGAGACATTATCTCCTCATCGGCTTTCTGCTGACGCTGCTTGGATGTGAATGGGTTCCCAACGTGGACTGCGAACATGCTGCGATTGAGCGTCTTCAACTCTGCTGCCCTGTCCTGAGCAATCTTATTCTGGTTGGCCGCAAGGTCGAGGTTCTTCTCCGTGTTATGTAGTCGTTCTCCCTGTGCGCCAAGACGGGCCAAAGTAGCACGCCCGACCTCGTTGGCTTGTCTAGCCATTTGCACCGAGCGGTTGACTGAAGCAACACTGTCCTGCTGAACTTGTCGCTTTTCAGTCAAGATTGCCTGGTAATCAGCCTCCTCTTGTTCCTCTTCTGTCAATTCCCGCTGCTCGCCATAGCCGCCATAAGAGCCCCCGGTAGCACCCGATGAATCGGCTCCCGATGTTGCAGCCTGCTGCTGCTTTTGTTCGAGCCGCTCCTGTGCGCCGGCGAAGAGGGCGTCTCTGTTGCTGTCTGGCGCATCGCGACCAAAGCCTCCGTAGCCTCCAGGGCCCCTAGCCCCCGCTGCCGGAGAATTGTTGTAGTTTGATCCAGGGCCGCTGTCGTAGCGGTTGGAGCCGTAGCCACCACCCGAGCCGTATCGATCACTGCCGTACCCTGAGGGGGCAGACTGCTGAGGGGCTCCGTTCTGTCCTCCTTGGTATGGGCTGTAGCCATTTGCAGGAGGTGAGGGACGAGCGCCCATGTTTGCATATTTGGTTTGCTCAGCATAGGGATCGCTGCCTCCTTGGTTGGCATATGGGTTTTCCGAGGGAGTGGGCGTCGAGTTCTTCTTGCGGCTGCCAAAAAGGGCATTTCGGTTGGCGTCGTCGCCGTCGTCGCCTTTCTTGCCGAAGCCGAATTTCTTCATCGTGTTCTATTGGAGAGCTTTTGAATTCAAATACAACGAGATGCAAAGCCGAGAACTACAAAACAAGAAAGAAATAATGGGAGGGTATTGATGGATGCAGAGAGAAAGGAGATGTCACGAGAGGCGAACAAAGATGCGGTGGTAAGGCTTGGGTGTCAACTCCCTATCTGAGCCACCCACTCCATGCGTACTCCGTCCTGGACGCTAACGAATGCGGCACAACAGCCCAAGACCCTGGGGTCTATTGGGTCCCACACCGCCGCAGGTGCTGCAGTAAGCCTCAGCGCTCTGTCCACTCTCAGCCTGCCATGCCGCTACAGGCTATATTTAGTCAGTTGGCGATCCATGAATATGTACTGTAATACTGTTTAAAATACACATGGATAATTATAATTATTTATATGTACAATGAATTATTCGTTATATATATATATACAATCTCTTCATATACCTTCTTTTCATATAATTTATCTAAGAGAAAAATAACAATTTTTTTTTCCTAAATATGGTTTTTATATAACCAGTGCTCCTTAGCGAATTGGTTTTCTGAGCGCTACTACGGAGTACTACCTACTACTACTACGTACCTAATTAGCCTAGCCTGCCACCCAGGCATGTGAAATTTTGAAATTTTGATAGATTTGGATACCACTGAGTGCGCCACCGTTGATGCAATCCCTCTATACTTCTGCCATTCGCTCCGTCAATCAATAATGGCTGCCCCAAATGCGACAGAGCATGCAACAAAGAGGCGTAAAACGCGACAAGACTCTGGGTCTGTCACAATTGGAGGCAAAACCATCTCAGTCGCAGGATATCTTACACCTTCCCGACCCAAGAAACAAGTCGACGCAAGCAGTCTGAAGCCAACACTACCAAACTCGACACAAGAGCAGCCTACGAACACTACATCACAGCAAACAGCACAGGAAACGACCAAACCCAATCTGCCAGATAAGAAAGGGACATATAACAAATCACGAAGCACGAATGGAACTGGGAACCAAGCCCTACTCAAGACTCGCCGCGAGTTGCCAATATGGCAGCATCAAGATGAGATTCGAACGGTCGTGAAGCGCATAGGCACCGACGTTATTGTCATTGTTGGAGAGACTGGTTCTGGTAAGAGTACGCAAGTACCACAGTTTCTATACCAGGAACCTTGGTGCAAACAACACAAGGTCAAGCTGCCAGGCCGGCAAGAAGACGGATATGTTGGAGGCATGATCGCTATTACGCAGCCGAGACGTGTTGCAGCTACAACCCTAGCACATCGCGTTTCAACCGAAGCTGGCACTCCACTTGGCAAAGGACGACCGGATGGGCTCGTGGGGTACTCAGTTCGATTCGATCATCAGGTGCCACGAGGTACCCGGATCAAATTTTTGACTGAGGGTACTCTGCTGCAGGAACTTCTTCGGGATCCCTATCTGAAACAGTACAGCGCGGTGGTCATTGACGAAATTCACGAGAGAAGCCTAGATGTCGACCTCCTGGCCGGATTTTTGAAACAGATATTGTTTGGAGATAAAACAGAACGGGGAGGCATCCCTCTCAAGGTCATTATCATGAGTGCTACAGCTGAGGTGGGCGTTATTCAAGAATTTTTCGGCAGTGGGGCTTCGCCAGGGAAAGAGAAAGCAAGCAACGTTGAGGTGCTTCGGATCAAGGGTCGGCAATTTCCAGTCACGATCTCATACGAACCCCGGCCGGTTGCGGATCTCCAAGACGCGCTATTGAAGAAGATTTTCAAAATCCATGTGGAAGAGCCATTACCTGGAGATATTTTGGCTTTCCTCAACGGCCAGGAAGATATTGAAGCTGCGCAGCGGCTGATTGAGGAATATGCCACGAGCCTTGCGTCCAACGTGCCAAAAATCATTGCTGTACCCTTATATGGACAGCTTTCTATTGAAGCACAGAGGGTGGCCTTTCTGCCGGCTAGATCTCCCATGACACGCAAGGTCGTGCTCGCAACAAATATTGCCGAAACATCCGTCACGGTCCCTGGCGTGAGATATGTCGTAGATTGCGGCAAAGCCAAGGTGAAGCAATACCGACCACGGCTGGGTATGGAATCGCTGTTAGCCAAGCCCATTTCCAAGTCATCCGCCGTGCAGCGTGCAGGCCGTGCAGGCCGTGAAGGACCAGGCAAGTGCTTCAGGCTTTATACTGAAGATGCCTTTGACACGATGCAAGACTCAGATCTTCCTGAGATTTTGAGAAATGATGTTCTTGGAGCCGTCCTCACGATGAAGGCTCGTGGCATCCAGGATGTGCTAGCCTTCCCGCTGATAGATGCGCCGGAAACTGCAGCCATAGAAATGGCACTACTGCATTTGCATTTCCTTGGCGCTCTTAACGATGACGGCACTATCACACCGGCAGGCGAAACGATGGCTAGATTTCCTCTCTCAGCTCCCCTTGGTGCGGTTCTTCTCGCCGCCTCAGGACCTGAGTTTGACTGCGTTTTGGAAGTAATTGATGCCATCTCATGCCTCACATCCGGAGACGACATCTTTATTCATGTACAGTCAGAGGAAGGCGCAGAGGAAGTAGAGGAGCACCGGAAAGACCTGCAGAGACGAGAGGGAGACATCATCACGTACTTGACCACCATGCAGTTGTATGCTGCAGAGAATTCAGACAGAATAGAGTGGTGCAAGAAGCGCAAAATTAATATCCGCAACATGAAGCAGGCGTTGAATATTCGTCGACAGCTTCGAGGAATGTGCTTGAAGGAGAAGCTCCTTTCAGAGATGCCGCCGCCTGATCCTCAGCCATTTACTCCTTTGTCGCCTGATAAGGCGGAGGCAGTTATCAAATGCTTTCTTAGAGGCTTCGCGATGAGAACGGCTATGTTGGCGCCCGATGGAAGCTTTGTGACTGTCAATGGCAAGCATGTAGTTGCCATCCACCCATCCAGTGTCATGCATGGCCAGAAGAAAGAAGCCATCATGTTCCTTGAGCATGTGTATACAAACAAAAACTACGCGAAGAAAGTCAGTGCAATCCAGGCAACATGGATTGCTGAAGCATTAGGGAGATAAACATGCAAATTAGAGTAGATACCCTTGGTCCTTTTGGATAGAAAAAAAAGAAGCGTACATCTCACACAGAAGCACAATAGCATATAGATAAATGGGTATATATATATATATTTATACAGCTGCTATTAAAGATATATTCTAATTCTACAAGTTGTATTTTACGCAAGCGATTAATGATTCTGATCACTCAGTATCGTCTCCGTTGCGATGCTTCTGTATGGCCTGCATCAACTCATACAACTGCTGGATTTGCTCATCTAGAAGATTGTATATAAATGAGCCTCCATACTTCACCAAGAGGCATCGAGTAAAAGAGGAAGTGATACGCTAGGAAAAAGACTCACCACTCATTTTTTGAAGTTTGCCCTGGTCAATCTTTTCACCAACCCAGGACTCGCCCTCGATTTGCTGAGCATATATCTGCCACTCTGAGAGAAAGCCAATCTAACAAATCGGAAATTCAAGATCAGTCAATCACATGCCGACTGAGAAAATGGAACTAGGTATTGCCGGGATGAATGAAAAGAAGAATCTCATTGTCTCTTTTTAATTTAATTCAAAACATACCAGATGAGCCGGATTGTCCACGTTGCGATGAGCTCTAAATTCGGCCTTGATATACTGATCGCCGAGGAGCCTCATGTCTGCCGGGAGGTACTTTCGGTGAGCGCGCAAAAGCCGTCGGTAAAGAGGAATGGGCGGCAAAAGGGCCATCGGCTTAGGCCGCAGGCCATTCTGCACGGCCGAGGCAGATGCCAACTTTGCGATGGTTTGGCGCATGGTGCGAGAAGTTGTCTTTGTGACGGATAGACGAAATACTGTTTTATACGACGGCTTCTTATCGACCAATGTGTAACCGATGGTGCAGCAGAAGAGTCGATAAGGATTGCTAAGCCAGAACTCCTCCAAGGAAGCAGCGTAAAATAACCTCGGCAACCGTTATAAGCTAGGGAGGAAGAGAAAGAAAAAGAGAAAAAGAATCGTTAAACCGCCATGCTATGTCAATGAGGCATGTTGCATCTATGAAGTCGCCCGCGGCCAATGATTTCCAAGGCTAATTAATGGGTTTAGATCCGCAACAGCGCCGAACCAGTTTTTTTTTCCTCAGACCTGCAAAGAAGCTCAAATCGGCAGCCCCACCAGCAGCACTGAATCTTTTGCAATATTTCCTACCACTTCAATAATTCACCATTCTTTGTTCCACTCATTCCGTGAAACACGCCTTTTGTCGACTTTTATAAATGCTCAAGAAGCTTATAAAGCCGTGACTTGTTTCCATCAAATTAGAGAGCATATAGACATACACTGCAAACCCATCAATCACAATGTCATTCTCATTTGGCTTCGCCGGGGACGACATAGAAAATGACATGGCTGAGTCTCAGCCATCAGCTCTCGCCGCAGCTCAACCCTCAGCCTCGACCTCTTACAGTGCCTTTCCGGTGCCCGGTAAACCACAGCTGCCAGCAACGCTCCACAGCCTCTCTGACTTCCTCTCGCAGCTGCCCTCCAAAATCGCCTATGATCTCCTGGACATCGAGGCTACCGATGCTGGTGCCAGTGAGACCCAGTTGCGGCTGCCTCGCCGCGAGCTGTGGGACGTGCGAGTGCAGCTCATGGCCGAGGATGACGACGTGACCAATGGAGAGGACCGAGTCGACGACGGCGGGCTCGGAAAACACGATGTCAAGACGGGCATTTACGAAGGCGGCTTCAAGAGCTGGGAGAGCAGCATCGATCTCGTCAAGGTGCTTGCTGCGCAGGATGAACTGAGTGCCGCTCAAGAAGCCTCGTCACTCCGTGTCATTGAGGTAAGCAGACGTGAAAAGAGAGAAAAGAAAACGAACGAGAGAGTTGGCCTCAACCTCGAATCGATCTACTCCAACCACCCTTTCTTGCTTCACTTACAACATTTAACTAACTCGTACAAACCATTTCTTTGTCGATCTAGTTGGGTTGTGGAACTGCCCTCCCTTCTCTGGCAATGTTTACCTGGATCATGAAGAGAATCTCACGCAACCAATGGCACCAAAAGCCCCTCTCGTTCACTTTGGCTGACTACAACCCATCCGTCCTCCGCCTCGTCACTTTGCCCAACTTCCTCCTCGCCTGGGCCCTTGAAAACACCCAAAACCCAGTGCTTCAGGACGCATTTAACATTGAGGGTGAGCTAGAGCTATCGCCCGAAATCATCCAAGCTTTCGAGCAGTTCCTCTCATCCAGCGGGATTCATTTTTCATTCATCTCTGGAGCATGGTCGCCCGAGTTCATTCGTTGTTTATACGAGTTACCAGCGTTCTCATCCAATCTCCCGGCGCCAACCACACTCATGGTGGGGGCAGAGACGATCTACTCTCCGTTCGCATTGCAGGCATTCACGCAGCTCGTCTTTTCCATCTTGGATCGTGAAAAGACATGTAATGCTAGAGCGGCTGCGTACGTAGCTGCAAAAAAGCTATACTTTGGGGTTGGTGGCTCGCTAGACGACTTTATCGAGGCAGCCCGGTCAAAGGGTGCTGCAGTTACAGAGCTGAGAGAGGAAAGTGAAGGTGTACGACGTGGTGTAGTTCACTGTATCTTGCAGGAACAGGGCCATCAGTAAAGTACGACTCCATCTATCCCAGCTTTATGTCAATGCAAAGGCAAATCTACTATAATGGAAACTCTGAGTCAAAATTCGCTGGCTATACTAATCGAAATCGAGGTAATACTTCAGCCAGGGACTGTTGATTACAATTTCGTTGTTCAGAACTATTTGCATAGGACTATTCGTTTCTACTTCCCCTTGCGCAACTTCTCGGTACACTCAGGACAATACCAAGTGCCATTCGGTTCGCTCTTAAGTCCAACACATGACCAATGGAACCACTCATATGGACAATTGTCGTTGTCGCAAGCCACCATATCTCCATAGCTCACATTATAACACAGGCAATATTGTTTGTCATCGCCACCGTCCTCGTCATCATCGGCATCTCCTGGCGCTTCGTTACCATTTTTGCCATCCCTAGCCAAGTTGGTCCTCGGTCTGGGCTCGATACTGTCGTCTTCTTCGCCACTGCCGCTTCCAGCGTCTGACAGGTCACTATCTGCCGTTGAGGCTGGTGAATTTCGATTGGACGCCTTCTTCACCCGTGACAGCGATGACCTATTGGGTGGCTTCTTCCGACCGCTTATTGTCGGGGTCCCTCTGCGGCCAGCTATTCCAACTGCCGCTTTAACTGACCCTGCTCTCGGCCCAGCACTACCTGCCCGAACAGCGCCTCCAGCTCCCAAATTTGCTCCGGCTCCATTCTTTGGCGTGCCAGGCCCCAGGGATGAATGCCTCGCCAGACCACTTGATGTTGTAGGCAGATTTCCGGGCCCTGTGATAGACCGTGGCCCTCTCTTCGTTGCTGGACCGGCTGAGCTCTCTCGCTGCCTGCTCAGTATTATGCTTGCGGCAGGCGTAGCCGGTGCGGAGGATGGGTGCTGCTGGTACTGTGCAACGTGCTGCTGGGCCTGAGGATGTCTTATCTGGGGCTGGTTGGGCAGTCGAACCATGGCCGGGTTGGCAGAGCCGACAACGGGATTGCGAGGTGAAGCCAGAGGACCGGCTGAGTTGATATTATTTGATAAGTTTAATGTACGAGCTGAAGGGGCGCTGTGATTAGTGGCACTGGGACGAAGGAGTGAGGGAACCTCGTCAGGATCTGTGAAACCAGGTTCGGCACGATCATAAAGCAGCTTGATCTGAATATCCAAGCTACGCAGGTGCTTATCCATGACAAGCTGCAATCTCTGCATGAGATTGATCTTGTCTTGCGCAAACTGGTCTGCCCGAGCATAGTTTTCGCGGATCTGGGCTCGCAACACATCTTCCTTAGGGTTAGGCTCATGACTCCCATTCGTCTTTATCCACTTTTGAATCTTTCCATCGCGGTCTTCGATCATGCGGATGCAGTCATTATATTGACGATCCTTGTCTGAAATCTCTTCTTGAATAAAACGAATCTCTTCGGGAAGGTTCTGGACCCGGTTGATCCAGTCATCGAGGATCAAGCCGGGGTCTAAAGGCTCGGCTTGCGGCATCCTCTTAACAAAATCGATGGACAAATCGTCTCTAGGCATGATGGTTAATGACTTGGCAACGCCGAGCCCATGGATTTGATGATGAACAGGTGAAGGGTAGACAACAGCAGCCAGAGATGAGGTGGCCAGGCTAGCAAATGAGCTGAGGCTGATGCAATTTGATGAAATGAAAGGCTCTTGAATGAGACAGTGTAACGCTGTGACAGAATAGACGGGAGGAGCACCGGCGCAGCCGTGAAGAGTAGTGGATAGATAGACTTGAAAAATACAGGCTGATGCTAATACTGGGCCATGTGCTTCAAAGAGGCGGTTATTGCGCTCCCATCTATTCTGTGTTCACCGTGCAGTACAAACGGTGCTTCAAAGAAAAAGAGAATAGAGGAAGCGACGAGGCATAGCCCATCCACTGAGAGTAGGGGGCACGAAGCAGACACAGCAGATGTACGGATAATCAGGCGTGCATGGCAATAGCTCTGCAGCAGAGAAAAAAAACTGTCACCAGCTAATAGCCACCTCCCCCCCGCAAGGAGGCGCCTCTAACGAATGACGAACGAATGAATGAGTCCTCCAACGATGTGGATGGGCCCTCTCCAAGAGCAGAGAGTGGTTGTCAAGAGCAACGCAAGGCAAGGCAAGGCAAACGCAAACACGGGCGCAGAGCGACTCGATAAATGCTCACCTCGATGCCACTTCAACTGCGGCGCCTGTCTTGCTTTGGGTCGGATGAGGGAGGATGGAGAGTTGAGTTGGACGCGGCGCGTTGCGAACAAGTTGGCTTGGTTGGGCTGCCAATCCGGAGGAGATGCAGAATTAGTGATGGGGCGAGCTTGGAGGTTTATGCAGGCTAGGAGATGCAAGTACGTCAAAATCGGGTGGTGGTTGCAGGGACTTCTAGCATATTCCGAGGCTTAGCCACCCGGAAATGTTCCGCAAAGCTTGTTCTCTAGTACCTACGAGACTACAGTAAATACTCGTACAGCAGTCGTCATTACCAATCGTTGAACAATGGAAGGGGGAAAAAAAGAAGAGGAAGAATCCAGTGGGTACCTAAAGAGAAAATAAAAAAGGAGAATGGTTTTCATGCTGCACGTACCTACCTTAGTACCTTAGTACCTTTGATATAGCAACTGTACTCGTGCTATTGTGCTTCATCTCTCTCCTTACAAAAGCTTGATACTAGACCTACTAGTAGTAGGTAGAAGTACAAGCGCATCACTCACGTGACACCGCTGGATGAAGCCGAGTCGCTCTTTCAATCCAGAACAGACTTTAGCGTAGCCAATCCCAGTCCACTTTACAGCTGCTACCCATAACTTCCCTCACCTACATATCTCTACTCATCATGTTATGAGAGTCTATCCCTTCTCTTCGCTTCGCTCTGGAATGGTTTCAACAATTATTCAGCATAATGCCCCTTCACTTTTCTTAGTCACAGCTGAATAAAAAGCAACGCTTCTCACTTTCACACTTGGTCAATCTTACGTTGCAGCTCCAACCCTCGCTCACTGCCGTTACGCTCTCATCCACCAAGGAGGTGAGCAACGCTACGCTGCGTCGACAAGTGATTCTCTTTCATAATTGACCATCTATCGCGATCCTGAATCATAAGTCTCAGCAGACTCACTACCATCACCCATCATGGACACCTACAGATTTCGTGTTCCTAAACCGAACTACCTCCCCCATAAACTCGACATCGACCCTGATCACGACATCGTAGAGGAGTATGTCCAACCTCTTGGCTTAGCTGGCGAGGCAGAAAATGCAAAATTCTATCAACAGTGCAAACGCATGGCGGAAGAATCAGGCATAACGCGCCCCAAAGGCCACAATGTCTCCTTTCACTGCAACCCCGACATGGAGCAGCATCACTTCGGCATGACACATCCAATGAAGCCCTGGCGCCTGACGCTCTCCAAGAGCCTAATCTACTCATACGGCATGTCCTTTGCCATGGATAACTTCGTGACCCGGGCTGCTACTTACGAGGAGCTGGCTTCGTTCCACTCTACCGACTATCTCGATTTTCTCGGCACTGTCCTCCCCGAGCCGGTTCCTCGGGATCTTGAGAGCCAGAACCCAGATCTGAGATTTAATTTGGGTGGCTCGGACTGCCCATTATTTGACGGCCTCTATGATTATTGCTCTATGTCTGCCGGGAGCGCGCTTGATGCTGCAAGGAAGATATGCGCCAAGCAGTCCGACATTGCTATTGCGTGGGGAGGTGGCCTACATCACGCCAAGAAGGCCGAGGCATCTGGATTTTGCTACATCAATGATATTGTCATTGCCATTCTGGAGCTGCTGCGCTTCTATCCACGCGTTTTATACATTGATATTGACGTGCATCACGGTGATGGCGTCGAAGAGGCTTTCTTCTCAACAGACAGAGTCATGACTGTCTCATTCCATAAATATGATCCCAACAACTTCTTTCCTGGTACTGGCGCATTAGATGATAATGGCCCTAAGAGCGAGCATAATCCTGGAGCACACCACGCCGTCAATGTTCCGCTCAACGATGGTATTACTGACGAGCAATACGACATGCTATTCAACAACATCATCGGCAGGATAGTTGAGAAATTTCGCCCAGGCGCCATCGCCCTTCAGTGTGGTGCTGATTCTCTAGCAGGAGATCGTCTGGGTCGGTTCAATCTGCAAGTGCAGGGGCATGGAGCTTGTGTTGCGTTTTGCAAGAAGATGAACATCCCCATGATTCTCTTTGGCGGGGGCGGCTACACTCCACGGAACGTAGCCCGGGCGTGGACATACGAGACCAGCATAGCCATCGACTGTCAAGACAAAATCAACCCTATTCTGCCTGAGCATACCCCATGGAGAGAGCAATTTCGCCAAGACACCCTCTTCCCAACGCTTGAACAGATATTGGGCGAGCCGCGACAGAATCGCAATCCCCAGAAACGTTTACAGGACATCGTGCAGCACGTTACAGAGCAGCTGCGCTTTGTACAGACCGCGCCAAGTGTGCAGATGCAGGTCATCCCACCCGATTTAGGTGGCTTCCGGGACGACGTGGAGGCCAGGTTGAAAGAGGAACAGGACGAGAGGAATGATCAGCTACGAAAGGAAAGGGAGTCTGGAGCGGGAACTGCCATGGAATTCTAATTTATCAACGACTCATTATATCTTCACCCCAAGACCAACTGCTGCGTGAGCAGATTTTTTAATTTGGAAACAATAAACCCGTAGACAACAATGAAACAAGAAAAAAAAGCAACATTAAATGAGATCCAAGTACTGTGCACCGCCAAAGACGGCGCATGTCTATATATCACACGCGGCATCATGGCGGCTATGCAGCCAGGGATAGCAGAAGAGAGGCGCAAGTGCACTAGTGGAAGGCCGAATGATCTCTGAATGGCCTTCCTGGTATCGCGAGTTCTTTCCCCTTGCATCCTTACAGATTTCGACGAAGTTATCCGTCGCATGACAAAGATGGCCCAGATTACCTCCCACCACGTGCTCTGCACAAGGAATATGCACACGAATATCCAACTATAAGTACTGGGAAAAAAATCAACAAGTCCGTCCCAAAGCCGTCGTCTTAAAAGTATCGAACGATGGCGGAGCCGCCCGAGGGCATCGAGGTCTACCAAGCTCGCGTTAGTTTTATGTCTCTTCTTTCTTTTTGATCTGGGGGTGCTTACCGTGCAACCATTGCTACCGCCGGTCCAGACGCCGTTAATGTATGAGCACTTGCTGCTGACATCGCCAGTAATCTCAATGTTGAAGTCTAGCAGGGCAGTGCTGGTGGGCAGGTTCTGGAAGATGGAGAGCCATGTGGTGCCATCGGCAGTCTTGCCCACACCCAGGTTGACGGGAGCCCAGTTGCCAGCACCCTTAGGGTCCTTAGCACTGTTCCAGACGCAAGCATCGCCGGCTGAGTAGCCCTTCTTGTTGACATAGTACTGCGCGGAGGTCTGCTTGCCATCCCAGACATAGTAGTCGGACTCAACGGGGTTGGTGATCGGAATGGATGCGCCGCCGTTGGCACATGCGGGAATAACCATGCTCTCAATACCAGGGTAGTCGGTACGGCAAGTGCAAACGGAATCATCAAGATCGTTCTGAACGGTCACACCGCCCGCACCTTGCTGGCAAAGCGTGGGGTGCGATGGGCGCGTAAGCTCGAGCATTCCATCCGCATTGCAGTAGAGACCACCGATGGATTCCAAGGTAGAGCCCTGAGCCTGGGGCCACTGAGTCTTCTGGTAACCAGCAGGGCAGGCATAAGAGCACATGGCATTCGGTTTGCAGCCTTGACCAGAAACAGCAGTGATGATTTCGTTGATAACGGTCGAAGCCAAAGTATAGCCAGGCACGTACTGGATACCAGACCAACCCTCCGTGCCCAGCCAGTCCAGGGCCACCGCGCCGTAGTCGGACGGGAACTGAGAGCAAGGAATCTTGCCGCTAGGGAAATTGGCGGTCAATCCAGTACCACCTGAGGGCTGCTGGGCAGGGGCCGAGGATTTGGGAGCCGCCTGGCTAGTCGAGGGCTTGGCCGAGGTCGCGGGTGGTGGCGGGGGGATAGAGGTCGAAGTCGACGCGGGAGCTGTCGAAACGGCCTCTTCAATGAACTGAGCCTTCATATCGCCAGAGGTGCTTGAGGGAGCAGGAGGAGGCGGCGGCGGCGGGACGTAAGTTGGTTGGGTCTCTCCGACGATAACGTATTCGCCCTGAGCCAGACCGGCCTTGGCCGCGGCAGGGTCAACAGGCTTGCCATCGAGCACGTACTGGGTGGCGGTTGGACCGACGACGACGGTGGTGACAACGTTTGCCGCTCGCTTCTCGACCTTGGCAGCCTCCTTCTTCGCGTGGTGGTGGTGGTGGTGGTGGTTGTGAGAAGGGCTGGCGACAGCGCTGGCAGCCAAAGAGGCAGCCAGAATCGAGTACTTCATCTTCGCGGTTAAATGTTTAATGCGCGCTGCTCACAAATCGCAACTGGTTAGACCAAATATTCTGATCGATGTCGATATATATGCTATACGAGTATAGCCGCTGATATCAGGCGAGGGGAAGATGGACAGGAACCGCGATTTTTGGACACCTCGAATGTACTAACCTGGCGAAAGTAAAACAAGAAGGGATATATATCAAAGATAAAACGAGAGTAATTGGTGTAATGAACCTGACTTTAAAAAGAGTGTGGTAGAGAGCAGACAAAAACTCTCTGTTGGAGAAGAAAAGGGCACAACACGACTGAAGATGATGAACAAGAACGAAGCGTCAAAAGGGAGGGCAGGACAGGTAGAAAAACGGAGCTGGATGCATGGGGGAGGGGGGACCTTGTCAGTCTCCATGGCATTGACCCACGGAGATCAATAACCTAAGGAGGGGGATGCCAGGGATGTGCGCAAAGCGAGACAAGGGGGTGCCACTCCTGAGAAGGGGGTGCCCTCTGGGAAATTGCTTTTTCAGCGCCGGTTTGGCGCCAAAGCGAATCAATCGTCGCTCGCAATATGCAGGCACCAAAAGTGCTGCTGTTACGGAGTAACGGCTACGACGACTATGACTGCGGCTACGACTCGACCGTTGCAGAGACGACGCATTTTGGCTGGAGGATTGTGAGGAGCGGCTTGTACCTGTACCGTACACTCTGGACACGCCGACAATCCAATTTGCTGAGCGGGGGAGAGAGAGAGGATGAAGAGCTGCGCTCTGCTCCGTGGAGCTGCTCACTCACCGCATTCCGCATTGCCTGATGCCGGGACGGAGCCTGCTGCCGGCTCCTCGCATCAGCCTTGGCCCGCGACTCTCTGCCGGATCAAGGGGGCGCTTTCAAGACCGACGCTTCTGTCTCTTACAGTATACCTGCTAGGTAGTAGTACTACGTACGTATTGCTTACTCCATACAAACGAGGAAGCAGGGTACATAGCTGTATACTATATATGGCGAGGATGAGCATTGCATTGCATTGCATTGCGCTGCGTTGCGGATAGACTGACGAGAATGCCAAAAAAAGAGGCCATCGCCATTACGCTGAAACGGCCGAGCCTACGCAAGAGGCCGCTAGTCCAGCCGCCGGCCTGCATGCTAACAGAACTGCTAGTGAACGATCGCCGCCGCAGGTCAGGAAATGAGCCAGGATGTTCCAAGTCTTCCAATAGAAGGCACCGGCGGCTGGATAAAACAATAAAATGACGCCGGTACGAAGCTTCTGGGCGCCAGGTATACGGCAACTTGTGCCTAGGCCCCGTAGCTAGGGCAGTATTCTGCACTACTAAGTACTACAATGCCAGAGTACTTTATTGCAGAGAGGCGCCTTGATGGGGGCACGAGAACAGGCAAAAAAAAGTGTAGTACCTTGGTACTTGTAGGACAGCATTTCGCTTGCGCCAGTTGCTGTAATTAATCACAAGAAAAATTGGGTATGCACGCAGCCCCCTTCCCAGGAAGCGCCAACGAGTCCCATGCCGAGGCCCATGCGGTGGCGGCGATTGGTACCTGTACGTGCGTGCGTGCTGGCGAAGCGAGTGATTGACCTCCTTATTTGCTTATATTAGGTGCCTATTAACATGCCTAGGTAGGTATGTGCAGATCATACTATAGGTAAGTACCTAGAAGCTACTAACTTGCACAAGTACTATGGTAGAGGCACTGTATATGAAGATTGCAGGGAAAGTTATTAGTAGAAGAAGAAGCAGAAGAAGAAGAAGCAAAAGCATAGGTACAGAAACAGCATGGATGGGTACCTAGAGTAAAAGAGCGCTCTGCTTTTTTGCCAGAGTGACGCGATACGCGTGTTTTTGCACAGCGTTCGTGCCTTGCGTTAGCGGCGCAAGGTGCCTGGGCTAGGCTGGTTTGAGGCACTTTTCCCCCTGAGCTGGGCTCGCCAGGTACAAGCACGGTTACGGAGGACGCCGGCTCCTTATTCCTGCTAGGCTCTTTTGAGATGCAAAAAAGAGGGTTTTCGATGTGTGGATGCGGAATTGCGATCCGTCGATACGAGCAAAGTGCAGGACACAGGCAGGAAGCAAAACGATTTTGACGGTTTCCATGTTGATTCTACTGCTTTTCAGCTGCTTTGCTGCTGCTGCTGCTGTGGGTATTACTAAGGTACTAATTAGGTAGTGCTACATCTACCTACTAGGGTTCTATGACATCAAACAGCACAGGTATTCCCATCGACAGCAGCGGAATCTTTAGTGCCATGCGTGTCAGATATATCCCTTTTTTCCGAAAGACAAAAACACCAAGCTTTGTTTGAGCTGATTTCCGCTGCAGCTATGCATTTTTGGCAGCTGTCAGACCAGGTTGGTGCCTAATTATGTAATTGCGCGTGAGAGGAAATACTTGTAAGAAGAAACGAAGAAGAACAGAAGAAGAAAAAGAAGAAAAGCACCGACCACGCTTTATTTCGCCTTTGCCTGTATAAAGTGGTCGCTAGTATGATGTATAGTGCTGTGTAGCATGCCGCCAAGGGAGCCGCAGCATGTTCTGGGCCCGAAAAGTCGCATGTGCCAAGCTTGTCATGTATTCTGAGTGTGCCTTGGCTTGATTCTTAGGAGTGGGGCCGTTTGGATTCTTGAGGGCTGAAGCGTCCTTTTTTTAACTTAACGTGAAGCGAATGAGGTAAAGGATGAAACAGCACATGCCAGGATTGCTAATGAAAACGTGATGGGAGACGGGATACTGTATCATTGGAGCGTGGAGCGTGGATGTGCGGCACAAGTATCACGCTATACACGCTGTATATTGGCTGCAAAGCGTGAGAGGGATTCAGCGTCGCGCAATACGCTGTATCTAGGTATCCCAGTACTGTCGGACTATACTATGCATCATGTTGTGACGAATTCGACATCCAAGATGTTTGGCACAGATCTCTCGATTCATCCATACAGGCAGTGGATTTGCCCTCGTTCATGGGGCAAACGCCAGCGTAGAGTAGGTATGGATCGGAGAAAAAATGGCCTGGGCGCTTATAGTATTCCGCAGAGTTGCTGGGTGCTTGAAATGCAGCGAGGGTTCGAAGCTCCACAGAAAGATAGAACCTATCTAGGAATATCCGCAGGAGCGGTAGATGGAGTGGGAATCAGGGGATCTCTTCATCGACACGGCGTAGGGGTGGATGCCGCACGGCTATGGAGCCAACGTTTTGTAGGGGCATTCCGATTGCGCAGGTTTCGAGATGGTGCCAAGAGATAGACAGTATTCCACGTGTTTTTTCTCCCCAAGGATCTTAAGCCTGGGACATGTGTGTAATTGTTCTACAAGTTCGAGTATTATACCTGTATTGGTCGTCGCAGAAAGTGACAGGCTGGCGTTTGCCATGACAAAGAGGTGACAGAAAGAGTGAAGTCGTAGCAGCGCGAGCCAGCACCTGTATGTAGGGTAGTAATGATACCGCCTGCAGCAGTATTTTAGCACTCGTCGGTAAGATGACGTCGCCCTTGAGTGGCTGAGCCAGATTCAGCTGGTAACTTTTGATTGCTCGTGTTGTTTCCTATGCGACTCTATCCTGCATTGGTATAGCTGGTGGGAGCCATCAACAGCGCGGGCCTTGAGCAGTGCAAGGAGTTGATTGAAAGAGACAGAAGAACAGAACGGGTACAAGTAAACGAGGATGAAAGAAAAGGAGGAGGAGAGGAGAGAGAGAGAGAGAAAAGGCAGACAAGTTAATCTAAAGTCAATGAAGTGATTACCCTACTAGGCACTGTTGCCAGGCAGTCTCTCTTACATGAGAGCCTTTTGCTTTAGGTTAAGAAACTCTATATAATAAAAACTGGCAACTGTTACTCCTTACTAGAAATATTTATGAAGACTAGCAAATAATGGAGTGCTTGCTTCTTTTTTAACCTCTGCAAGCCAATCATGCTAATGGATGAGTTGACCTATCATGCAGCATCGTTTGCGGAACACTCCGTATTCGATTCGACCCTCGTTGTTTATCCGACGCCTTGGTCTACATACAAGACGAGGCAAAGGTGGAGAGCGCCAGAGCAATGACAGTGGCTGATGCCCGGCCGCCCGGGCTAGCGTGCAGTAGCAGGTACCGTACATGTACCTCGTTTGACACCGCCACGCTCTCAACTCAGCCGTTAACCGTAGTGCTACCAGCGCGCCTGCAGAGCACGGCGAAGAGATGCCGCACTGCTTATGATGGCTCGGCCATGCTCCGTAGCTAGACGGAGCAGCGGAGCATGTGCGTGATAGATGAGCAGTGCAGTGGAAGCTTGTGTGTGGCTGCCTGGCTCTACTGGATAACTCTCGTCATGAATACCTACCTATACTTATAGTGAGTCAAGCTCACGGCGTGAGCAGTCACTCTCTCCCCATGACAGCATCCACGAGAGGGGATGGAATGAATTACTTCTACAGTAGATACTTGTAGGTACTACACAAGCACCTCGTATGGCAAACAACAAGAGCCCGTCGTCATTATCCTTGCGCCAAAAAGGCGTTGGATCCAACTTTTCGCTGGCTGCTTGCCTCGCTGTCTAGTAGCCATTGATCCTTCTAGCCTTGCAAACAGGGGGCCCATCCTCCTTCTCCAGCCACTGACATACTGTTACAGAACCTGGGCCTCTCACTCTCTCGCCTGAGCTAACGGGCGCGCTGGCGTGGCACTGCCGCCAACGTCGTGCATGCAGATGCTACTGCAGCGAGGAAAACGCACCAGTTACGGCCTGCTCCCCGTTCTTCAGCAGACACGACTTGTGGCTAGGCTCGGCCAAAGCCATGGCTGACAAAAATCAGCTTGCAACGCTGCCCGGGCTTACCAGCCACTTGCTCCATCTGCCTGTCAGCATTTTGCCACCCGGCGAGCCAAGACGGATCCATAAAGGTGGAACTGGTGGCTCCTCTCTCATCGTGACAGAGGCGCAGTGCCTTGTGGCAGTTGCGGTAGTTCTTGCTAGAGCAAAGCTTCCAAGTCTCTACTAGGCACCAAGTGCAAATCAACGTTTCGGGTGGCATTCGAGATAGTCCGATAGCGATTGCAGCAACTGCCTATATGTGGCTATCTTGAAATCATACAGTTGTAGATAACCTTCTGGCCGTATTGGCAATTTCTGATTGGAAGTTCAGACAAGTTAGTACAAGTAGGTACAACGCAGGCAGCGGAGATCCTGGTCCATCACTTGGTTGGAGTAACCTAGTAGTAGGCCACTGTTGTTTTACCAGGTTGCCAGCTACAGACCTACCTACTTGCAGTAGCCATTAATAATAGCCTATACATGTGCCTAAGCAGTATTAAGCCCCCAATATCCTTTACAGAACGGAGCGAGTTCCGTGATGGAAGGCAAAGCGCAAGTCGGGTAATGTCAACATCATCAGCATGTAACTGCCTCGCGATACCCAGGAGGTGGCGCTTTGTATCAGCACCAACGCCGGTGAATGATAAGCTAAGTCGAGACAAGATTGTTTCCGATACCCAATGCTCTGAGCCAGCAGCGCCGACGGCCGAGGTATTCGAGACTCGCGTGTTTACGGCACCTGCGGATCAAGCTGCGCGCTAGCTTGCCGTGATTATTTTCCTTGTCGGCAGCCAGTTGAAGAGATCCGGCGTGGAAGTGGCTTGGTCTCCGTATGAGGACGTGGGAGCGCACTAGGCTTGGCACGCTGCTGATCCACTTTGTCAACAACGCTATGATGCTATGATAATGATATCCTCGAAAAAGAAAAGGAAGGGGAAAAAAAAAGTGAAAGCTAAAAACAGCAGCAACAGCAACAACAACAACATGGCATGTGCAACATTAACCAGCCACCTCATTTTGCCATGTCAACATAGATAGCACTTGCTAAACCACGCCATTCTAGCTACACTATTATGCATTGATACCAATTGTAATTCGAAAAGGGATGCGAAAAAAAAAAGAAAAAGAACAAGAAAAAAAAAAGAAAAAAAAAAAAAAGAGAGAGACAAAATGACTCCATCAACCTCCTCCCATGATTCAAGTGTCCAGGCATGTCATCCCCGGCAGGTGCCGCGCTGCAGCAGAAAGACGCGGCGTCCAATAGCAGCTGTGTGGCGCAGGCAGCCCACCGTACGCCTTTTATTGTCCACCGCCCTGCCTCCCTGGCCTGGCCCAGCACCGCGTACTGCGCTAAGCTGGCCCGGCCGCACTTCGACTTTCTTCTCCCATCCCCAGCCTGTTTCCAGCCCCAATACATCACCATCTCCATCACCTTCATCATCAACCACCACCTTTGCCATCGCCATCGCCTGCCAATTCCGGGACCTCGCAGAGCACCCGCTTGCCCCATGCAATTCACCTGCGTAGTCTCGGAATAGTCAGCGTTACTGCGCGACAAGGCTGCCGAAGCAACGATCCAAAGAGCAGAAAATTACCCTAGCTCTCGCCACAATATTCAGCCACACCTTGAGCAGCCTCGAAATGGTGCCGCTGGTTTAGCTGCCTCGACTTTTGCGACTGCATGCCATCCGTCTCCCAGGACTCGCCGTCGCCTTCATCGTCTTCTCTATTGCATCTTCTTATGGCCTCTCACGCTGCTGCCATCGCTACCGGAACCCCACTCCCGTCTGGCCCGACTCCAACCCCTCCCCCAGCTCTCCCTTTGGACGACGTCGCGAGACTGCCCAAGAGGCGGCGCGAGTCTGATTCCTCGTCGTCGCGAGCCTTTGCTTCCACTCAACCCGATTCTCAATCGCCTCCATCGAAATCCGCCAAGCTGCTGCTTGCAACTGGTCAAGCCCCGCCTCCATTGGCTGGCGCCGCGGCTCTGGAAGACGAGCGACGGCGTAGAGAAGAAACAGACGGAGAGCTTGAACAAGAGCATCTTCACGCGCCCGGCGAGAACCCTAGTCAGCGTGATTTAGCTGCTCTAATGTCCGCGGGAACCCAAGCCATGAGTCGTTCGGCGGACGCGCCGCAACTGGCCCCCACGGCCGCCATGGAGCCATCTTCCAAGGTCGCCACGGCTGCCTTGTCTATATCACAGAACGGCGGCGATCGTATCGAAGAACGAAGTGACATGACTCCCCAGAGCCCGTCAAGCATCGCCGGCGCTCAGGTAACCGAAAGCCCGACGGCGATGGATGTCGATGCGAAAGGCGAATCTCTCGTCTCTCAGCAGGTTGCCGTACAAGATGAACGACCACAGCCTGGATCATTATCTTATCCCGGTTCTTTACAAACAAGCGGTAGCATTCCGGATTCGCCAATTCGGGGCATGAGCTTCCCAATGCCTGCCCAAAGCCAGGGCTCTCCGCCATCCTCGACAAACAAGAAACACAAGTGTCCATACTGCAATACCGAGTTTACTCGGCACCACAACCTCAAAAGCCATCTCCTGACGCACAGCCAGGAAAAGCCTTATGTGTGCACAGACTGCCAGATGCGATTCCGCCGTCTTCACGACCTAAAACGTCATGGCAAGCTTCATACCGGTGAAAAGCCCCACGTGTGTCCCAAATGCGATCGTAAATTTGCTCGAGGTGATGCCTTGGCCCGCCACAGCAAAGGCTTGGGCGGATGTGCTGGCAGGCGATCGAGCATGGGTAGCTTTGCTGATGGAGATGAGCTGGACGGTGCCATTGAAGGAGATGAGGCTGCTGTAATGACGGGCATTGCCTACGATAACCCCGACGAAGAGGAGTTGAGGCGACAGAGCTTGCCCAGCCTAAGTGCCCAGCATATCCCCGGGGGACCACCAGACCAGTACGGTGGTCACGCCCGGACGTACCCTCCAGCCGGAGCAAGGTCTGCTACAGCTGCTGCCGGCTTATACCCCCCAGGTGTTGGCCAGAACCAGGCTGCTGGGACAAGCAGCTCGAGCATCTCTAATAGTATTGGAGGTAGTCACACACCGAATACTAGCATTTCTTCGTCCGTTGCGGTCAGCGGTGCCAATGCTAGTCTTTATTCACAGGCACTTGCGCCAGAAAGCGGAAAGCCACTGAGTCCCGGTGGTGTACAGAGCCATGATGCCTCTGGCATCGTGCGACAGCGATCACCCAGTCTATCCCATCAACTACAACAGCAACAGCAGCAGCAGCAGCAGCAGCAGCAGATGGGCAGGCGACAGTCAGAAATGCAGTCTCCTCACAGTGGACAGAATAGGCCAAAACTGCCTGGGTTGACTCATCCAGGATACGCCACAGCAACCTCCCCGGGCTTCTCCCACGGCCGTCCGCCAACCGCAACAGCGTCAAGCGGTGATAGTGGCAACATGTTTGCGCAGAGCGATCCGAGCGTGTGGGCCTACATCCAGACCTTGGAAGATAAAGTCAAGTCACTTTCGGACAAGATAGTATCGCTCGATCACGAGATGACTACGCTGAAAAGCAAGCTTGAGAATCGTGAAGGAGTTCCCGCTGGCTGAGAAAACCCAGCACGACGCGCCTCATCATAAAGCGCCATGGTGTGTTCTAAATGGGTGGGGAGCCGGGCTTAACAATCTACATTTAGAATGCATTCGCCTTTTGGTTTCATTGTTTTCTATTTTATACTGGTGGCAACTCATGTTGGTCTTCTTTTGACGATCTGGACTGGCACAGAATCCTACCAAATGGGGGTGGAAATGGCGTTTAGGTTTTGGGAATCTGGGTGGATGGTGGAAACCTCCATGCAAAAAGATGGCGACCGGTTATTTATGATTTCTTTTTTATCTTTCCCTCTCTCTGTTGTTCCCATCTTGTAGTAGTATACAGAACCTGTGTGATTATCAGACATGCTACCTTGCAGTGTGGCATTCGGAAAGGCATCCTCTCGTTATTCTATTTTAGAGTATTGTAGGAATGGAGTGACGATTTATTCGCATGAAGTGTTCAGTTTTGTGCCCGAGTCTTGTTAAGCTAGAGTAAGTACTGGCCCTTGCTAGAGAGCTTGGCAAGCATACCTGGCGCAGCAATCAGGATCTCCGTACGGAGCACAACAGCTGGAGCTGTTCACGAGCACGCGGGATAAAGTTGGCCAAGCCAGCCGAACTGTACCGAGGCTGATGCTGACTTTCCCAGCCCACCGTGAGGCGCAGGCATGCACGGGGCTTGCCCAGTCGGTGCTTGCCCGTTCCACGGCCTGCTTTTGCTCCTGAGCAAGCTGCGAGGTTATGCATATACCGGGACTTTGACACAGAGTACTCCGTGCAATTACTGTGTTTGGCACTGTGACTGGCAGGTTCCCTGCTCTGACGGCGGGCAAGTGCTCTCCAGCAGGTACCTCCCGGCTCTCTTAGCTCGGAGTTGTCACGTCACTGGCCAGGGGCAGCACCGCCTGGAGCTTGGCGCTTCGATGAGGTAATAGACGCAGCTGCACAGCTTGTTTTAAGGTGCCTGGAGTGTGGCGCGCCGGGGGCTTTGCGCCAAACAAAGAGACGGTGCTATCGCAACTTCGCTCTGGGCAACTGAGCAACTACTGCAGTCGAGTCCATGTAGAATCAACCACCACATACGACCATCTGCCTGAGCGAAGTTTGCATTTCCATATCTCCTCCCGACCCATCGACGCCACCGTGCGAGACCGCTGCTCGAACACACATCAGGCGAAGACGACCCACGAGCTCGGCAGACGAACCGAGCACAAGCCTCTATCCCCAAGCTCTTGATGGTGGAGGCCTAGTGGCATAGTCCACGAGGCCGCTTATCAACATCCAACCATGGCTGCGGCTGAAAAGGCGATGCGCAACGGTGACGGCGATTCCACAAACCTCAACGGCGCTGTCACGGTCAACGGAGACCACAGCCATGACGACGATCGATCATATCCTGCCTTGCCGGATAATGGACACACCCAGGGCCACGAGTCTGGCGCCTGGAGGGCCGCGGGCATTCGCTTTGCGCCGCTGCGCATGCCCTTTCCTCGTCGGCTGCAAACCGCCGCCGTCTTCTTCCACTGCATGACTCTCGTCACCCTGATCTCGCTGTTCTGGTTCACTTGCGCAAACGTTCTGACGTGGCCCATCCTGGTGCCGTATCTGGTGCATCTGACGCTTTCGACCGCGGCGACCAATGGCAAGCTCAGCTACCGATCCGAGTACCTGAGATCTCTGCCCCTCTGGAGATTCTTTGCGGCGTATTTCCCCATGAGGCTGCACAAGACATACGACCTTCCACCGGACAGGAGGTACATCTTTGGCTATCATCCACATGGCATCATCTCCCACGGCGCCTGGACCGCTTTCAGCACAAACGCCCTGGGTTTCTCGGCAAAGTTTCCCGGCATCACAAACACCCTGTTGACGCTCGAGTCGAATTTCCGAATTCCCTTTTACCGCGACTGGATCTTGTTAATGGGCATGGCCTCTGTGTCCAAGGAATCCATCCGGAACACGCTGACGCAAGGCGGTCCCAAGAACGACGGGACAGGCCGTGCTGTCACGATCGTCATCGGCGGAGCTCGTGAATCCTTGACGGCCCAGCCGGGAACCTTGCGGCTCATCCTCAAAGGCAGAAAGGGCTTCGTAAAGATGGCTCTGCGCACGGGAGCTGACCTGGTCCCCGTCCTCGCCTTTGGCGAAAACGACTTATACGACCAGCTAACCGCGGAGACGCACCCGATGGTCCACAAGTTCCAAATGTTCGTGCTGAAGGTGTTCAAGTTTACGCTCCCTGCAATCCATGGCCGAGGCATTCTCAACTACGACGTCGGTCTCATGCCCTACCGTCGCCAGGTCAACATCGTGGTGGGCAAGCCGATCCGCATCGACTCGCCTCCCTGTGAGCAGCCGTCACAAGAGGATGTGGACCGGTACCACGAGCTGTATGTCGAAGAAATTGAAAAGATTTGGGAGACTTACAAGGATCAGTTTGCCAAAAACCGGACGTCTGACCTTGTCATTTCTGCTTAAGTCTTGACTCGCGTACTGATGACATCACCGGCTTCTCTTCGTTGTCTCCTTCTTTCTTCCCCCTTTGTTTTTATGTTTACTCTTCTTTTTTTTTTTTTGTGTGTCTGTTTTGCTAGGGATATTGGATAGGGATATGAGTTATTGGACTCAGGGTAATTCAAAAGGATGGACAAAACAAATCTTCAAGGAGTAGTCGTAATCGTTGGAGTTTATCGATGGCGGGTGCCAGAGTAAGAGCACTTTAAGCAAGCAAGTTATGAATCAATAGATTGTAAAACAAAAGAACTTTTGAATACGACATTTTGGAACTATTATAGGCCCGCATTCGTGTAATAATATGATTAAATCATTTGACCCCCCCCCCCCCCCTTTTTTTTTTTTTTTTCGTCGACCTGCCTGAAAGCAAAAAGAAAAGAAGCCAACACAGTGGGCTGTCAGATGGCCTAGACCACATTACCTTTTTTTTTTTTTTTTTTTTTTTTTTTTTTAAATCAATAATAACTTCCATCAGCTCTCTTTGCTTCATTCTTCTTTCTCAAGGCGTTGCGATGGATGTAGGTGTAACTGCCTTAAAAGGTCACCTGACCTCGCGTCCAGGTCCTGACGCGATTCCCCTCCGCCACCGTGAAGACGTTCACGGCAATTCGAACGTTACTTTCTGTAACTCAATTCTATTTTTTCAAATTGCATTTTCCTTCTTCCTCTTTTCCCCCAGTACTTTTTTTTGCGCAAATTCTCCGAATTTATACCTCACAATAACAAAACACATCGTCCGAATGCCCCGCCCTACTAGAGGTAGCCAGAAGGCTGTCAAGCGCGAAGAAGACGATATCGACGGAGTGAAGGCTTCAAAGCCAACCCAGTCTGTAGCCGCGACGAAGCGAAAAGCAGATTCGGAGCCCGATGCCGATTCGAAAGCTCAAGCTTCCAAAACTGTGAAAAAGCGCAAGGGAAAAGGAAAAGGCGACGAAGAAGCAATGGTTTTGGCAGAGCGAACTGCTGTATCGGCCCTGGGCAAGGCCATGTACATTGGCGCTCACGTCAGTGCTGCAGGAGGTACTTTGACACCTTCAGACTCTCTCAGATATATATATATAAAGAGAAGTAAGAAGAAGAAGAAACATTGATTGCTGACAATTGAAATTGCTTTCCAATAGGTGTTCAGAATGCCGTCGCAAATGCTGTTCAAATCGGCGCCAACTCTTTCGCGTTGTTCCTCAAATCTCAGCGCAAATGGAGCAACCCTCCCATCACAGCGGAGGCCAAAAATGGCTTCATAAGCCAGTGCAAAGAGCACCACTATCACGCCAACGAACACGCCCTCCCTCACGGCTCATATCTCGTCAATCTCGCGCAGGCAGACAAGGACAAAGCTAAACAGGCATATGACAGCTTTGTCGATGATCTCGACCGGTGTGAGCAACTGGGCATCAAGCTTTATAACTTCCATCCCGGATCTACCGGAGGCGACACAAAGGCCGCCGCGATCAAGCGCATCGCTACACAGCTAAACAAGGCCCACAAAGCTACCAAGACTGTCATCACCGTTTTGGAAAACATGGCAGGCAGTGGCAACGTTGTGGGATCGACCTGGGAAGACCTCAGGGATATCATCACTCTGGTGGAAGATAAGTCTCGTGTGGGAGTATGCATCGACACCTGCCATGCTTTTGCAGCGGGCTACGATTTGCGGACGCCCGAGACTTTCAAAAAGACTGTTGATTCTTTCAATGAAATTGTTGGCGCAGATTACTTGAAGGCTTTTCACTGTAAGTTACTGCCTGGCTTTCTTTTTTCTTCTACATCTCCCTCATACTGATCATTGGATATCTAGTAAATGACAGCAAAGCACCCTTCAATTCCAACAGAGATCTCCACGCCAACATCGGAACCGGATTCCTAGGCCTCCGAGCCTTCCACAGCCTCATGAATCACGAAGAGTTCCAGAATAAGCCCATGGTTCTGGAGACGCCGATTGATAGAAAAGGCGCGGATGGCAAATCAGTAGAAGACAAGCAAGTATGGGCCGACGAGATCAAGCTCCTAGAGAGCCTCATTGGCATGGATCCAGAGACGGAAGACTTTAGAAAGCTAGAAAAGGAATTGCAAGCCAAGGGTAGTGACGAAAGGAAGAAGATTCAAGATCAGGTGGACAAGAAATCCAAGAGTGCCCCGAAGAAGGGGAAGGCTGCACCGAAGAAAAAAAAGGAGGCGACAAGTGATGAAGAGAGCGACTAGAAGAAACAAAAGCAAAAAGCTCAATCTTAAAATGCTTACTGTTGGCTATATAGTATGGCCTTGTTTGATTAGTAGGTGCCGCCATCCTTCAAGGCGGCCCTTATATGTATATTATGTCGAAATGATTCGATAATAGCGCGATACAATCTATAATGGAAGCTTGACTTTATAAACAAAAGTGACGCCCCTGCTCTTCTTCAATCTTGCGATAATTTGTACCTCTATGTTTTTTTTTTCTTTCTTTTTTCTTTTTTCTTTTTGTATTTTAAAGGAACGCGTTCCATTAAATATACGTACCACAAACTTGTATCTCCAACTTTGCTGGGTATAACAGGTGTACATAACTCATGAACAGGGGCTGAAACAAACAAAGAGAAAGAATAGAGAAAGAGGGAAAAAGAGGACAAAAAATGCCTTTTACTTGCGACTCTTCGCAAAGGCCTCAACTCTCCCCATCGTAGCCTTCAGTCCCGCCCCCTTTTCGCAATTCACCTGCAGCCACGCCTCCATTCGCTCGCGGACGATCCTCATCGACCGCAGCACAGGCATCTTGCCGCCATCCTCATGAGTCAAGAACGACGCTGGATTGAGAAGCACCTCGAAGCAGTCTGACCAGATGTCCGTCTGCCAGTACCGCTTCAGGCTCTCCCTGATCCTGTACTTGCGCCCGCCTCGTCCCAGTTCCCCTTGGTCGGATCGCACAGTTTCAATGTATTTGCCAAAGAGAAAGCAATGGATAACGCCTGCTAGCCCATAGTAGTCGATCTGCCACGTCCAGGGCCGACCTTCCCGCATTTCGGGGCAGTCTTGTACGGTTGTTTTCCAATCTGCGATAAATTCCACATCTGGCACAAACGCTTTCATATCAATGCCTCTCCCAAAGTCGATGAGAACGAGGCCACGCGAGTCCCAGCCACCGCGCCCATCAGCGTACCACTGGCTAGAGAGAGCCTGGTCAGATGACGCAGATGATGACCTGGGGTCAAGACGAAGGAGGCAATTATCGGGCTTCAGATCGCCATGAAGCACGTCTTTCGAGTGAAGAGCTTCGACGGTGCGTAGTAGTTCGATCGAAAAGAACATGGCAAGCTGCTCGTCCATAACACCCGAGGGTTCTGCTCGAAAGAAGTTGATTACATCTAGCAAGGTGCCGTGGGGATGATATGGGAGAAAAAGGAAGCCCTCGTCCTGATATAGGTGCATTTCATGTGCTGATGAGATTGATGCCGTAGCCCGATGCTGGGGGCCTAACCGTGAATGGGCGGTGCGCATAATGTAAAACTCCCAGGGTGTTGGAGGAGATTCCATTTTCAAAGCTTCTATCGCGGCACGTTGGTTTACGGAGAATGCCCCCTTGCCCATAAAGACCCCCTCTTCATCATCCTCCTCTCGGTCCGGCCGTGAATTTTCCACCAAGTACACGGGTGCAAAAGCGCCAGCGCCGAGTTCTTTCCTCACGGTGTATCTGGAACTGCAGTCGGCAAATTCAATAACTACTGGAGGGTTACCCGGCGTGGCCTTATCTATACCCGTCTTACCTAGTCTGCTCGCGGCTTTGGCGAACCTTCGAATCTCTCCGCCACGATCGTACCTTTGACCGTGATGCTCGTAGAAGCCGGGGTATGCTGCCAACGGAGGATGTAGGTTTGTCAGGATATTCAATCTGATACCGCCATCAATGGGACTGCATTGTGCCTCCTTGATGATGGCCCCCTTAACGGGCACACCTCTAGCTGCTTTGGACCCCAAGGGTGTTCGTCCATTGATAAAAGGCCTTTCTTCTGGGAAAAGTTCTCTCAACGGACTGCTCGATGGTTCTGAATCCGACAACTCCTCAATGGGCGTAGCTCGGTCATGATGCTTGCTAGGCGTCTTGAATTGGTAAGCTCGGTCCACGTCCATATCCACGTCCAGCGATACTTCAGTTCTCTCTGCAATAGGCGTCATAAATGGCAGACGATTATTGGCCACTTCTGCCGGATCCCTATACGGGCGTGTTGGTGGTTCATAATCTTCTGGAGGCATGGGAATGAAGATCGTGCGAGTCCTAGGTGGTTCTGGCTCGTCATCTTCTTCCGCATCGTCGTACACGTACGAGCTGTGTGATGGTTCATCTATATTAACAAATTAGACGCCCGAGTTCCCTCGCTCCCTTGATCAATCTGCATATGTCCATTTGGAATATGTTTATGGGTCGAGATGCCCGATTATTCGTCGATGCTCATGGCATCTGCTGCTTCATCGTCTCTTCTTGCTCACCTTGGTGGGTTTGTTTCGTGGTGCCAGTGCTCTCAGCATCACTTCCATAGTAGGCATCGGTCATGTCCTCGTCCTCGTCCCCGTCGTCATCATCATCATCATCATTCTCATCTTCGTCGTCGTCGTCATCATCGCCGGTCTCGTCCCCTGCCAAGGATATTGGCTTGAGCGGTGCATTAAAAATGTCGTAAATATCATCCGTAGCTGCTCTTGTATGAAGAGTCATGGTGGGCTCAGCTGCGTTCTTCTTCTTGATTTTTGGTCCCGAAGGAGAGTCGAGCTTAGTTTGGACTAACCAGGTGTTAGGGGCTTATGAAAGAAGTATCTTTGCTTGGGCAAAGACTAGAAACTTACTGATCTGTGTCTCATTTACCTCTATTACCTTCTTCTTTCTACCTGTGCGAGGTTCTCGAGACTTTCCCCCTGCTACACCATTCTCATCAAGCATCATAGGGTCTCCGTCAATAATTAGCTTCTCAGTCGCGTCTTGAGTCAGATTCTCAATATCACGTAGGGGTACCATGCGATCTGAGGTATCGTTTTCTTTCGCATAGTCAGTATCCCACTCGCGGTCGAGCCAACCACGATGTGCGGCAATAATCTCTTCAAAGCCCATTTCTGTCCCGGGTTCCTCAGGGGTAGGATAGACAGCTGCCAGATCAACGAAGATATATTCTCTTTTTCCCGTCTGTGGATGGACCGTTACTTGATGTTTGGATGGTACAACGACAATATTTTGTATTTGAGCGAGTGACTGAATTACATAGCACCACAGACAGCAATACATTAGTCCTATTCTTATCAACAGCTGAACATTTCTCGGGAGTGGGGGATTACATACCGGATCTCTGAACACTGCCAGTTTTGTCCCCCCAGACCCGGGCTTTTTACCACCCGCCTTAAGAGTCTCTCCTACCCAGGGCTTTGGTTCCATCGTGTTTTCCTTTTTTCGATCGGCAAGGGATCCTATGCTATCCCAGCCCTTGGAGGCGGCATCCCTTGACGACATGGCAGGCTGTTGAGCATCCGCATCAGAGAAGATGGCTATCTTGGATTTTGTAGGTCGAGATGAGCTGCCAACACCGCTGGTGTGTCTTGGAGCCTGGGGATCCACTGGCTGTGATGAGCTGCCAAAGGGATCCATCTTACTGGCCAGCGCGGGGCGAACAGTTGGCAGGGCCGGTGAAGATGGCTCCGCCAATGCATCTGGCTGCTGAGCAAGTCTTGCCTCAAACTCCTTAAATTTGCGCAGTAGCCTCTGGGTTGGCCGAGCCTCTCTCTGGATCCCCAGCTTATATACTTCCTCTGCTTGCGCCCACCGGCCTGCGCCCTCTAACCATGCAGCGTATTCTTCGTAGAACAAGGCAAGGCTCTCGCCAATTCCTTGTCGAGAGAGGAACAGGTAAGTCTCGCGAGGGGTATCGGAAAATAGCTGGATATAATACATCCATAGCTTTAGATATCTAGGATCGTTCTTGTACTGGGACGACGTAACAAATGCTTTCGTCGCGCGTTCGAGGATTGTGTGCAGCTGTGACTCTGCCGTCGCTTGTGCTGATGGGTACGCGTCCAAAGCCCAACGGACATATCTGTCAAAGACGTCCAAGGGATCATCGGACTCGGCTAGGTTTTCGATTTCTGCTTCATAGTCTGCGCGGATGCAATCGTTGACATTTCTCGTGTCGGTCGGTGTCGGTGTGGATAATTTGTGCAGAGGAGATGGAGAGAAAAGACTGGCCAGCTTTTTCGCTGATCGGCCTCCAGGTAGGGATTGAATATTCTCCTTTTGATTCTCAATCACGTCAAAGTCGGTCAAATCGTCGGCGCCCGCCATGTTGCTTTAACATCAAAGGCGGCAACTCTGTGATTTATCGAAACAATATGGATTCTGAACGGCCCTGAACGGTGGTTAAAACGCGTTGCTATATAGTTGCCTATGTCTATGAATCAACATACGGGATGCAATGCCCGATGCCAGTAAATGGTCGCTTTGGGCAAGAATAATGTTATCGGGTAAAATTTCCCTGAATGTTGATAGACTTAGCGGCTTAACGCTTTCGTGTTATGGTGGGATGTGTTTTCGACCCCGCGTTGCTCTAGTGATGGTATTTATCAAAATAATAAGTACCTGTACACTTTTATTGCTGATATGCACTTTTAGACTGTCACAGAATTTGCTCTAGTCAATGTTCTTTTAACTTAGGCCTCGTACCTTGTACTTTGGCACTAACTTGGTCTATCTTTAGTATCTGCACCCCACCAGCATCACAAGCGTTACAGACATAGCATAACACTTATCAGTAAAAAGTGAGGAATAGCTACTAAAAGAAAGTATTTCAAAAAATGAGTAAGAATAAATGGTATAGCAGGTAGATGATACTTTAGTAACTACATAGAGGCGTTTTTTTTTTCTATAACTAATGATACAGTGAGAGTAGTATGTGTAGTTTTTCTTATTGTTTCCGAGATGCTCAGGTCTGGCTTTCTAGTCACATATTTTGAAGCTGTCGACGATAGTTATAGTATCTACATGTTGGGAAACACCTAAGGCACCAGAGATGTCCAACTGCAAAAACAGGTTGTTTCACGTGGCTTCATGAACATGCTGTTGTATAATTATTGGTCATAGCTCAATTCACTTTTCCGCCATATGGGCGTTTCTTCAAATCATTATTTTATATTTTTACTCGCCCATATTAACCCATTCTCTGGGTGGCCAGCCTTTTTTATATATATCTCCTTGGCTCAATGTTACCATTTACAGGTTAACAGAGGTGCGGAACTTGTCGCCCGCATAGATGGCAAGCTCACCAAGCTCCTCCTCAATGCGGAGAATCTGGTTAAGCTTGGCCAGGCGCTCAGAACGGGCAGGAGCACCAGTCTTGATCTCACCGGCACGGATACCGACGGCAATATCAGCAATGGTGACATCTTCGGTCTCACCAGATCGGTGAGAGACCATGACACCCCAGCCATCGGCGTAGGAGTCCTTGGCGGCCTGGATTGACTCGGTCAATGTGCCGATCTGGTTGACCTTGAGGAGGAGGGCATTGCAGGCCTTCAGTTCAATAGCCTTCTTGATGCGGACGGGGTTGGTGACGGTCAAGTCATCACCGACAATCTGGATGTCCTGGGTCTTGTAGAAGTAGCTCCAGGCCTCCCAGTCATCCTCAGCAAAAGGATCCTCAATGCTGACAATGGGGTACTTCTTGCAAAGGTCGGAGTACATGGCGGCGAGCTCCTCGTAGGTGATCCACTTGGTAGGGTCGCTCTCGGGGTTCTTGAAGTCGAGGTCGTACTTCTTCTCGGCCTCCTTGTAGAACTCGCTGGAGGCAACATCCATGGCAATGTTCATCTTGCCAGTGTAGCCGGCCTGCTCAATGGCATCGGTGATGAGCTCAAGAGCCTCATCAGCGGTCTGAATATCGGGGGCAACACCACCCTCATCACCAACGTTGCCAGCAGACTGGCCGTACTTCTTCTTGGCCAGAGTCTTCAACTTCTGGTAAACCTCAGCACCCTGGCGAAGGGCCTCGGAGAAGCTGGGAGCAGCACTACCGGGGATTAGCAGGCGTAAACGTAGAAGTGAAGCTGTTGGTTAACTTACGAGGGGACAATCATGAACTCCTGGAAAGCAAGACGACCACCGGCGTGGGAACTGATCAGCTAGTTAGCGATTGCTGGTGGTTTATTCTCTAGAGGCGCGTGAATTACTTACCCGCCGTTGAGAACGTTCATGAAAGGAACGGGGAGGACATAAGGCTTCTTGGTTCCGGCGAGGTCGGAAATGTGAGCGTAGAGAGGGACGTTCTGCTTTGTGTAAGCTCCTACTCGTCAATGACAGTTTCACATGACGGCGCTTACCTTCTCGGCGGCACCGGCCTTAGCAACAGCCAAGGAGACACCCAGGATGGCGTTGGCACCAAGCTTGCCCTTGTTGGGAGTGCCATCAAGGCTGTTCAGGAACTCGTCAACCTTGGACTGGTCCTTGACATCAAGGTTCTCCTTGATCAGAGCGGGGCCAATGATGGTGTTGACGTTCTCAACAGCCTTGGTGACACCCTTGCCACCCCACTTGGCCTTGTCGCCATCGCGAAGCTCAACAGCCTCGTGCTGACCTGGGATACCAGTTATTTCCTGCAGCTATACGGAATTGAGGGATGTCGAGGGCACGAACCGGTAGAGGCACCAGAGGGGACGATGGCGCGGTGCAGGCCAGTCTCAGTGACAAGGTCGACCTCCACGGTGGGGTTACCACGGGAGTCGTAGACGGAGCGGGCGTGAACCTTGGTAATGGCCATTTTCAAAGCTATTTTAGGTTTCTAGAGGAGGAACCAGACCTTGTTAGCAAAAAAACATTGCAATGGTAGCTGAAGTGCTGACTGCGAAGCTTGAAAACGGGTAGAGCAGAGCTATAGTAGTGTATTTTTCTCCTGGCGCACATCCCTTTCACTGGATGGAGCTGGCCATCCGTGTAAGTCGCTAGTAGTTATCGAAATATGCCTCAATGCTCATTTGACACCGTCCCTTCAGCAGCTTCCCGCTGAAATGGAGGGGTAACTTGGATGGTGAAAACAGGAAGAGGGGCAAAGCTGAGGTGACTAAAGTGGGAATGATGCTCATTGCAAGAAAGAAAACCGCCGTACCTGTAGTTAAGAGATCGATTGGGCTTCTCAAGCTCTTCCTATGAAGCTGAATGAGTCGAGATGTCTTGTAGAAGGAAAAGGAAGAAGTGGTGTTTTGCTGCTGCTGGCGTAGAAGAAGAAAATGGAGGGGTGAAGCGGGTGGGGCGTATCCTGCTAAGATAACAAGGGAGTTACCTAAGAGCTCCTGCGCGAGGGAGCTGGTGTGCTTGTGAGGTAATGATTAGGCCACTACTTACGTTTATCGGTAGACAGAGAAATCGGAGCTGCAGCGCTAGTATTTCTCCGACCTCAACGCCGTAAGAAAAAAAAAAAAAAGGCTTCTATGCCTGTTTCGGGCACCTTGTCCCTACTACAGGCACCTCATGGGCTACCAACTTGGAAGTTAGTCACCAACTTGGTCATTCCCGTCCTCTCTTCTAATTTCTTTTACGATTTCCTTTGCCAGCTACCTATCATTATCATTTCTGACATGGATGGGCCACACCGGTATTCTGCCGATGTCGCCTCTGCGGTATTTGAGAACCTCCAAGACCAGCACCAATGGGCATCGTTGGAAATCCTTAGCATCCCAGGGCTGTCGCGGCCAATGATTCGAGGCCTCCCACCACGCCTCTTATATCTCCACCCAGACGATCAGATAGCAGCGCTTGCATATGAAAAGTCAGCTGGGACAAGGGCTCAACATGACGCTGAGTTTGAATGGGTGCTGGCGGTCCATCTCGCCGAGAAATGGACGCTCTCCAACTTTGCGGCAGTCATGGACGCCCTTCCAGACGATCGCAAGGGTGCTAAGCGAATCGTCCTGGCCGCCTTGCATAATGACTCAACCGTTGTATATTACATTGTACAGGAGGGAATGATAAAGCCTCGTCAGAACTAGAAACACCGAAATCGCTATGATATCTCCCTTACATCGTGAGCATTCTATTCAGGCTCAAAAGTTGCGAGATTTTTATCGGCCCGTTTGGCGTCAAGGAGTTGGCCAGTCTAGTATGGTATTACGAGATTTTCTGAGAAATGGCACCTTTTTACTAATTGATGTTTATAAAGCTTTTTTTTCTCGTCAAATTCATTTGCCACGTACAAAGTATAGGGGCGCATGAATTACAAGTCCATATTACCCCCAGCCGCATCCTTTAGCAAATCCATCATGCTAGGGAGCAATGCTCTATTTCAAACGTTATGCAGAAGAACAATTCCGACACATACAGACCATCAAATCCGCCAAAAGACATGAATCATGATTATTTTCCCACCTGAACGCCAAGACTACCGCACATGCCTGCCCAACCAACTTAGAAACGTTCCTTCATTCTAGCAGCCACGGTCCTCAGGTTGCCATAGACCTTGCCTGGGGGCTTTCCGAGAATCAAGCTGACGACGGATTCACGAGCCATGTGAATGTTCTTGAATCCTCCCAGAATATGAATCTTAGAATCAGCGAGCACAATTCTCGTACGGCTAGCATTCTCAATCGCAAATTTCGTCTTGCCCTGGTGACCAGCAATTCTACCAATGGCACGGCTCTGGCTGTCTCCGTGCACCGTCTTAACGTCTTTGATCTCAAATGTTTCGATATAAAGGTCGTCCAGTCGCAGGAGAGCAATGGCATCGTCGACGTCAAAGCCGAGAGTGAAAGCTTTGACAAAGTCCTCACCCTTTTGTAACGCACCAGAGTCAGTGGTGAATTTGGATGTCCTTAGCTCGACGGTTTTCCGCTTGATGTTCATGCGGCACTGTAGTTTTAAATGCTCCACAATGGGAGGGTAGATAGAAGGCCATGATTGTTTCAATGGTGTCATGCGATGAGGTGGGATGGGTACTTTTCGTGTTTCGGTTCTGGCCATCGGATCCTTGGTAAACGTCAGCAAAGTAGCTCTTAATATCCCATTAGGCGGCATTTCGGCGTACAATATCTTTGGACGGAGCAAAGCGAGGCCGTCCCTCTTCGTCAATAGCCATGTTGTCACCCTCGTCTTGGGCTTCTGGTACCATTACTTCAGCATCGGCTGATGCAACGTCTGCTGCATCAAGGAGGAACTCTTGGTCATTATCTATGTGCGAGTTAGTCCTATGAGTCCCGATAAAGGCAAATCCAGAGAGAGAAAATATACCTTGAGCAGCTGATGGAACATCTGCAGCAAGCGGGGTGCTCTCCGCCTTCTTGATGGCCGTAGGTGCAGGCATGGTGCTGAAGGATAAAAGCTGCTTCTGATGCGTATGAGAATACTTGAGAATCCGAATCAATATATAGATTAACCGTAACAGAGGACTGCGATCATGCGCCTTTCCTTCTGTCGCAAGTACTCGGAGAAAAAAAAAATGTTATCGCGCTGGATTTTGGTAGGCAAGCCACATGCCGTTTCTACCTTGGGCGCTCAAAAATTTGTGGATGGCTATCGGAGCTTATCTATTGGCTGGGTATCATCCACAATGCAAAACGTGAGTGGCGCGTCATGCAATTACTTCTACGCCGCCTTGGCTTGTCCATCGTTTACAGCGATGCTTGATTCCTGACTTTGTCTGATATTCAAGGCGTTGCTTGAACCGTTTTATTGGCGCCCCGCCTCTAGATTGCTGGTCGCCATGAACCTTAAGAATGTCTAAGGGCATCTCATCATGGCAGAATGTTCGCCGCCATCTAACATGCCGCTACCCAACCCCTCCAGTATGGCGATCTCCACATGCAGCTCCATTGTCGAATCGACCATCGCAAAGAGCGAGCTCTCAATGTGCGCAGATTAGTCCAATACCAAAATTAGCCCCTTGGAAAGATGGGTGTCTTTTGCCAACGTCGATTGGACTCGGTATACCGTCATCTCTCCATGGCAGCTATAGACGCTTTTCTCCGTTGAATGTCCTGGACAGGCATCGAATGTCGCTCAGCGTCTCTCAAGCTACGGCGCGGAGATTTCTTCAAAGTGATCAACACAACAGTAATAGCGTCAATGGCAAGAGGAATGCTGAGGAAGATTCTAAAAGCGAGCTCGATGGCCGGAGATCGACTGCCAAACCCCATGAAAGCTCCGGGGCCGCATCCAAAAATAACATCGAACAAACCGGGATCGACCCAAAAGATCAAGAGCAGGAATCAATCGCAACATCAGTATCCAAATACTTGAATTTGCCAGCGCTGCCTCATAGGCCTTCTAAAGAGGAGCTTTTGGCGGCCGCGAATGGATTTTGGGAGAGGCTTAAAGTTAGATTTAAATGGGTCTCTATCAGAAGTATGCGACCTTGGAACATTGATGAATGGGGGGCATTTGTTTCTTGGTTCATGTTGGGCCATATTGTCTGGATCCTGGTGGGCACAACAACCTTCTTCTCTATCCTCATTTTCTCTATCAACACTGTTTTTGCTCAAGGTACAGTGACAATTATCTGTTCTCATACCCGCGGTTTCTTCGCATAGCTAACAGATCATCAGAAACACTTGCGCAATGGATTGGAGACTATTTGACGCAATCAGCCGGCGTTACCGTTGTCTTCGAATCTGCTATAGTTCCAAAATGGAAAAACGGCGTTATTGCATTCCGCAATGTATTTGTTTCGAGAAGACCCGGCCAAATCGAGTCATCTGTCAGCAAAGGTTCATCTGATGCTGCCGCTGTTGCTGCCGCTGCTGCAGGGCGACAGATCCAACATCATGAGACTGATGCCGTAGACGATGGTAACTATACACAATTCGACGTAACAATTGCGAATGTTAATGTCACACTTTCATTCCTCAACTGGTGGAATGGTAGAGGGCTTCTTAAGGATGTAGAGGTAAACGGTGTTAGAGGAGTCATTGACCGCACTTCTGTTCGCTGGCCAGAGGGACAGATCGATCCATTTTCTTATCGCCACAAACACCAACCTGGCGATTTCGAAATCGAATCTTTCAAGTTGGAAGATCTTTTGCTTACTGTTCGCCAGCCCGATGGCTTCCGCCCCTTTTCAGTCAGTATATACTCCTGTGAGCTACCACGGCTGCGAAAACAATGGCTTTTTTACGATTTTCTATCCGCTAGCCATATGTCTGGGTCATTTGACGGATCTCTCTTTACGATCCACCCCAGGCAGGTTCATGGTACCGTCTCAAGTCGATACCAAGGAGTCATGATGGGATTAGAAGAGTCCAAATCATGGAAAAAATTTAATAGGCTACGAATCGACGGCTTGAAGATTGACCACTTAAACCGTGGAGTGGAAGGCCCATTCGGTTGGATATATGAGGGAAACGTTGACATCGTCGCAGACGTCATGTTTCCAGCGGACATGGACGACAGCATAACCAAAGTCGTAGCAGATTTTTATGATCAGCTAGAAGGCACAGTTATTGCGAACCGTTACCGCTTTCTTCCCAGAGCCCCTGCACCTGAACACATCTCAGAAGGTGGTCGTGCAGCAAATGAGAAGGGATTTGAGAAACAAACAAGTGAATCTGAAGAAGACAGGCGGCTCCTTATCATGGACTTGCGCATTCATCTCAATGATGTTAAGGCTGCCGTGCCCTTGTTCACCCCCGATCTATCATATGTGAACCAAGCGCTGGTTCGGCCCATTGTGGCGTATATAAACGCTAAAAAGACGTATATTCCGATTTCTAGCCGCATTATCAAGCCGCTAGCTGACTTCGACGGAAGCTGGACATTTTTTGACTGTGGTCTCTTGGACGATGCATCTGCCGAGACATATGAGGCTTTTGCAAAGGATGTCGAAGACCAGCAGAGCCGCGTTAGGCGATTCCGGAAAGTTGGATTCTGGACGCTATCGTTGGCTATCCATGCTCTATTCATGGGTATGGCTGGGAACGTGGTATGAAGAAAAGAAGAAAAGTGTAAAAGAAGGCATGTTGCATGGGAAAAGGGGCGATGGATTCTTGTAGAATTGCTGTATATTTACGACTATGGCGGGATAGGCGGCGGTATATGACGTGAGGTTTAATGATGGCGTTGCTGCGTGGGATCAATTTCGGCATTTCTTGGCGATTAGGGGATTTTATGAATTTTTTTATGAACTACTTTGTTGCTTCATGGGAAGCTATCTCTAACTGATACCCTAGCCTCTTGTCTATTGAAGCAGTGCAGTATGAAACAAAACCACTCTAATAAAGCAATATACTGGTACTAAATAAAAATGAGAAAAATAGAAAAACACGTAATGAAAAAATCGTTCTATTATCCTAGTCATAACTTTTTGGTATCCCCGAAAACCGTGGCATTGTCCACCCCATCCCATGGACCAAGCGCTTTGAAGACAAAGGGCATTTAGTGTCACGTTGTGTGGTTCATTCTGAACTTTCGTCATCCGTTATATCTATTTGCCCGTGACTCGTCCAATTTCAAAATACATATCGAATAATCTTCAGCTTGCGCTAACGCCAAGATGCTGCTTCGTTACCAGGACCATTGATGCTTGAGAATATAGTCCGGGAAATTAAAGAGTCTTCGTATCTCTACTTTTAGGCGGGGATAGTAATACGCTGGGAACGCCATGATAACGCTTGTTCTAGTTGTTTTTTTCTGCTTTTATTGAATGTGGTTTCGTAAACTTCTTCACATGAAGTCGTCGCTAAAAAAGAGAGAGAGAGAGAGAAAAGTCAGCGGTGTCTCGTAAAAGCAGCCAGAAAATAGGATCTAAACGTTGTTTCAGAAAGTGGATCTTCAAATACTTACTCTCCAAAGGCATCATCGTCATAAGCCGCGGTATCAGCAGTACCAGCCCTGCTAGCGACGAGGGAGGTCTTTGTCTTGGCGGCCTTGGTCTTCTTCTTGTCTCCGGCCTTTTCCTCCTTCAGCTTTTCATTACTGGCGCGGGTAAGAGCACTGGCAATCTTCTTAATCTGATCGCTGTTCAGCTCTTTGACAAGATCCTTGGAGAACTCCTCAAGGAAGAGGCCGTAGTGGGCCTTCTTGGTGTTGGCAGCAACAAGAGGTGAGAGAACGCCGCGCATCTTCTCAAACTGCAGTTTTGTCTGAGGGTTGAAAATCGGGACGGCCGCAAGGTTGATAAGGTTCGTGGGGTTTTCAGGATCGGCAATCATGGTGCTGGAAGGGTTGGCCTTCCGTCCATCACTGATACCAATGCTTCCGAAAAGGTCTTCGGCGTGCTTGAGATCGGCGTCCTTCTCAGTGCGGCGAAGTCGCTCGCGGCGAGCTGACTCTGTCTCTTCCTCGCTCTCCTCGTCATCTTCGGCCTGGAGACGAGCGCGTTCAGCCTGATGCTCGGCGATGCGCTGAGTCTTTGACTTCTTGTTGGCGACAGCAGCAGCGGCAGCCTTTTCCTTAGCCTCGGCAGCCTTTTTTGCCTTCTCGCGCTCTACTTCGGAGTCCTCAGCAGCGTCCCAAGAGTCAAGCACCTATATGTATTCGATGGCAAATTAGTAGCAGGTTCGAAAGCGACGCTGCTGATACTCACATCGCCGTCATCTTCTTCGTCGTCAAACTGTCGTCGACGGCCAACCGCGGCCGCAGGAGAGGTTTCAGGGGCGGAGTCGCCACCTTCACTTTCTTCGTCATCTACTCCCGAGAATGATTAGCTGAGTGTTCTCACGTTGCCGGAATGGCTGTGCTCTGGCGCATCGAAAAGAGGCGAATTGGCAGTATTGCCCGCAAGGCGTGAACACTGCGCGCTCGTGACTCACCCCACTTCTTCGGAGGCATGGTGGTAGATAATTGATATAGGAGTCGTGAAATAGGAGATCGAGGTAGTCTAATATAACCGATACGCCTACTGCGTTTAGCTGTGGTCGCTGCCGGGTTGAATCGTGTGCTTGATTCTGGACAAGTCTAAGAAATAAACGTTCTGTCCTTACTAGGCTGTCATGGATAATTTTATGGCGGGCAAGGAGGGGCAAAAACTTTTAGTGCTAGTGCACGTAGCCTCGCAACTGTTGGCTTAGGCTGCCCTGAAATTTTGCGGCCGCAAGCACTAACACCACAAGCCCGTATAGAAAGCTTGAAGTGCTGGCTACAAATTCTGCTTATTGATGGGTTCTTTCTTGGCTAGATACAAGTAAATAGCATTCTATTATCAGTTCAAGAAGAGCTATATGTAAACAATTTTTAACTACAAGTATTTATACGTGTAGTTTGATTTAAGTGGTTGCGGTGCCCATTTTGCCCACCGTCTTGGCATCTTAGATAAGATATGACCCCTCCAATAATTTTGATGAACCGATCGAAGATGGACGTCAATAACTATTAACTCTAGGGTTAAAAAAATACGAGAAATTTGAGCCATATTCAAAGCATCTCTCCTTTATATTTTAGCAATAAAATACCCCGTCCATCCTTGTAGTCACAAAGAAACCCGATTTTATATAGAGATATCTGACTTGGAGTGCGGAGGACCGGCGGAACGAAATACCGTGTGAGAAAATCAGGTTGCAGCTCCCCCACCAACGACTCACAAGCCTACATTCCTCTGCTGTGGTGGGGAAAAGCACCCGTGGTTAACTTCCTGCTAGGACCAAAATTGAGTCACAGGTACCAAGCCCCAAAAATTCACACCTCCCATGAAGATTTGCCAGATTTCTTCCAGTCGAAGCAGTCATCGTATATTAAGCTTCTGCTCTCCGCGGATTGTGAGGTCGTTTGTTCAGCATCCACCATCGACTTCGACCCGGCCTTTTGCCTCCTTGCATCGGCACAAACGCCATATCTCAGATACTCAAAAATCATCAAACTGCAGAACCTTTCTGTGGAACTCAGCTTTCACTGCTTCCACCCCCGGCTGTCTAAGAAGCATATCAGACATGGCTAAACCAGCGGGCATTGACCAACTCACAACGTTGGTCAGCGGCTTGAGCCTTGACTCCATCGCTGAGAAATACCCCCAGGCTCATCCCGAAATCAACCCTCTGGATTTCTACAGGGCACACGTTAGCAATGTCTTGGCCGGAATATCTGGTGTAGACTCTCAAATCATATACCCCGCCATCAACTGGACGACTGGTCTCGACAAGGGTGATTTTGTTCTAGCTGTTCCAGCTTTGAGGATCAAGGGCCAGAAGCCAGATGCTCTTGCTACTAAATGGGCGGAAGAGGTACAAAGCAGCAGTCTTGGTCATTGCATGTTTCAGAGCTGATCAACTATTGATAGTTCCCTGCGGAGGACCCTCTATTTGACAAGCCTACGACTAGCGGACCTTTCATGTCCTTTTTCTTCAAGGGAAGCCCGCTATCCAAGTCCTTGATTCCGATGATTCGAAATCTCGGCGAAGAGTATGGTATGTTCCCTCATCTTGAGGTCATGTCATCTCATAGAAACTCATTGTTCTGTCATTAGGCCGTAACCGATTCAACGGCTTGAAGGACCCCAAAGACCCGAAGCAGGGCAAGAAGCGCATTGTAACCTCAAACCCTCCCTTCTTAGGGTGTAGCTGGCTAGCTGCTAACTGTATCCCAGCTCGTTGAGTTCAGCTCTCCCAATGTTGCGAAGCCATTCCATGCCGGCCACCTTCGATCAACTATTATCGGTAGCTTCTTGGCCAACCTCTACGAAGGCAGTGGCTGGGATGTGGTGCGAATTAACTGTAAGTGATCCATCCGATTGATAGACTGCTATAACATCCAAGAACAGTAATTCTGACATCCGCTTATAGATTTAGGAGACTGGGGCAAGCAATATGGACTTCTCGCCTTGGCGTATGAGAAATATGGCAACGAGGAAGCATTGAAGAAAGATCCTATTGATCACCTGTTCAAGCTCTATGTGCAGATTAACTCTGAGATGACTGCAGAGAAGGAGTCTATTGAGGCGCAAAAGAAGGAGGGCAAAGACGTTACCGAGCTTGAGGCCAACAGCCTTGATGAGCAAGCTCGCAGGTATTTCAAGCGCATGGTAAGTGATAAGTCTACTCTAGATTTAATTTTGAGGCTCCCAGCTAATTTGACTCAGACGGATAGGGACGAAGATGTGCTCAAGCAGTGGCAAATCTTCCGAGACCTCAGCATTAAGCGATATAAGGGTAAGATGCCATTGGCTGGCGACCATGCCTTGCCTGTATCCAAGGTATATTAATACTAATACATATCATAGAGACATATTCTCGACTCAACATCGCCTTTGACAAATACAGCGGTGAGTTCCAGCTCTCATGACATAAAAGAGTAATATCGCTAATTCTTTATTAATCCCAGGTGAGAGTCAGGTTTCTGAAGAGGCAATGGCAAAGATTGCTGTTGAGATGGAAGAGAAGAATATTTCCCGAGTAGATAACGGCGCCGTGCTTGTTGACTTCACCAAGCTTCTCCCTGGCAAAGAAGGAAAGCGACTTGGTGTAACTGTTATTCGGTATGCTCTACCTCTAACAAGATTGATCCATTATTACGAAATATCTAATGTTCTTGGAATAACAGAAAGAGGGATGGTACCGCCTTGTACCTCACTCGTGATATCTGCGAACTTCTCGCTCGAGTAAGTAAACCCAATATCTACTATACTCTACTGAGTGCCACAAGATTGCTAACAACCTTTAATAGTACGAAGAGTACAAGTTTGACCACATGATTTATGTTGTGGCAAGTGCCCAAGATCTCCATCTGAAACAGCTTTTCGAGATTATTGGACAGCTTGGCTACAAGGATATTGCGAGCCGCTGCCAGCACATTAACTTCGGCCTTGTTCTGGGAATGAGCACCAGGAAGGGTACCGTCAAGTTGTGAGTTCTTCTTGTCACGCCTAATTCACCCTAATCCACAGTATTGGTTGGCAGCGTACAGTTGGCTGATACACGTTGCAATAGCTTGGATGACATCCTGAGGGACTGCGCAGATCACATGCATGAGACCATGAAAAAGAATGAGGACAAATATGCCCAAGTTGAGAACCCAGCTGCAACCGCAGATATTCTCGGCATCAGCAGTGTCATGGTTCAGGACATGAGTGGCAAGAGGTGAGTTGCCATCCTTTACGGCGCTTAGTAATTCATCTAGGCTCATCATCAATCACAGGATCAACAACTACACATTTAACATGGACGCCATGACATCGTTTGAGGGTGACACGGGTCCCTACCTGCAGTATGCCCACTCGCGGCTTTGTTCGATCAAGCGTCGGGCGAACTTGACAGAGGAAGACCTGCAGAGCGCAGACCTTTCACTGCTCACCGAGCAGCATGCCACTAACGTCGTGCGAATGCTCTCACAATGGCCTGACACCGTTCAGAACACTCTCAAGACCCTCGAACCGACCACCGTGCTCACTTACCTGTTCAAGATGAGCCACGCTGTGAGCAGCAGCTACGATCATTTGCAGGTGGTAGGCAGTGAGAAGGAATTGATGAAGGCTCGAATGGCGCTGTACGACGCTGCGCGAATTGTTCTGTCCAACGGCATGAAGCTGCTTGGCTTGACGCCGCTTGAGAGGTATGTAGCAAAATCCCTTTCTGTTCTCGTCTTTATCTCAAAGAGAATAAAATCCCCGTTGTTTCCTTGTAAGCTTAAAGAGTACTAACTGGATACAGGATGTAAAATTGGGCACCGATACTATTTGACGTGCCGCCCTTTGGCCGCACAGGTTGCCGCAAAGAAGGGGGGAAAATAAATCAATTCCATTTTTAAAAGATCTAGGCACAGAAAGACGCCAAGAAAAAAATTTTTTGCATGAAGACTTTGATTCAACCGTGGTCCATCCAATTGATTAGTCTCTCTACTAGTGACAAAAATGTTGAAAGCTGATGATGCAAAGAGATTTACTAACAACCCTATCAGTTCCATGCAACTGGGAGCGTACTACCCTATCTAGCGTTTACCTTTAATACTGATACAGCTGCAGAAGCAAAAGAGTGGCCTGATTTTTCAAATTTAATGGGCGGGAGGCGTTTATGATCCGCGCCAAACAAGCGCCTAGTCGATAGTTCTCAGCTAAAACAAAACTCATCTCTTTGCGTCTATAAGCGTTATGCATCTCGTGGATTTGGAATGAGCAGAATGCCGCTTTTTGCTTCAGAATTTAACGCTAGTCTGTCTGTAAGCAACAACCGAACTAAGATACAAGACCGCTCCATAGAGCGAATTTGACTCGCAACAAAGAGGCATGTTACGGGCCGATAACTCGCTTTTTTAGACTATACTCATACTTGTAGCAGCTGAGGTATTAGTTCTAATGTGAGTTGATGATGGCTACATTATAGGCTGAGAGAAACCAATTGAAAGCATTCTATTTCAAAGAGCTAAACCGACTCAACTAGCGCCGAAGGCCGCATGTCGCCAATAAGCGACGGGTGGGGATCTGTCGCCCTGCTAGTGAAGGAGAAATTCATGGCGGGATCCAGACATTTGGTAACGCATCCTTTTGCTATGACGACACAGGACCGGGATGTGACAGACAGGTCGCCGGAAACAGGAGCACGGAGAGAGCAGATTATGATTCATCCCTAATTGCAAGGAAATATTCGCAAATATTCGCAAACAGCGTGCATCGAAAATTGACCGGAACGCTTTAAGGAGAAAAGTAAGAGTCACCTACAGCTTCCCCCGAAAGATCCCGACTAGGTTTTGCCTGTTTGCCTTCGGACCTCGTAACTCTGAGAGATGCCGCAGTGCGTATAGGGGATGACTACCCGTCGTTTTGCCTGGCAGATGACCAAGTACCATAAAAAATTGATAGAGTCTCTTCCCATTGGACGCCGTGCTTGTCCTGCATACCGGCGCTCATCACGGCGAACCCGCTTATCCAGCAGTGTTAGCAGAGCGGCGCTGGCGGCGGATATCCAGAGACGGGCAGCCTCAGGGCAACGGTTACCCGAAGGAGGTGTGTGGTAATACGAAGAAGCATGCGTCTGACCTGTAATATTTTCCTCCTTTCATCCATACTATTTTAGTACCGAGCCGATTGATATAAAAAACCAAGTGTCCCAGAGACCAGAGACCAGAGACCATGCTCAATTGTATCATCACCATTCAGCCTTGTGGCATAGTTCCCAAGTATCCCATCAGTATTGCCTAGTAGGTAGTACTTTACTTAGTCATTGACTTAAACCACAGCTATATTTAGCTTTCACTATGACTTACACCCAAACTGAAGCCCCTAGGCAGGCCGTCAAGCTTGCCAAGGTCGTGGTTAACAGCCATGCGACCTACAGACTCGCTGGACATCCAGCATTGACACGAAGGCTGGGCTGCACCGGCCGGGCCACAGTTCCTTCATACCACCTCTACAGCCAGACAATTCGAGCATTCTCGACGACGCCAGTCTCCCAATTGAAGGATATCTTCCCTGCCAAAGACACCCCTCATATCAAGACCACACCGGCGGCATGGCCCCACCCCGGCTACACAATGGAAGAGCTCCTTCAAGTAACGCCGTCCCATCGCCAGCCTCGAGGATTTGGCGATTGGGCTGCGTGGAAGATTGTGCGGTTTGCGAGATATTGCATGGACAAGGCTACGGGGATGGATAGAGACCAGCAGGTCGATAAGAAGAACCCGACGACAGCGGTTAAGGCCGAGAAGCCACTAACAGAGGCTCAATGGGTATGATTTTCTGTTTGCATCAAGCTGTTTGAACAATTCATGTCAAGAAATCTGACTAACTTACATTGGGTTCTCAAATAGCTTGTCAGATTCGTCTTCCTCGAAAGCATTGCGGGAGTTCCAGGCATGGTAGGCGGCATGCTTCGCCACCTGAGAAGTCTCCGCGGTATGAAGCGCGATAACGGTTGGATTGAGACGCTCCTGGAAGAAAGCTACAACGAACGAATGCATCTATTGACATTCATGACCATGTGCGAACCCGGACTCTTTATGAAACTCATGATCATTGGTGCCCAGGGTGTATTCTTCAACAGTCTCTTTGTTGCCTATCTTCTACATCCCAAGATTGTCCATCGATTCGTTGGATACTTGGAAGAAGAAGCAGTTCACACTTATACCCGGGCTATTCATGAAATCGAAGAGGGCCAGTTGCCCCGGTGGACCGACCCGAAGTTTCGAATCCCTGATATTGCAGTTCAAGTAAGTAATTGAATAACAGAAGGAGAAGCGGATGTATTCGATACGAGAACACGTCCACTGACAGATTTATTTGCAGTACTGGCACATGCCTGAAGGCCACCGCACCATGAAGGATCTGATCCTGTACATTCGAGCCGACGAGGCCGGCCACAGAGGCGTCAACCACACCTTGGGTAACCTCAACCAGGCTGAGGATCCCAACCCTTTTGTCAGCAAATTCAAAGACCGGGAGGTTCCCAAGCCTGCCCTCAAGCCTGAAGGCTATGAGCGTACGGATGTAATTTAATTAGACTCAAGAAACGAAGTTGTGTCATGGTTGATATTATTGCGTTTTGATTTAATATGGGGGAAAAGAGCGTTTGCATAGGATATCACATAGGATTGACCGGATGCCTAGAAAAATTGGGCTAGAAACTTGGGAGGGATTGCATAGAACTTGCGGCGTATGGAATTTGGGATAGGTAGACAGATAGGACTCTTCTCTCGACTCTGTTACAACAACTCTGAATGTTGAACGTAATTACCCAAGGCAAAAAAAAAAAAAATGGTGAGAAGAGGCAACCAACGATGAGGCAACCAACGGCGAGGACGCAATGATGATGATGGATCAGTCGATTCAGTCAATAGGCGAGAGTGGCTACAGTGACATTTGCGGTACCCGTGACATTTGATTTCAATTTCCCGCAGTCATCCTGGGTTGAGAGGTTTAGACGCCTGCCAGGGCTTAGACTTCGCGATTGAAACTCAAATCTCCGTATCAAGTCTACGTGATACGAGAATACACGGAGTTGCAGCATGCATCAGGGTGGTATTTACTGCTAGTATTAGCACCGAAAGCGCGCTACATGGGACCAGAATAGGCACGCCGTCCACAACAGGCAGACGCAGCGGCAGGACGGGAATCATTAGCGCCCGCAAAAGTGCCAATCTGGAAGGCCCCCCCTTAATTCGGACATTTCCTAAATCGTCTAAAAAAAGGTACGATGAAAAGGGCGTTTAAGAATTCCAGGGGGGGAGTAATGCTAGGTAGTATTCTGTACTAGTTGTGGTAAATTCAAGGGCACAGCATCGTGGAGGGAGAGACCAGGGGAAGAGGAAGAAGGGATACACACACACAAAAAAAAAAAAAAAAAGCCTTGCGGAGAGCCTTGCAAGCTGATCCGAATGAAAGGGTCCAGGCGCTGGCCAATAGGAAAAGGGATCTAGTTTGCGGCGAGGGTTGGTAGCCGATTGGCTCTCGGTAGCCGAAAGATTTGCAGCTTTTGGGACGGGCTATGCTACATCTGGTAGCAATAAAGAGAAATTCGCTTTTTTTTTTCTTTTCTTTAACGAGATTATGTCAAATGTCAAATGCAAAACCGTCGACTGTTTGGATAAGAACTGACCAGGAGTTTATAGAGCACACAGAGCATAGGTACCTCTGTATGCGTTTTGCTTTCCGTATTCGATTCATGTAGCCTAACGCTTGGCGTGTTTTATTAAACGTGGCCTTGAGATGAGGTCACAACCAATGCTCCCTGGCAACATGGCCGAAAATATGTACGTCACTGCGGTGTGGCTGTGGACGCAAGGATGGACCTCAGACAATAAAAAACAGCGCACCAGCTAAGGAAGGATTTTAAATGATAGTTTCCTGTGATGTTCTCCATCTTATTGGCCCTTTTCCCTGTTTTTTTTTTCTCTCTCTCTCTCGTGTTTGGGATGTCAACTTGAAACTGCTACGGACAATGCTGCTGACAACCGCTGGTTGCTTTATTTCATTTGTTTCGAAACACTAATACATTTAAAACTTTTGGCTCATCGGGCGTTTATCCCCCGGTTGATGATATATATTTGTAATCTTGCTGGCATTTACTTGTTTTTCCTTTTCACAGCCCCCTTCGCTCTTTGCAACTTCGTCCCCTTTGGGATGCATACGAAACACTGGGAAGGCTTCGCGAGCATAGACGGGCGAAGTTGAATGGATCAAAAACATGTTTAAATCGGTTTTGGGTGCTTGCTCCGCCAAACTTCGTATAATATATCTATATTTAGCTTGAGACGCGTGAAAAGCGCAGTCTATGCATGCTGCTTAGACTGTAGATCTATACAAGCATGATCATGGGATGGGTAGTTGTCGTCAGCTCGTCGATGTTCTGCAGAGCAGGGCCGGGCCCCGTCCTTCAACCCAAACCGAGCTAATAAGGTTATGTTGTTTGCCGTTTATGACATGGCCAAGCTGTCCCAGAACGGAGATACAGGCCCTGGCATGGGTGAAAGCTTAGCATCGTCGTAGCGCCAGGCCTGGCCTTGACCAAACTCGTCATCACCGCAAGCCATGTGGGGAGAAACGGTGCGTCAACTCAAATGCCCGCGGCATTGCCAATGCGAGTTTCAGGATGTTTTCTCCGGCCGTTTAGCTGCTTCATTAAACATTCTGCCATTGACTGTGGCTTGATTATGTCAAGCCTCGTTTAAATTAAGAGGCTTTTCGTCCAAGAGCA